ATTAAAATAAAAATAAAAAAGAAATTAATAAAATTGTCACAGTATAAAAATGAAGTCAATAGTGTAATGAAAGTTGACGCTTTAAAGAAAACAAACCTGTATTAAAAATGTCATAATTTGAAAAATACTTATTGTAATTGGACATCAGTCGGTCTACAAATAAATTCTGTCCATAGTTAGTTCTATGAGTATTTACATAAAATAGTTTAATCTGCCTAGTAAGTCTGGCAGGAACAAGGAATCTAATAAAATGTACCAGGCTGTCACTATCAATCAAACCGTTCAATAACTTATACAGGAAAACAATCGATGCTTCTCGACATCTGCATTCCAAACTCTTAAGTCCGCACAACATAATTCTGGTTTGTTAAGGTAAGGTAAGATAACATAAATCAGTGCGGTACTTTACTTCTCGCCGTGCATTAGAATATAACTGGTAGTCACTACTCAGACCAGAGTGCTTATATTTTTTATATAGTCTATTTTTGTAGGCAATACATTTTCGAAGTTCACTTCTAAACATTTTGGATATTTAATGTTTTTATAGTCTTTTTTTGGGACAAATTGATTGATGCCTTGAAACATAGTGTCATAAAATTTTTCAACTCTGTCTTCGATCTTTGGTGCTTTATTGACTGACGTCCAGTCCACCTATTAAGTTATTAAGTTTTTTTAAAATTAGCGCCTTTGAATATTTACACAGTACTTTTGCGAGAATTGGATTTTAATGGATCATATTTTGAAAGATCTTTTCAAAAACTCTGAATTAGGGACAACATCGTCATTATAACCAGAACACTCTCGAGTTTACATTCTGTATCTGTAAGATGTGGAGGTTGGGTTTCCCAATAGCTAGACACAAAGTTGCCATGCCAACTCTACTGAGAATGAGGGACTGAAATCTACTTTAGTAAGAACTTATTTCTATTTTTGTTTTGTTGCTACTAACCTATATCGCTGATTTCTATCCCTATTTAGAGTTGTGGTACGATTGATACATAATCTTCAACATGAGTCAATTATGAGTAGATAATATACTTTTTTTTTTTGATAATTTTTAGGTGCTTTCTATATAATATTTGGACTTCCTTACTTTGTGTACACTGTCAAAGGTACAGTTCCTAGAGAAATGGCGTATGTACATGACAGTTTTCCCTCAACCCCAAGTGCACGTAAGTGAGGTTATAGATTTATGCTTTAACAACAGACAAAAGGATCGTAGAGTATTTGGTATTAGAAATATGGTCTAGTAAGCATGTATAATGTGTTAAATCTTCCATTTTCAGCTATCTATTTTATAAATAACATTCATGGCGTCAATATATTATTTTTTAATTGTACCTGGGTAAATTATAATAGAGATCAGCCACTTTTGGGACCTCTGGAGAAAAACGTAACAACATCGAAGTATATGTATAGAATAGACAATTTATTCAGGGTTGCTAGACCACAAGCTATCATTTTTGAAAAAAAAAATATAACGAACTCAAAAATAAAGTTATATTTCTTATTAAACTTCTTTTTCTTTCGTACTCTACTCTACATCCTTTAAATACGCTAAAAATTTACAATAGCAACTCTTAACACTGCACAAAAAATACAAACATTTACCAATGAAGTGTGTTCTATTCAAAATATAAACTGATATTTTTATTATTTCACCAGGAATTGTTAGACTGGAGATTAAGCAAAATACAAACGATGATGGCACAGGTACATTTCAATCCATTTTCATCTTATTAACCGAGTATATCTCACTTTTGAGTTATATATGGACTTGTCGCTTTTATCCTGTCTTTCATTTTGTATTTGAAGGCGTCTTTGTGACATTAAAATAATTTTAATGTTAAAAATGTTCCCTACTTATTGTGTATGTGGTGAGTTGTTATAAACGAATTCCGTATTTACTTCTAAAACTACGATAAAACATTTCAGGCCATGGGAGTCAAACCACTAAAACGGCCCATTCTCGATTAGGTTTTCCCTGCCGCATGCGGCGCTACACAGATCCCACGAAAAACCGTCTCAAGGCACACAAGGTCACACACTAAGACTCACGCCACTGCTTGAGATTTCAGTGGACTGTGGTCTTCCGTCAGCTGTCGAAGTTTATTTTGGCGCCTTCCTATTGGGTTCTAATGAACAATGTATTGTATTTGGTGTAGCAGCTTGCTTGAAAATTATTAATAAGAACACCAAACAGGATATGGTCAAATACCTGGCAATTACAAAAAAATCTTGTAGTCACATGAACTTAATACGGAAAGTGCTACAAAATTAATACTCGCGTTTTATAATATGCGGCGATACATATCTACTCGCGGTAATTCCTATTGGATTTGTCTCGCGGCTTGTCTCCGTCTACCGGGTGTGGGTCGATCGATCGACAGGCAAATTTAGTGGCAGTTAAAAAATAATACAAAAAATAAAAATTAAAAACTTAACTAATTGACCTAACATGTGCGGCCTAGAACCATCGTGGGTTGCTTCGCAAAATAAAATTATACTTACGTAAAATGAGAAAGATTAAGAAGACTTAAATAATATACCTATGCGGCATAGAGCCATCGCAGGTTGCTTCGCAAAAAATATACAAAATTAAAAAAATTAAAAAAACAACTAAATTACTTAACATGTGCGCTAATTTAAGCTGTCGGTAAATTGTCCTGTAGGTCAATTGTCATGTCAGTGACTTGACCTGTTGGTCAGTTGGCCTGTCGGTTAAATGGCCTGAAGGTAAATTGTTCTGTCGGTTAATTGGCTTTTTGGTAAATTGTCCTATCAGTGAATTGTCCAATCGGTCAATTGGGTGCTGGCCAATTGTACAGGTGCCTCGTATACCATCTCAGGTTGCCTCTAAGTAATACATGTGACAGCTGATATAGGGCCATTCACGGTGAAATTAATCTCGGAGACTTGTGTAACGCCGTATGCGCGAGGCCAGTCTCATCGTGACTAGCCTGTTTTATATGAGTGGCAACTGAAGGCAATGAAACAAGTTCTGCCAGTACTCTAGTGACTTTTTGTGTACCGTAACTTAGCCAATTCATTTTCTATAAGTTTGGCTAATATATTGTTGCAGTTATTACAGTAGATAGAAATAACAATGTTAGATTTTTAAATTTGTCGATAGACGTTTTAGTATATGGAGCAAACAGGAGGAGTTGAAGTGTGATAAAGGATTGAACTTTAGGTAGTAATTTACTACCGAGAAAATTTAGATGGAGAGGCATGCTGGTAACAGAGGAAGTTAGTAGGAATAATCACAAAGTTCAAAATAGGGCTGCAAGAAGTAGCAGAGGCCAAGGAAGAACTTGGACATTCTCGTGTCACATGAATTTCTAGAAGATCACATGTTAACTGTTCTTTTTGACAACCTTTTATCTTCCATTTTAATAATATGGTTCAGTCCACTGTTTATGGTGAATAAGAGATTTATAGGATGATTGAAACAAGAGCGAAGAAAACCACACCTTTCTACAAGGAGGATCTTTAAAGGAATATGAGGTTAGAAAAAAAAAATAAAGGGATAATACATAATGTACTGACTATGAGTGAATACTAAAGTTGTTTGGGGCGTATATTAAGGATAGCACAAATTTTAAGAAGAATTCGTTTATTCAACTCATCTTGTAATTAAAAAAAATCTTTTTTTAGAATTGGCAACAAAGTAGGTCGCAAAACAATTTTTTTGCCACTTTTGATCCTTTAAATATTTTCGTAGCAGACATATTTAAATTAGTTGAATATTGAGATTATCTAAATTGACTAACATTTCATTGGTTTTAAAATGTTTCATGCACCCTTACACTAACACATAGACACTGTAACTGTTGAAGAAATAGGTAAGAAATGCTTGCAAAAAGTATTGTTTCTGAATAATTTATAAACATCCTTTCGTACTAACAATTTTAACTCTAATGTGAACCCATTCCCTTTAAAGTTTTAATAATGAGTTTATACCATAATTTATTAACCATTTTTATAATAATTTTGTTTGTTTTTTATAAAATTTTGTGTGTAACGTTTATTTAATGTTTTATTGATTTGGGTCAATCAAAATCAACGAAAGAATCTACTCGTGGCCAATCTGCCAATCAGACATGATATTTTAAAGGTCCTTCCGTTTCGTAGATCCCTGCATTCTGGTCGCTATGATAACTGAGTTTTAAGTCGACAATACTGACGAGTTAGGACGGGCGAAAGGGTAGTGCTAACCTTGAAATCGATGCATGACTTTTACATTATAATTTATCGCAAAATCAATAAAATCACATGAGTTAATGGAAACGTAAAAATAGTCTTTTTGTTTTATACAAACCCTATTTTTAGTATTTTCCTAAATATATAACTAAAAAGAAACTACACAATATAATAATAATACTCTCCCTAGTTCACCCCCTTACGACTGAATTTCGACCCCTGAAGCCGACTGAGCTTGTGTGGGAAAGGGACCGCTATTCTTTGCTGGTGCGCTCCGGGGCGACTTAAAGATGATTGATGGTTCCATTTGACTTACAGGTGAGGAAAAACTCACCAACCCAATCCATTTAAATTTTTCGAAAGGGTTGCTCCCCTCCAGTAAGGGATGAAATTAAGGGTAAACTATTCATACCAAAATGTACATTGTAGAAATCAAAAATCGACGTGTCTCGGCGATTTTCCCAACAAGACTCCAGTAACGAGTTAGATAGGGGGGTAAGACTTATGATGCTCACTGTATATATTTCTTTAATTTATTTGTTTTGTTTATGATATTTAAAATAATGAACTCATTTATTTTTTTCATTCATATACAAAATTATTTCAAAATTTTCTTCAATTTAAAATTGAATTAATAAAAATAGTACGACCTTATTGAAAAAATAATAATGGTTATGATGTTTAGTAAGAATATACTAATAAGGGATAATTTAATGATTAAAGCGAACTGTAATAAAAATTATTTCCCAACCATTTTGTTTATCTTTTAAATGCATTTTTGCTAATATTAATTTTAGGTACTTTTTTTATAATTTTACTACAAATTCGACGCTATTAAAGAAAGGTGACTCGAACTATGAAACAGTCATTTTGGAAGTGACTTCTGACGATATTTGCATGACTGTTAGCATACAAAATATAAGTGTAAGTATCTTTGTTTGTTAAAAACACCATAAAAATATATGTATTTATGTCTCTATAATTATATTGCATACTGTCACGTTAAGCGTGTTTTTAATAAAATGTTACGTTTAACGTGTTTTTATAATTAATTAAATGTGTCACAATGAATGTGTTCTTAAATACACGTTATGCGTGGTTTTTATAAAACAATGTTACGTTTAACGTGTTTCAAATAATTTTGGGACTATCTATGTCCCGGGTGTTAAATAAAATATATGAATTTGGGCCTCAATCACATAAACACTATTTAGCCTTAAACTTGGCTTCGTAGCCCTTAACTGTATAAGGATTCTGCTCCTGCTGTAAGAACCTAACACGTCTTTAAACAAGGGCTGAAGGAAACACAGTGTTCTCAAAACAAGTATAATGTAATTACAACGATTATATAAAATGTCTTAACTCGACATACCCAAATACAGGCTCAATATAATAATAAGTACACAAAACGTAAACTTACCAACTCCGTTAATATTTGGGCACATGTCACAAACTAACTATTTAAAAATGTAATTATTCGAAATACAAAATAGACTTTTAAATTAGACTATGAAGGTCTAAGCTGGAGCTGCTACAGGGAATCTCCTAAAAGGGGGACCTCCTATGGGGAGGATCCGTTCCCTGTGGAAAAAAGCCATGCGCATTCCCTCAACATCACCTTTATAACTTTCTTATAGTTTATTGTTATTAAAACTAATGTTTAATAATTATTAAATAACCAACCTTGCACATTATTGCTATTTAAAACAAATTGTTGACATAATTAAACAAAGTTTTATGTACATGATGTTATTTAAATAATTAATTAAAATTAGGAAAAATATAAATTTATACGCTTAACGTGACAATACACTAAAAGGAACCTAAAATGAGGTTATAAATAAAACACATATATAAAATGAGGAAATATTCTGTCTCGTTTTAAGTGTAATTACAGGAGTTTTGCTGAATCTGTCATTATTTTCGGTAAATTACAAGAAATAATTTGACAACTTTTATATCCAATTTAAATGCCTCAGATTATAAAGTCTAACCAGGATTTATTTTTTCTTAAAAAGGCAAATAACAAAAGCTGACTAGTAATTTTGTGTTTAATATTTTTAAAAAGTGATGGTTTATTTTAACTTATTGAAAACAAAATTTAATAATAGACTATAGTTTAGCATATGAGGGGAGGACCCAAAAGAACAGATTTTTGTCATAAAAAAAATTATTTATTAACTTTTTTACAAAATTACTTCAGTCACCTTCAAAGTACTCTCCATTAGATGTGATGAACTTGTCAAATCTTTTTTCTTACTGTTTTAAGTATCTCTGGAACTCTTCAACTTTGATATCGTCCAGAGCCCTTTGCGAAGCTGTTTTTACAGTCTCCACATATTCCCTTCGTTCGTTTAGACAATTTGGTTTTTAATCCAATAAAAATCCATCAGACGCCATATTTTCCTTTCTATGGTTATTATTTTTGTATCATAATTACAGGAAACATCTTATTCTATATATCGCCACATATATTATTTGATCCAAAACGGTTTTAAGAAGGTGGGCATAACTACTTCATTCATGCATGTTACATATCTCTTTTTTTTTCTCTGGTCTTTTTTAATTGAATCTGGAGTTGATCCATCTTTAAATGTTCTCACTGGGTAACTTGGACAAAACATAATAGAAACGCACTTTTTATTTTTACAGTTTATGTACTTCTCACATTTTGACTATGTTTTTACACTCACAATTGTCCTACACAAAATCTGCTCTTTTGTAAATTATGTCATCATTAAAATATTACACCTTTAGGCAATGAGAAAAACCTTATCTCCCAAAATTAAATCACCAGAGATATTCAAAAACATTTTTCCATAATTATATAGACCCATTTAGTAGCAGGAAGTAACTACTCCGTTTGGTACTAGGTACACCAATCAATAATTTTCCAATTTTGAAGATTTTGGTTTTGTGGTTTTACAGTCTATTATTATTCTATAATTTAACTAATATAGTTAAAAAAAATATTAAAGAAGAAAATTGTCACTTCCAGTGCCTTAATTAGCGAAAAATGTAGCGATTTGATAACGCGATAAAAATTAGGCCAGGATATCCATTGATTAATAGAATTTAAAAAATTACGTATGTCACCTCTTTTCCTGAGCCAAACGCCTGAGCCGTCCTTTTTTTGTAGTCATAATTCTCGACAAACTTTCGTCACTTGATAACGAGTTAAAAAAATATGCAATCAAAAGGGCCATTCGCAAATATCCACACATGCTGCGATTTAACCTGAGCTAAGTTGGTGGCCCAGCGCAATTTCTAAGACGCGTCTGGGGGCCAGACAATGTTTTTATATGCCTTCGGAGCATATTTATCAGATGACGGCCGACATTTGCAGTGGGCTTTCCTAATATTAAATTTTTATCAAAATTATAAAAAAAAGAGATAATTATTATTTGCATTAGGACAAAACTCTTATTTAATTTTCAGTGCCCAGTTTTCGATACTAACCAAGACGTCACATTTAGAGGTTTTTATGAAACCGTCAATCGCAAAGGAGGTATCACCATACCGGTAAGTGAATTTATACCCAATTTACGCTTTTTTAAAATAAGCGTTTATAGGTATTTTCTTTGATTTCAGAAATACAAATTCCCTCATGGTTTCTACGTGGTATTCGTAGCTAAACCTGACGACTATGCTTGCAATAAAGCTGCCGGTTTTGCCGGTGATAGCAGTTACCCGAATAGACTTAAACGTATTTCTTTAATTATTAAACCCAGCATTACTTATTCCGATTACATTCGAGCAGTTTTACTTACTTTAGGATGCATAGGTTTGTAAATGATTTTTTTTCACACACGAAATTCTCTTGAAAGTAATATTTTTTCAATAATGGCACAACTTAAAAAGGTCTAGAAGTAATAATGGCTATGTTAAATACACATTTTAGAATAAAATTCAATTCTGTTCAATATCTATTAAATAAAATTCTAGTTCCAACACGTCTATGTTCAGATCTATCTAATTCAATGCCTAGCGAAGGTATTCACTGATATGTAATTGTTTTCTAACAATTTATTTATTTGTTTACAGTACAGATACATAAAGTTCTAAATGGTACATTTAAAATATCAATTAAAATAAAAATAAAAAAGAAATTAATAAAATTGTCACAGTATAAAAATGAAGTCAATAGTGTAATGAAAGTTGACGCTTTAAAGAAAACAAACCTGTATTAAAAATGTCATAATTTGAAAAATACTTATTGTAATTGGACATCAGTCGGTCTACAAATAAATTCTGTCCATAGTTAGTTCTATGAGTATTTACATAAAATAGTTTAATCTGCCTAGTAAGTCTGGCAGGAACAAGGAATCTAATAAAATGTACCAGGCTGTCACTATCAATCAAACCGTTCAATAACTTATACAGGAAAACAATCGATGCTTCTCGACATCTGCATTCCAAACTCTTAAGTCCGCACAACATAATTCTGGTTTGTTAAGGTAAGGTAAGATAACATAAATCAGTGCGGTACTTTACTTCTCGCCGTGCATTAGAATATAACTGGTAGTCACTACTCAGACCAGAGTGCTTATATTTTTTATATAGTCTATTTTTGTAGGCAATACATTTTCGAAGTTCACTTCTAAACATTTTGGATATTTAATGTTTTTATAGTCTTTTTTTGGGACAAATTGATTGATGCCTTGAAACATAGTGTCATAAAATTTTTCAACTCTGTCTTCGATCTTTGGTGCTTTATTGACTGACGTCCAGTCCACCTATTAAGTTATTAAGTTTTTTTAAAATTAGCGCCTTTGAATATTTACACAGTACTTTTGCGAGAATTGGATTTTAATGGATCATATTTTGAAAGATCTTTTCAAAAACTCTGAATTAGGGACAACATCGTCATTATAACCAGAACACTCTCGAGTTTACATTCTGTATCTGTAAGATGTGGAGGTTGGGTTTCCCAATAGCTAGACACAAAGTTGCCATGCCAACTCTACTGAGAATGAGGGACTGAAATCTACTTTAGTAAGAACTTATTTCTATTTTTGTTTTGTTGCTACTAACCTATATCGCTGATTTCTATCCCTATTTAGAGTTGTGGTACGATTGATACATAATCTTCAACATGAGTCAATTATGAGTAGATAATATACTTTTTTTTTTTGATAATTTTTAGGTGCTTTCTATATAATATTTGGACTTCCTTACTTTGTGTACACTGTCAAAGGTACAGTTCCTAGAGAAATGGCGTATGTACATGACAGTTTTCCCTCAACCCCAAGTGCACGTAAGTGAGGTTATAGATTTATGCTTTAACAACAGACAAAAGGATCGTAGAGTATTTGGTATTAGAAATATGGTCTAGTAAGCATGTATAATGTGTTAAATCTTCCATTTTCAGCTATCTATTTTATAAATAACATTCATGGCGTCAATATATTATTTTTTAATTGTACCTGGGTAAATTATAATAGAGATCAGCCACTTTTGGGACCTCTGGAGAAAAACGTAACAACATCGAAGTATATGTATAGAATAGACAATTTATTCAGGGTTGCTAGACCACAAGCTATCATTTTTGAAAAAAAAAATATAACGAACTCAAAAATAAAGTTATATTTCTTATTAAACTTCTTTTTCTTTCGTACTCTACTCTACATCCTTTAAATACGCTAAAAATTTACAATAGCAACTCTTAACACTGCACAAAAAATACAAACATTTACCAATGAAGTGTGTTCTATTCAAAATATAAACTGATATTTTTATTATTTCACCAGGAATTGTTAGACTGGAGATTAAGCAAAATACAAACGATGATGGCACAGGTACATTTCAATCCATTTTCATCTTATTAACCGAGTATATCTCACTTTTGAGTTATATATGGACTTGTCGCTTTTATCCTGTCTTTCATTTTGTATTTGAAGGCGTCTTTGTGACATTAAAATAATTTTAATGTTAAAAATGTTCCCTACTTATTGTGTATGTGGTGAGTTGTTATAAACGAATTCCGTATTTACTTCTAAAACTACGATAAAACATTTCAGGCCATGGGAGTCAAACCACTAAAACGGCCCATTCTCGATTAGGTTTTCCCTGCCGCATGCGGCGCTACACAGATCCCACGAAAAACCGTCTCAAGGCACACAAGGTCACACACTAAGACTCACGCCACTGCTTGAGATTTCAGTGGACTGTGGTCTTCCGTCAGCTGTCGAAGTTTATTTTGGCGCCTTCCTATTGGGTTCTAATGAACAATGTATTGTATTTGGTGTAGCAGCTTGCTTGAAAATTATTAATAAGAACACCAAACAGGATATGGTCAAATACCTGGCAATTACAAAAAAATCTTGTAGTCACATGAACTTAATACGGAAAGTGCTACAAAATTAATACTCGCGTTTTATAATATGCGGCGATACATATCTACTCGCGGTAATTCCTATTGGATTTGTCTCGCGGCTTGTCTCCGTCTACCGGGTGTGGGTCGATCGATCGACAGGCAAATTTAGTGGCAGTTAAAAAATAATACAAAAAATAAAAATTAAAAACTTAACTAATTGACCTAACATGTGCGGCCTAGAACCATCGTGGGTTGCTTCGCAAAATAAAATTATACTTACGTAAAATGAGAAAGATTAAGAAGACTTAAATAATATACCTATGCGGCATAGAGCCATCGCAGGTTGCTTCGCAAAAAATATACAAAATTAAAAAAATTAAAAAAACAACTAAATTACTTAACATGTGCGCTAATTTAAGCTGTCGGTAAATTGTCCTGTAGGTCAATTGTCATGTCAGTGACTTGACCTGTTGGTCAGTTGGCCTGTCGGTTAAATGGCCTGAAGGTAAATTGTTCTGTCGGTTAATTGGCTTTTTGGTAAATTGTCCTATCAGTGAATTGTCCAATCGGTCAATTGGGTGCTGGCCAATTGTACAGGTGCCTCGTATACCATCTCAGGTTGCCTCTAAGTAATACATGTGACAGCTGATATAGGGCCATTCACGGTGAAATTAATCTCGGAGACTTGTGTAACGCCGTATGCGCGAGGCCAGTCTCATCGTGACTAGCCTGTTTTATATGAGTGGCAACTGAAGGCAATGAAACAAGTTCTGCCAGTACTCTAGTGACTTTTTGTGTACCGTAACTTAGCCAATTCATTTTCTATAAGTTTGGCTAATATATTGTTGCAGTTATTACAGTAGATAGAAATAACAATGTTAGATTTTTAAATTTGTCGATAGACGTTTTAGTATATGGAGCAAACAGGAGGAGTTGAAGTGTGATAAAGGATTGAACTTTAGGTAGTAATTTACTACCGAGAAAATTTAGATGGAGAGGCATGCTGGTAACAGAGGAAGTTAGTAGGAATAATCACAAAGTTCAAAATAGGGCTGCAAGAAGTAGCAGAGGCCAAGGAAGAACTTGGACATTCTCGTGTCACATGAATTTCTAGAAGATCACATGTTAACTGTTCTTTTTGACAACCTTTTATCTTCCATTTTAATAATATGGTTCAGTCCACTGTTTATGGTGAATAAGAGATTTATAGGATGATTGAAACAAGAGCGAAGAAAACCACACCTTTCTACAAGGAGGATCTTTAAAGGAATATGAGGTTAGAAAAAAAAAATAAAGGGATAATACATAATGTACTGACTATGAGTGAATACTAAAGTTGTTTGGGGCGTATATTAAGGATAGCACAAATTTTAAGAAGAATTCGTTTATTCAACTCATCTTGTAATTAAAAAAAATCTTTTTTTAGAATTGGCAACAAAGTAGGTCGCAAAACAATTTTTTTGCCACTTTTGATCCTTTAAATATTTTCGTAGCAGACATATTTAAATTAGTTGAATATTGAGATTATCTAAATTGACTAACATTTCATTGGTTTTAAAATGTTTCATGCACCCTTACACTAACACATAGACACTGTAACTGTTGAAGAAATAGGTAAGAAATGCTTGCAAAAAGTATTGTTTCTGAATAATTTATAAACATCCTTTCGTACTAACAATTTTAACTCTAATGTGAACCCATTCCCTTTAAAGTTTTAATAATGAGTTTATACCATAATTTATTAACCATTTTTATAATAATTTTGTTTGTTTTTTATAAAATTTTGTGTGTAACGTTTATTTAATGTTTTATTGATTTGGGTCAATCAAAATCAACGAAAGAATCTACTCGTGGCCAATCTGCCAATCAGACATGATATTTTAAAGGTCCTTCCGTTTCGTAGATCCCTGCATTCTGGTCGCTATGATAACTGAGTTTTAAGTCGACAATACTGACGAGTTAGGACGGGCGAAAGGGTAGTGCTAACCTTGAAATCGATGCATGACTTTTACATTATAATTTATCGCAAAATCAATAAAATCACATGAGTTAATGGAAACGTAAAAATAGTCTTTTTGTTTTATACAAACCCTATTTTTAGTATTTTCCTAAATATATAACTAAAAAGAAACTACACAATATAATAATAATACTCTCCCTAGTTCACCCCCTTACGACTGAATTTCGACCCCTGAAGCCGACTGAGCTTGTGTGGGAAAGGGACCGCTATTCTTTGCTGGTGCGCTCCGGGGCGACTTAAAGATGATTGATGGTTCCATTTGACTTACAGGTGAGGAAAACCTCACCAACCATCTTCGAAACGGTACAGGGTAAACGTCTTAATTTGATTGGCCTATAAAATTTCTTTACAACATGAGTCACTATCTACAATTGTGGTATTCTTCTATATGCTAACGAGCCGATATGGCAACATTATTTGAATATCACTTTGCGAGCCTTTGGGACAGAGATGTAGTCAAAGGGTATAGTTTAAAGTTTGAGTGTTGTAAATTTTGATGACCTTTATCAATTCGTGAAAAACCCCTCATTATTTGAATTTAACCTTATTTGTTTGTTCTCTTGCTTTTTATCAATGACACTAAAGGGCAAATTTGCCCCGTTCTTTACTTACGTGCTTTCTATTAATTGTAGTACTTTTAAATGCAGAAATGTCTGCCAGAACGGCTTCCACGTCGATCAACGCACACATAGACGGACCTTCTGTCGATATGGCAGATTTCGATACCTTAAACGAAGTAGATAGCGACAGAAATTTGAGGTTGGGAAGAGGTGAACCTTACCTTATAGACTTAGCCCGGAAACATCCTAACGAACTGAAGAAAGGATCCTATTTGTATCTGTACAACGTGTTGACCGTAGCTTTGTTCTACGCCCTACCGGTAGTTCAACTGGTCATTACTTATCAAAGGGTAAGCTTACAGTTGGGACCCGTGGATCATACCTAATGTGCATATCAAATAAGTCGAGACATTGTTTTGGATACAATTTACTTGATTTAGTTTATATGCATATTAGATATGACCGACTGGTAATATTCTGGGGTTTCAGGTGTTGAATGAAACCGGCCAGCAAGATTTGTGCTATTACAACTTCCTGTGCGCTCATCCGTTGGGACTTTTAAGTGATTTTAACCATGTGTTTTCCAATATGGGTTACGTTATGCTGGGCATACTGTTCCTCATTATTACTTATTTGAGAGAATTGTCCCATAAAGACGACGATTTCGATAGAGTAAGTCAAAACTATAAGGTATTTAGAGTTATTTCCATATTTGACCTTCATAGCAGTGACATGTCCATTTTAAAGTCAATTTTCAAAACTTAACAAGTTCACTCGAATAGTACAACTGAGGCTTTCTATTAAAAGGTATTTAAAAAAATTATTCCAGGAAAGTATACAGTATGATGCAAATGAAAGGAATACATTCATTATTTCGTGAAATGTTTTGCTTGCCGTACTTAAGAAAGATTCCGATGAAAAAATTCGTATAGTTAACAGATCTATGACTTCAGGCAATACAAAATTTAAAATACAAAAAATAGTTATTATAAAATGCTATGAAAATTATATTACTTATTAGTCAGATGTGCAATTCTCCCATCGTCTTAATACTTCGAACATAAAATATATAAAAATAACTATCGCTATTGTGTTACATACTTATATGTCAATGTCAAAATGTTGATCTTAGTTTAATCGCCCAACTTTGACTGTTCAATTTTTTGGGTAGTTTTTTTTTTTAGACGTAAACTAAATTTTAAATACACCCTCATCTTTCAATTGAATCAAATTCATTTACTGAGCTCAGTTTAAACTATAATTGAAAAACTGGCCCAGGTTTTTAATATAATTTATTTGTTGTAATTTTATTTAATAAAGGTGTATTTTTTTCACAAAAATGTGCTTAATTAAATGTATTGCATTATTATTTACATTACAACTATTTTTTTTTATTAATTATTATATTGGTATTTATCAAACATGGTACCAGACTGAATGGGGAATTTCTCCGTTATATTTATATATAAATTACGAGGTTGAGCTGAGAAATAATCGGCCTCGGAAAGAGTTGGCGGCGCTAGGATCAAATGCAATTGTTTTTCGTCAAAAATAATTTTTCAAGTGACTTCTGTCAAATTTTCAGCGAGCTGCGTCACTTAGTTTGTACTTGACAGTGATTGAAGGCAAACAGATTTTGCATTTTTACAAAAATGAATAAAATCGAATATCGCGCAGTGATTAGATTCTTGTTTTTAAAAAAGAAAACGAATGATGAGATCAAAATCGAACTGGATGATGTGTATGGGGACTCTGCACCTTCGTTATCAACAATAAAATATGGGACTGCCGAATTTCAACTCGGTCGTACGATAATTTTTGATAATGAGCGTCCAGGCCGTCCAAGAGAGGTCACCACGCCAGAAGTGGTCGATAAAATCCATAGTATGGTAATTGACGATCGACGGGTAAGAGTGTGTGTGATTGCTGAGGCTGTGGGCATCTCACGTGAACGAGTGGAGAATATATTGCACGAATATTTGGGAATGACGAAGCTCGCTGCCAGATGGGTGCCGCGTTTGCTCAATGCCGACAACAATCGAAACCGTGTGACAACTTCAAAAGAGTGTTTGGCAATGTTTAACCACAATAAGAAGGACTTTTTGCGCCGTTTTGTGGATGAAACATGGATTCATCAAAATACGCCAGAGACGAAGGAACAGTCAAAGCAGTGGGTTTCTCAGGGCGAGTCAAGGGGTCTGTCTGCCAACAAGGTCATGGCCACAGTTTTTTGGGATGCGCACGGTATTATTCATATCGATTATCTTGAAAAGGGCAAAACCATCACCGGCGATTATTACTCAAAGCTGTTGGACCGATTCGACGACCATTTGAAGCAAAAACGACCGCATTTAGCGAAGAAGAAAGTGCTCTTCCACCAGGACAACGCACCGGCGCACAAATGTGCAGTCGCAATGGCAAAACTGCATGAATTGCGTTGCGAATTGGTTCCTCATCCGCCATACTCCCCAGATTTGGCGCCCAGTGACTATTATCTGTTTCCAGACTTGAAAAAATGGCACGGTGGTAAGAGATTTGAGTCGAATGGGGAGGTCATCGCTGCGACAGAGGCCTATTTTAAGGACTTCGAGAAATCGTATTATTCGAAGGCATCGAAAAATTGGAGAATCGTTCGACAAAGTGTATAGAGCTTAAAGGGGACTGTGTTGAGAAATAAATTGAGTTTTGCCAAAAAAAGTTGTTTTCTTGCCTATCTATGCCGATTATTTTTCAGCCCAGCCTCGTATAATTGTTTCTTTCATTACCATTAGTACTGTATATATTCACATAACTTATTTAACTTTGCCAACTTTGAACTGGAGTCGCTGTTTTATATATTGTAATCAAAGGTTTACAAATCATTTTTTAGCAATTCGGAATTCCTCAACATTACGGTCTCTTTTACGCCATGGGCGTCGCTCTGATAATGGAAGGGGTACTGAGCGGAAGCTACCACGTCTGTCCAAATCAATTAAATTTCCAATTCGGTTAGTATTAAATCATATAAAATTTACGTTAACAAAAAAAAATGTTTTTTTTTTTGTAGATTCGAGTTTTATGTATGTAATGGCGGTACTCTGTATGGTTAAGTTGTATCAAAATCGGCATCCGGATATCAACGCTAATGCTTACACTACATTTGGAGTACTTGCTATAGCCGTGGTCTTAGGTAAATGCATTTATTTTTAAATACTCTTTTGTTTTGATCTTGAGTTTTTTTTTTCTAGCTATGATTGGAATTTTGGAAGGCACTACATACTTCTGGGCGATTTTCATTGTCATGTACATAACAATGTGTTTCTATCTTACCATAAAAGTATATTACATGGGTTGTTGGAGACTGAGTAAGTCAATCAATCAATTTATGTTATTATTGAATCGTTAGCTCAATGTGTCGGTATTCATTTACGGGCCTTTAGTAGTTTAGCTCTGCATCGGAATCCAGAGAAAACCATGCAGTGGCGACTGGTCTGTAAGGGTTTTAGGGCTACAATTTATATAAAATGAAAATGTATTATGTTATCTACCGATACTATTTTTAATAAACATCGTATTATATTCTACATCTATTTATAACTTTCATACAGCTCCTTTTGTTTCGGTTGTTCCTATCATCTGGCAATCCGTCCCTGGTTCAATATAATGGATCCTATGATTAAACGTTTACGAATCTGTTATGTTATGCTAACAGAGAATAGATAACATATTAAATAACAGTAGGTGTCGTATAGGTATGATTGAGAGGATCGATAACGGAAGATGTTAAGCTGGCTGTTACGAATGGAAGAAAGTATTTATTTGTGTTATTGCGCGTGCGCACAAGATGTACCTAACTTCACTTCATTTCTAAAAATGAGGTTTTTCATGTTTTTCTGAATGTAAAAACAACAACAATTGGGTTAGAATTTTTTGCAGTTTATTTTTTATTTTATTCAATTTATTATGGCGAAAAGATTAGCTAAAACAATTGTGAAATAGTATGAGGAGCTACTTAATTTTGTTAGAAAAAACAGAATTATTCTCACGGGAAAACAAATATATAAAAAAAAAATCAAATCTTTGGCTAGCATTTACAAATAATAATATAAATTAAAAACAGATTCAAATAAACTAAGAATTCAGATAATTAGCAATATATGTATTAGATAATTAAATAATAAACAAATAAAGTAGTAACATAGACGTTGGGCACTTAACGGCTTGTTATTCGAGGCTGTTGAGGCGATATGTTAAATTAGAACTTAACAGGTGGAAAATAACAGTAATGTTATGAAAGACTTTACATCATACGAATTTGTCTCGTTGCTGTTAAAACTCGGCCTAACATGTACGTTACGGATAACGTAAACATTCAATTATAGGACCCATTTTCCGGTACTCGAGACCTATTCACTGACGTTGCGGGATGGCTGCAAACAAGGAAGAGCTAAAACTTGTGTAGCCCTCAATTCGCAGATACCAATTTTTATTGTTGATGTATGTTTGGTTGCATAATAATATTAATAACTTATAGCACATTCGACTTGCTAAAATTATACAACACATTTTCAGGTGATGTATCTATGCAACGAATGAAACAAGTTTGGATTTACGACTTTTGGTCCGGACCGATAAACGTTTTGAGACCGTGTCACAAAGGTAAGGGAGAATGCTTGTTCGATGCGATTTTTTAAAAACTATTTCAAATTTGTTTTCAGCTCGTTTTGTACTTCTACTTTTGGGCAATTTCTTTAATTGGGCATTGGCCTCGTTCGCCATGTACAAGCAACCGAAGAATTTTCCTGTCTTTTTGTTGACGATTTTCATGGCAAACACTCTATTGTACTTTTTGTTTTATATTGTAATGAAGGTAAGGTATCGTTTAAGTAAAGGAAAAAGGAAAGAATATCGGTAAAAAATTCGTAAAACTAAAGTATGCATTTGGAAGTGTAAAAATGAAAACCCCAATTCCCTACCAAATTAAGGAATGGGTACCCAGGAACCCAAAGTGAAAACAAATCAAAATTGAAAAATCTAAGAAGACAAAAAAAAACCATAAATGTTGATCGATGCGTGAACTCAGAGATTCAGGTTCGATCCCTGGCGAGGCACGCATTTTTTCTTTTCTCAGTCTTTTAATTTTTCTTTGTTTTTACTGGTTTTTGTTTAAGTATTAATATTAATGAGATTTTACATTGCGTCACCTTATTTCTCATTTGCTTAATCAGTGTTCTACTTTGTTGAATTTTAGAATAATTCAAAGTATATAAAGTATTTTATTAAAAATAAAAAAAAAGTAAAGCTTTATTCAAATATATTTTCTTTCAGTACGTCAATAAGGAAAGAGTGAGAGTTTTACCTTGGATTTTCCTGATAGTGTCCACGTTATGCGCCGGTTGCGCCTTATTTTTCTTCTTGCACAAATCGATATCTTGGAAGGTAAGTCAAAAAATATTTAACATCAAGATTTATTGCTACTCTGACAATAGCAAAAAATTTGTATGAATTATAGGTATTCTGTTTAAGTCCTAGAATATACAGTTTTGAAGATATTACAATATATTTTTTTATGTACGAAGAAACTAAATGGAACTAGCTCTGGGTTAGCATAATGAAAAAAAAAGTCCGTTTCGTCAAAAAAAAATCCTCATTTATTATTTAAAAAAAAAGACAACTTTTAATAGAGAATTAACATTAATTAATAAGCAATATAAATAAAGATTATCAAGCTGTAGTAAATCTATTTCTTAACCAGATAATTTATTTTTAAAATTGGACATAATATAAAGCCGTACTTACTGATAAAGGTCATATCAGGTACAAAAAGGATTGATAAATATGACTGTATTAATTGAGACTTGGAGAGATCTTAGAGAACATTTTAAAAACTGACTCTAGTAAAAACAGAACCGATGTGTTTTGTTACTAGGCGATAAAGAGTGACCCACAAAAAATGTTCCTAAAGTAGGCTGTGACCGACAAAGACAGAGTCATGTGATAACTACACATGCGTGATTTATTTAAAGGCCTGCTTTAGATACATTTTTGTAGATCACTTCATATTTGTTGTTGTCAGCTTTCATTTATATTACACCCTTTCTCTTTTTGACTTCAAAAGATCTTATGAGCAAAGCGAGATTAGGTATATGCATTCTTCAAGTACATAGTATTTATTGATTTTACTTACGTAGAAATAATGACGTTGATAATTGCGGTTAAGTGAGCGCGGCAACCTCAAAATTCCCTAAACTTACTTGCTTGTCTTTATTTTCAGAGAACAGCAGCACAATCGAGACAATTAAACAGCGAATGCGCATTGTTACGCTTTTATGATTATCACGACATTTGGCACTTCATGAGCGCCATCGGTATGTTTTTTACTTTCATGACATTGTTGACGTTGGACGATGACCTGTCGCATACGCACCATTCACAAATACCTGTATTTTAAAAATTTACTTACGCAAACGAGATTCGTTTAAGCGTTATTTTGAATTTTGTTTCAGTTTTCTTTTTTGTAGTCTGTATTAACCCATATTTTTTTTTGATTGTCTGAATTACGGACATAGAGGATGTTATTCAAATACATGTACATATTAAAAGTCACAATAGTGTATGGTGTCCAAAAACGAATGACACCAATTTTAGCAATATATTGTAAAATTTCAAAATGGGTCAAATTATCCTTTTTTTTTTTCAACCAATTTATTGTGACATGCTACTGATTTTCTTCGATTTCCGCGGCCTCAATGGTTATTTTCTCCGCTGTTCATTTGTATGTATCGGTTCATTACACACAGGTTGCTTCTTGTGACACTACAAAAAGAATTAGGCTACTTTGAGTCAACGGTCAAATTGACTAGTATGGTCGGACCGATCGCTGAACAATTTAAACTGCCTAGTTCTAATTTTTTAAATACATGATCTACAGCACACGTATTTATTCGAACTTTGATAATTAATTGTGAAGTAACTATAAATGCCAAAATGCCAGAGAAACCAACTAAATTGCTAAATTTATAAAAAAAATATTTAAAATGTCGTTTCCAAGCTCATTATTGGTATTTTTCAATTTCACATTCTAGGGGCGTCCGAATATTAATTTATTTTAATTTCCACATGTATTTCAATATCATCCTGTATAAAGAGTATCCTAAACTTGCAATATTAAATAAAAGATTGCTTGTATATTAAAAAACATAATATTATGTAGTTTTTAAGAGACGAGCAATCTTTAAGGTCAAAAGCTTGAGAGTTACTATTAGTTTCAGTTTTCAATGTTTCCTACTAGACATTAAACAGTAATTACATACTGGGTGAAATAATGTATTATATTAACAAAACAGAAACTATGGTGTGAAATTTGAAAAATGAATGTTAGTAATGGTTTCTAGGGGGAGGGCAAAAGATTCGTTCATCCCAAATATACCAGAAACATATATTTTGTTTAGAACCAGTCACTGCCTTTCAAAAATGCTTGAACGTATTTTTATATTTCCAAATTGGAAGCAAATAACGTTGTAATATATTTAAATTGCGTAAATTTAAGTGACTGTTAAGTGAATATTAAGCCATTACAGTGTATTCATCGAATTTCTAGCCAAGAGTAACCAAAATCAGTGCAAACAATTTCAGGAAAGAAAATTTTGGAAGTAGAAAATACTCGTTTTATATCTCGAAAACACTTTAATAGGAGTGAAGTACTCCTGAATTGAATAGGTACTTACACTATAGATAGCACTAATAAAAAAAGATAATAAAGATCTGATTTAACTTGACATAAAAGGATTCATTAATAATAATAATTATTGATAGTATTTTAAGATATGTATTAAAAATAATTTGTCTCGATTTATTATTTTTAGTTTTACTTATTCTAACTTCGTTTTGACATATAAGGCTATTATTTGTGCACGTAGATAAACCAAACTATTTAAAAACTATTTAAAAAATATTAATTAATATTAATTAATATACAATGTCGGTCATTGAACGCTTTGCTAATGTCAAATAGCGAGTAGGAAACGAATAATATCAACGTTACCAGTTTAAACGACCCGCCCGGCCGCGTAGGTATATCACACAGCGCAGCCGCGGCAGACAGTCAGTTTGAGATTGGTTGTTGAATTGTAAAAGATATGAGTTCCTACCTAATTTTTTTTATAATATATGGTTTACAATCTGCTTCGGAAAAGCTAAAAGTAAATGGGTTTAATGAATAACATCGGAAATGAGAAATTGTCCAGTGACAACGCTCCGACTTAGTTCATCAGTTGACCATCGTTTTTTAGTCTTCTTATAAAGTTTATAGGAACCTATTGTCTGACTTGCTAACTTGGGTGGTCTTCTAAGCGTTGTAGATAATTGTTGGTCAGTCTAGTTATTTCCTCTTGTACATAGGGCAATCCTGAATCTTCATGAAGGGTTTTATTACTTACATACCACGGAGCGTTATATTTTTATCATTCGCAATGTTTTCGACTTTAGACCTTTGATTATTTGTGTGTTGGAAGGTTTAGCACAGCTCTAGAGCTGAATCCCGTAGGTCAATTAGCTTGATAATACATTTGTAGAGTAGAAGCTCGTTGTTAGGTGAGAGCTGTAATTTTCGCCCATTGGGCCAATTCATCTGCCGAAGTTTAAGGTTTATTTGCAATCTTTTCGTCATTATATGGGATTTCGATGTTAATCTCTGGTCAAGGATTAGACCAAGATATTTAATCTGTACGTTATTTATTGTAACTCTGAGGAAATTAACACGCCGATTAGTGAACGTTATTTGGGCTGATTTCGCTTGGTTCACTTTTAGCAGCAGTTTCGGTATAGTTTGTTGTTAAGATGTCGGCAGTGAATGTTAGATAAAGGAAGGGTTCCATTGCGTTGCGTTGGGGCGCTCCAGATTTAATTTGGTGGTATTCTGTTGTGGTCGTGTTAAATTTGGTTTGGAAATTACGATCTGTAAGATAGGATTTGAGAATTAGGTAATGAGGGTAAGTTTAAGTTTGTATAGGAGGCCATCGTGCAAGCTTTATTAAAAGCTTGCTCAATGTCTAGGAAAGCAGCAGAGCATACTATATTTTCTTCAAAACTTCTAAGTATCTCATTTACTATTCTGGTGCTTTGTTGTACAGTTGAATGTTGTTCCCGGAACCCAAATTGATGAATTGGTATAATTTCATCTTGTTTGAAAAAAATGATACATTTTCAATAATCTAAAAGAAAATGTAACAATGATCAGTTATATGAAATAAAATTCTGGAAAATAAAAATAAATTTCTGGAAAATAAAAATAAAATTCTTGAAAATTAAGACTTCTAAACAAAATTAAATGAGTTGCTCAAACATGCCACGTTTTTGTAAAACTACTTTTGAACATTTTGTAAAATAATTGGTGAAATTGTGTTTGAAATTTCAAAAACTTTCACTCGCTCTTACAATGTGGTAGGCCTCATTTGAGCGTGTCCGTAAACGGAAGATAGTCCCACAGAAAAAATAATATGACCCTCAGTCGGGTGATCTAGGTGGTCACAATATGATACTTTTGGCACAAATGAGCCGGTCAGGAAAGACTGTTACCAAATACTCCTGAACATATCGTGCGTTATTTGCAGGAGAGCCATCCTACTTTCATCTAAGTTCACATGTAGGTCTCGTGTCATAACCTCTTGTCATAATAAACCTAAGTATCATTCTCCGTTTAAGTGTCCATCGATAACAAATGGACCTACAATATTATCTTCCAATATCCCTGCGCCCAAAAGCATTTTTTTGTGAATATTGTGTTCTCATTGGTAGGTACACTCCATCAATCCACCTCAATTGCTAGAAACGAACTGACCGTCTGTGCTGTGTGATGTGAATAGACACACAACGAGAGATATCCCCACGTGGTCGGGCTACGTTGATATTATTCGTTTCCTCCTCGAATTAAGGCTAACTCTGTAGTTTTCACTTTGACATTAGTAGATAGTATTGGAAAGCGTTCAATAGACGATATCAAAATTTCAGAAAGCTCTAAAGAATATCATTGCATGCTTGTCGTTTTGATGCTTAAACTTTTTTTGAGAAATCTGCTTGTCGCTTTCTTTGCTATATGAAACATAAAAATAACAGTTACTGAGTGATTTTAGTTTCCGTTTACCTCTATACACTGGTTGTATTGAGTGGCTTTAGCTTCACTAAGTTTTTGGTCATAAGTTCGATGAATACATATTGTTAAAATGAATTTCAGAAAATATTTTTATATACACGAAATTAAAATTACTTTTATAAACGTTAAATTGATTAACATAACTACTATTAACCTGTTTTAAACTAATTTAAAAAGTTGTAGTTTTATTCCTAGAATATTTTGTTACCTTAGTATTTAGTAGTAGTATGTGTATGACCAATAATTACCTATATTATATATGTTACATGCTTTATTATATACATTACTAGAGAGTTTACTGTACACTGTGAGCCAAATTAAACTTATCCTTTTTTTAAAAATAACGTTTTACATAGGATCACCTATATATTATTATTTCTAGGATGTCCAATTTTTTCGATATATAATCTATTTGAAATTCTTTAGTAAAAGTGAAACTGCTAACAATTTTTGCATTCAGGAATTGTGTATAACAGTGCATCAAAGTTTTTAACCATATTTACGTAGAAACAATAAAGGTTTTATGTTTGTATTATTCCCGCTCAAAACCGGCAAATAAAACAACTACACATTATTACAAAGCTGCCAAATATTCTACTCGGAAGGCGAATATTTGCGTATTCTTCTCGTAACGCGTAGCTAGTTTCAGTTGTTAGTTGTTCTATTTTTTGTTCTGGTTGAATTGTCTTGTCTTTTTTTGATTTGAAACTATCTTTTAACAATAAACTTGTAGTTGCAAATCAAATTTTAATATTTTTCATACCGATGATCTCTTTATTCTTGTTTGTTTTGAATTTTTTTTTACGATGGCTTCCTAGAAACAATATACCAGCCCATCTGCCCTCCAACCTAGTAATTAAATAGGTGTAACAGATTGAAAAGTTATTAATGGTTAAAATTTGGCTCACATTGTATACGTAATATAAAAACGTATAGGGTAGGTATACACTTTACAATGATAAAGTAACAAATGATATCCTGAAAGTCTAGTCTAGATGATAAGTATAAAATAAAACGGAAAAGTTGTACGACTGTCAATAATTTACATATTTAAGCATAAAATTTAATATTGGAATTATCCATGTCTATGAGTTTGTTTTTTAGTTATTTTGTTAGAATGGATGATTCATGTTTTCTCTTTATTGTTGTTTTAATATAGGCGTCATTTTCAATTGGTAGGTACTGTACTAATAATGTATTTGAGCAAGTTACTTATTTATGAGATAGGCACTGTTAAAGAATTTATAATAATCATTGGTTATCCTAATCTAAAATATGTATGTAGATTTAAATTTAAAATCAGGATATTTTTTTAGTTTTGATAATTTTTAATCTTGACTAATTCGAAAATTTGCACTTTGATCTACAAATAGACTACAAACAAATTTGAGTTGGTTTCATAATTATGTTTAGGTTGCCTGCTTTAATACCATTGTTACTTTTCAAGAATCGCATTGCTTTCCATGACCAATCCAAATTTGGGGATCCTAGGGTCAATTATAAGACAATTTTATTTAGGAATAAACTAAAAAGCGCTTTTAAATTGTGCAGAGTTGGAAAGTATATTAATATATTTTCAGGTTAAAATTAAAATTAGTCGAGCCCTTGTGGGAATTAAGCCATCATAAAAGATTATACAACTTAAAAAAACAACTGTTATTATTAAAATTACAAACTTATTCTTCAAAACAAACCAAGAGATTTTAGAGATCAATAGCACAATGGGTAAACATGGTTTTAACAGAGATGGAACAAACTTATAAAACAATTTTTTTTAACTTATCCATATGCCACAGAATTAAAGAGATCAAATATGAATTGTGTACACTCCTACTACCTTCCAAGTTACAGAGCTATAAAACATATAATAGAAAACATCCATAATCAAAGTTTGTTAATCCATGATACTATTTGCTCAGTGCGAAGTCATGTTATTTTGGCGTATCAAATACACGTATACATTTTACTTATTAAATAAATAGTTAAAAGCAATACAATGAGCAACTGGAGTTGCTGTGTTGTAAATTATAAAAATAGTGGAAATTAAATCAAAGAAACGTACCTATGATTGCAGTAAGAAGGGAAAAGTAATTACAAACCTTTATTTTTGTAACAAGAGTATCTGGGGGTGGGTGGCTCAGTACTAGAGTCTCTGCCTGTGGATCCAAGGGTCCCAGGTTCGAATCCCACCGTTGGCCGGGATTTTTTTATTTAATTTAATTATTTAAAATTAATTCTGATGCCTTGGTAGGATTCCCCACTCGACCATTCACTGTTGGGTTCTAATTAACAGTGCTGTTTCCTAAAGTGGCGCTGGGAAACAGTAACAAAGCCTACACAGAACACGAGGCTAATAACCTTGGTACTTGATGCTGATGACACCAAATTAAAAAAAAGAGTATCTGATACCTAATGAATATAGTAGACATCAGAAAACTGAAAAGTTTTATTTAAATTATTTTAGTAAATGTCGTAACGCTGTAACTTTGGAAGAAATATCAATGGACCAACAACTTTTGTTTTTTTTTGTCTTATGGTTGATGCTAGATTACGTTCCCAAATTTTGACCATAATGATACCGGACATCTTGTAGGTATGTATAATTTAAAGTTGTTCAAAATTTTAATTGATGTGCAATATTGTATTGCGCACAAATTAATTTCTTTAAAGTATATAGCCGAATTAATCAAAATATTGGAAACTAACTCAAAAGTGTTTAAAAAAATAAGTATTATAAGAAAAATATTTAACTATATTATTGTGATATTACTGTAATACATTTAAAATGGGTATATTTCAAGTATTTGCTCAAATGAAGCAGTTGTTAAAATACTGTGATACTTTTAAGAGTAACGAAGTTATGTAATTTTTGGACTGCTTATAAAAATAACATTTCCAGACGATTTTTTTTTTCCATATTATTAGTGATTAATTATCTTTTTATCGTACTCTAAAAACTCTATATACAGTCTGGAACATAGAATATCAGCCATAGGAGAGTTAAGTGGCAAAGCTTTTTACTTTTGCGACACATTCAACGCCATTCTGTGGTGGAATTTTCAGAGTGCACCGGCTGTATCCAAGTGACTGTTTCATTAAATAATAAATTAACAATTATTATTAGATCATGATTTTCTAGGCAAGCCAGCCATATTTGCTTTAAGCTTGTAAATGTAAGGACCACAATAGTGTTGCTACTACAAAGTCTTCAATAATACCCGTATATCTCACGTGACTAAAATTTTGTCATTAGTTGGCTAAAAGTAACATTAATAGAGATTATTTAGATTATTCTGATTATAAATGACAAAATTATGTCTCGACAAATTGATATAAAAAGCACTCAAAATTTAGAAACAATAAAAATAGTCGACTACTTATCAAGGTCTCGTTATATTATTACTATAGAGATCAGCCACTAATAGTGACAACGCAATTAGGGTAGATAAACTCATGGTAAAATAAAACTTATTACAAACCTGAAGTTCTGACATTAGAGTCCTTATACATATTCCTAAACTCATTTGTAAAACTTTAAAATTATAGTTCATCTTTGTTTTGTCTATAATTATGTACATAATATGGAATAGGCATTGGAAATTGCCATTTTAGAAGATTTAGATGATGACATTTAATATCAAAAAACTTCGAACCAGAGCATTTCTTTATAAGGTTTGGTTACTCTGCTTTGGTTACATGTTACCAAAGCATATGTAGCTACATCTAACAAAGCATTTATTTATAAGCTTACTAGAACATACTATAATAAAAATAACAAAATCAAAACATCCTAAAAGTTCTAAAATTCAAATTCCATTTGGAAATCCCCAAACTAAAATTAAATTTGACATATGTCATTCAATAATAGGGTAACCACAATCACAGAACAATTACCACAATACTGTAACCAAGTATGTTGTAGTAAACTTATAAAGAAATGCCTAAAGTCAATTAGTTCTAGAACTTAAACGGTCAGCGCATACTAAGATGTCAAAATAAGAGCGGCGCTAATAAGTGGCTGACCTTAAGTGAACTTGCATCAGAGAAATATTGCGATTTTTTAGTTTTACCAGATTACGTAAGGATACGGATATTGTTGAAGACTCGTTACATTATTGTACATTAAATGACAATGAAGTTCATAATATATTTTACAAAAATCATAGTGTTTTATTTTAAGATGTTTCCTATTTAGACTTATTAAACCAAGCAACCCCTAATAAAACTCGTTGAGTTTAAAATTCACTACTTATTTCTTATGAGCTTTGTTCGCGGAACCTGTCGGCGACCAGGGGGTCAATTCCCGACTTGTAGGAACCTTTTCCTATAGGAATTTGTGACACTTTCCTATATGTAGGAATATGTCATAAATTTTCGATGTATGTAAAAATGTCAAAAATTCCTATAGGAAAATATTCCTACGAGTCGAGAATCGACCCCCAGGTGGGCTATTTTCAAACTCGAGAGATAGTGAATTCTCTCAAGATTTTCATGAAAAATATACGTCAACGTAAAGGCAGTGAATTAAAATGCTTAGATTTTGAATTCTCTCGAAATAAACCGAAACAGTCGGTGAGTTCTCACTTGCTTTAAAAATACTGTTTTCACGTTGACATATGACATTTCTCATGAAAATCAATAAGGAATTTTTCGCGGCATAAATCAACATAAACGTTTATGGTAGATTATGTTATTTAGGCATGATCTTCCATTTTGGCCGACATCAAGGACCGGAGGGGAGGTTGTAATGACGTCACTGTTTAGCATACTCGAACATGATCTCATCCACAGGCGGTTATGTTAATTCCTGTGTTTGACAAATGACAAGAACCGGTATACAAAAAGGTATTTTTCGCGACATAAACGGATTATGTTGTTCGATCATGTTCGTCTATCCCCCCACCACATATAGTATATGTTGACGCGAAAATGGAAAATCCATGCTGTTTTGAAAGTGGGCAGTGAGTTGAAGTAACAATTTTTTATTACTTCAATTACTTATGTGTGTGTAAACCACGCGATTTTTCCTAAGAGTTTAATTATTTTATATTAATTATTAATGTACCTATATATTGTCTAAAAATTACAACAAATTCTACTTGTGGTATTTATATTTACTATCTTTAATTGTTGAATAATTTCGTATCTTTCCTCTACTTCAATTTCAATCTTATTTAATTTAAATTTTAAAATTAAAGCCATCTTTTAGCTTTGTATACCGGTTCTTGTCATTTGTCAAACACATGAATTAACATAACCGCCTGTGGATGAGATCATGTTCGAGTATGCTAAACAGTGACGTCATTACAACCTCCCCTCCGGTCCTTGATGTCGGCCAAAACGGAAGATCATGCCTAAATAACATAATCTACCATAAACGTTTATGTTGGTTTATGCCGCGAAAAATACCTTAAAGCTAAAAGATGGCTTTAATTTTAAAATTTAAATTAAATAAGATTGAAATTGAAGTAGAGGAAAGATACGAAATTATTCAACAATTAAAGATAGTAAATATAAATACCACAAGTAGAATTTGTTGTAATTTTTAGACAATAGGTACATTAATAATTAATATAAAATAATTAAACTCTTAGGAAAAATCGCGTGGTTTACACACACATAAGTAATTGAAGTAATAAAAAATTGTTACTTCAACTCACTGCCCACTTTCAAAACAGCATGGATTTTCCATTTTCGCGTCAACATATACTATATGTGGTGGGGGGATAGACGAACATGATCGAACAACATAATCCGTTTATGTCGCGAAAAATACCTTAAAGAGTTCTCCCAAGTTTGAAAATAGGTCCACGATAGATGAGTATATACGCATTTCGATTTTAACCGTTCGCATGCTCACCTGTCGTGGACATGTCGCCGACAGACTGCGAACAAAGATATTTAATAATTCTGCGTCTGGTGGGAATAAGTACATAAGTCAAGACGAGTGAAACGATATTACTGTGACTTATATTATTATACTCACCGCATAACGCCGCACTTCGACACCAGAGCTGGGTAATTACATGTACTTTAAAAATAATTACAAAGTACTTTTTTAAAAAAGAAATTAATTACAAGTAAAAGTAAATTAAAAATAGAAGTTATATTGGTTTAATTACAATTATTATCAATTACCTTTATAGTTACTTTTCAAATTACTCTCTGCGGATAAAACAACAAATTATGATAGAATTGAGGAACCGTGCCAACCGGACCGGTAAGAATACATTTTTTAAAATGGTAATACAAAGTGTTTAACCCGAGAATATGTTATTCTCTTCTCAGGTTCAACTATAACAGCCATTTGCAGCGACTTTCTTAATTATTCCTTAAAGGGCGAGTTGTATAAAGTTAAACTCGGATTGAGGTGTTGATACAGGACACATTTTGTATGGCATAGGTACAGTCTTAACACCATTTAGCATTTAAATCTTGTATTTAAAAGTAATTCTAATTAGAAAATGTAACAATTGAAACAATATAATTACAAAGTACAATTCCTCCACAAATTTTGCTGCAATTACAATTCCAGATTACTTTAAGAAAAATGTACTTAAATACAATTACAAATTACATAAAAAATGTAATTATTAATTACTTTTCAACTAGGAATTACCCAGCTCTGATATACCTACACAATCATTTCTAACATATTTAGGCTTCATTATTGACTTATCTGATTTTACAGTTATCTGTTTGTAGTTAATTATTGAGGCTGAATTTAAGTTAATAAAAATATATTTATGTTAATTGGACTAATGTGCTCATTCCCATCATACGCAGAATTATCGCTATGTGCAAATACATTACCCAATATAGGTACTTATTTTTTTAAAACATAACTACGCCTATGGTTGCACGTCAAATAAAAATGGATAAGGTATCTGAATATTGCTAACTGTTGAGGCCACACTTTTTATAACCGGTCCAAAAAAAGGAGAATTAGGCATTCCAAACAAATGAATTGCCAGTGGGCAGGTTTGGTATATCTAAGGGTGGGCGACATATGGTGTATTCTATCTACTTTACGTAAAATCATGAATAATGGATTACATTTAAATATTTTATGTCAAACACAATAAAAATAATATTTAAAAAACCCACCTATACATTTCTTCATAGATTGGCAGGCTTGGCGAGTACTACTTCGAATAAAAATAGCGTCCAAGTTGCAAAACTATGTCGCTACCCCCTTAAATATACAAGAATTTCCCACTGGCACCTATTGTTTGACAGGTCGTTGGAATGCCTAATATTGATTATTTGAGGTTATTTTTGATTTTTAATAAAAAAAAATGTAATTTTTTTCATGTAGAAATTATTTATAACGTAAGTTAAGTACCCATTTAATATTGTGGATTTTGATGGAACCACCTGTAAAACCTGATGAATCAGACTGTTGTAACTCTGGTTGCAATCCTTGCATTTTGGATGTTTATGAGGAACAACTGAAAAAATACAATGAAAGAAAAACGCAGGAAGTTTTACATTCAAAATTTTATAAAAACTGCCTGATAATCACAGGTTATAGCATTTTTAAAGTTATAAACATCGAAAATCATGCCGACGATGCAGTGTTAATCACTTTTGAATTCGTTGAATTTTTAAAGATTGCTGAGAATGAAAATAACAATTTACAAGTAATGTACAATCCTGGCCAGTATTTTATGCTTAAAGCAGGACCCAAAGATGAAGAATTCCAACGGTCTTATACACCGATACCAGTCAACACTACAAAAGAACTGCAATTTACTGTACTAATAAAATTGTACAAAGTGGGTAAAATGTCCCAATATATCAGGAGGCTTAAAATTGACTCAAAAACTATTTGGCGAGGACCCTATGGAAATTTTTCTGTCAATTATACATTTAAGCATGTTCTTTTTATAGCTCAAGGAGTGGGAATTGCACCTTTATATAGCATAATTTGTGATATACTCAGAAACGAGAATTGTAATACATTCTTAAAATTATATTTTTGTTGTAAAAGTTGTGATAGTATTTATTTAAGGAACGAAATACATGATTTACAATCTAACTGGAATTTTAGCTATGAAATTTTTTTAGGTAATTCTAAAAATTTAACTCAAAAGTACAATGAAACTGTTCATAATTTCAAATTGGATAATATGCTGATAAAAAAATATTTTATTGATAAAGATGAAAATATTCAGGTGTTAATTTGTGGTTGTGAAAATTTTATGTCATGTTTTAAGGAGATTGTGATTGATTGTAATGTTGAAGATCAAAATATAATTTTGTTTTAATTTAGTTTTATTTTAGTAATACTAGATATTATGAGAAAGAACTTTTACAAAAACTTAAAATTATTTATAATCACTATAAATTAAATCATATTCATAACACAAAATAATTATTTAGTAATTTAAAGATTATTACACCTCATGACCAGCTGCTTGCCGCAGCAATATATAGATTTTCTCTTTTATCCAGTCCTTGTTGTAAGGAGCATATGTATTTGTTGATTTTTGGTAAACCAAGCAGCTCAAATCTGAAAGCTAAAAGAAACGAACAATTAGACATATTTTTATATTTATTTATTTTAAATTCACGGACATTAGCTCTTTTGGCTAATGAAAAAACTAAGGATATGTACTTGTAGGTAACACTATTGTAAACAAAAAATCTTAGTTCCATATCTTGGGCAAATTAATAATGACACAAATTTTATAAAAAAATATTTCACAAATTTCCTCAAATCAAAGCTGAGATGCTACTTTTACGTTTCGCACTGTTGCAAGTCTTATGAAAAGTTTACTAGGTATGCAATTATTTAGTATGAAAAGTATAGCAATTCATTTCTAATAATTTTCCTTGCCCTAACAATATTCTATATTATTGTAAGTATTGACGTTGTTTTACCCACCCAGCACCCCTACTCACTCCCTTTTCCTTAAAATTGATTAAATTAATGGAAAAAATGTCATATTTTTGTTTTAAAAAAATATTTGTGATCATATTATGCATTTGCAAAAGATATGAAACTTAGGTTTTTTTCTTTAAAATAGAATTACCTACAAGTACCTATGCTTAGTTTTTCCGTAATCAAAAAGAGCTCAAACTATACATTTACCAAATTCACTACTAGAGTAGAAAAATTGAAATTTAACACTATTTTTTGTAACTGTTTTTCTTACAAGTAGGTTCTTCACATTAAAAGAAAATAGGGTGTGTTGTGTGCTTACCTGATCTACGAAATCGAACAACTGAGAAATGTCGTACGTAATCGTAGGAGTATTTGGATTGCGTCTTTTTAAATGTTCTTCGTATATTCTACAAACTCCTTCCATGCATTCGTTAACAGACTCATAATCTGAATAGGTCCGTGTTTCGGGATTTGTACCGGGTTGTACGAGCAAAATCGTGTGTGCCTACAACGTAAGGGGTTAATAGATGGATGGCTAGTTATATTTTAATTAAATATAAAACTTACCATTGTAATTTAAAGATATGCTCTTACAAATGTATACACGATGAACAAATTAAATCTTAAATTTCTGAAAAAACAAAATATTAACTGTCAAAAGTGTCAAATGTCAATTCTACTTCTTTTTGTAATCAAAGCCTTTTTATAAGTAAGAAATAAGCAAGGGAAGGGCCGATTCCACCGTTGTGTTAGGACCGATTCCACCGTTGTGTTAAACGAAGTTTAAAGTGACATTTTTACATTAACAATGTCATTTTAATCTCCGTTTAACACAACGGTGGAATCGACCCTTTTTATTAATGTAAAAATGTCATTTTAAACTTTGTTTAACACAACGGTGGAATCGGTCCTAAACAAAGATTAAAATGACATTTTTACATTTCCAAAGTCATTTTAATCTTCTCTCTAAGAGCCGATTCCACCGTTGTGTTAAACGAATTTTAAATTACTAAACGAAGATTAAAATGATATTGTTAATGTAAAAATGTCATTTTAACCTTCGTTTATGGCCGATTCCACCGCAATGAACTGGAGGGGGGTAGAATGCCAATGTACACATTTTACTATTAGAACAAGGTGCGGCTCGATGGGCGCAGCCATTTTTATTGTTCATCTCACTCGGGACTATTTATAATAACCATTTTCTGTTTCACATTGTTATTGTTCAATCCACAAGCTGGTGGATCAGACAATAACAATGTGAAATAGAAACTGGCTATTTTAAATACTCCCGAGTGAGATAAAAAATAACCTATCTTCGCCCATAGAGTCGCACATCAAGTCTATTGACAAGCATTCTACCCCACTCCAGTTCATTGTTCCACCGTTGTGTTAAACGGAGATTAAAATGACATTGTATGTAAAAATGTCATTTTAAACTTCGTTTAACACAACGGTGGAATCGGTCCTAGAGGATTAAACTGCCAACAAATAAAAGAAGTTATAGTTTAAACAAAAGTACCTCACATACTTCAATATTAAGTGCTCCGAAACACTCATCAACAAAATTTGAGTCACCATTGATTAAAAAGTAAATCAAATTTGATCTGAGCTAATACATTGAATTGCACGTATATGAATACTTATTTCAGAAAACCTAAATATTTTGGTAACTACATTGAAATGTCTAGAAAATCGGTCATTACGAAGACTTTTTTTTTGTTGCCAAAACATACTGCTTCAAACTTACGAGACAGAAATAAAACATTAGAGAACATAATTAAGAAGATTGAAAAGGTCTGTCTGCAATATCAAAAAATTAGTGAATTGCAGCTTTGAAAAAAAAAATCTATTATTTTGGAACGCATACTGTATATTCGTCTATAAATTATCATCAGTTAAGAATATGTAGTTACCTAATTTAAATTAAGAAACTAGATAATTTATAATTTAAATGAGGTCATTAGAACAGTAAATAAAATTCTTATATTTTTTGAATATCCTGAAATACTTATTTTTGCTAAATAGGTAAATATATATATATTGGTTTGTTTTATTATTAGGTATATTTTTTCATGTTTAAATTAAATTCTTTATTACGTATTTCTTCAGTTCTACAATTGCATATAGGTTTTCAATAGGTATAGATATTTTATAGAATTTCACATACTGCTTGCTGTAAACCTAAATGTTTTAGAACAGAAGTAAAAGTTGGAAATGCTTTTGTCAGTTCTCCGACTTTAGGTGAGTTCGGTCAGTCAGGGGCTGGAGCGGGACAAATTTTAGGGTGCTTTTAAATGACATTTAAGCGTGTTAAACTGTCACTAATCGGACTTAACCTAACGGTAAAAGGGTCGTTTGGAGTTAAAAGTGTTAAAAGAGTTAAAGGAACTTGGCAGACCGAACGCAATGCATATACACATAAATTGACAGGTTGGCAGCGGATCTCACCGAAGTGGACGCGATACATTGGCGTACAAAATTATTTTATAGATGTTAATAACAATTTCGAGTAAATAGTTTAATAAATTGTGAATACTGTTGAAATTTTGTAAAATTATAATTTGAATATTATATATAATACATGTTTAATAATTATTTATATAAATACATGCGATTGTCCGGTTCCGCCGATAACAATTTCAAATTACTTATTCTATGAAACGACACTGGCAGGTAAACATTACTGTGAAATTCTCGGAGCCGCCCGACGTGGTTTGACGTTTACCCCCTCTCTACCTACCAAAAGACTTTTCAACTTTTACTTTCTCTATAGAAGCAATAAAATATTTGAATTATTATTATTTGACATACGTACCTACCTTTTAAAACATTATTTTGTATTTTTTCAGCTATTTTCACATTTAACCCAACGCAATCGGTTTACGTACGCTACTGCTGAAGATTACAATATAAAACATTATTTTTTTTACATTTTGTCAAATTTCTCGAATACGGACCATTGTAGGAAAATTTTGTATAGAACAAAAATTATAGATAATATTAGAAGTAACTTTTATTTGAAGAATTTTCTTCTCCAAACGTAAATAACAGATATATTCCACACACACCCACACGCGCACGCACCCAACCACCCTCCCTCCCATCCACACTATCGCGAAAATAGTCAAAACCGATTCAGGGGACTTCAAAACGTAAAAATCCGTCGAACAGTGGAGGTCGCAAAAAATCATGATTCCTATACTTTCCTTATCTGTATACAGATAGGAAGTAAAAATCATATTTTTCGACCTCCTTCGTACTTATTTTTGCTGCGTTTGAGAATCCACATCGGATGCATCTGAGATGTAAAAAATCTTTGATCACGTGATTCAGTATATGTAAATGTAATGGGACAGATGTGTCCGATGTGGATAAAAAAACGCTCGAGATGTAAAAAATGCATCCGATGTGGATTCTCAAACGCAGCAATGGTACAAACCTTTTATTATTTATGAAGTTTTTGCTAGGTCTATCTGTACCTACATATGCTGCGTTTGAGAATCCACATCGGATGCATCTGAGATGTAAAAAATCTTTGATCACGTGATGCAGTATACGTAAATGTAATGGGACAGACGTGTCCGATGTGGATAAAAAAACGCTCGAGATGTAAAAAATGCATCTGATGTGGATTCTCAAACGCAGCAATTTATTATCCAAGATTTTCAGCTCCCTCCAGGAACGCCTGAATTCAAAATGCGCATGCTCATCTGTCGTGGACTTGTCGCCGACAGAGTCCGCGAACAAAGCTAATAATTGAGGTAGAGGGTATGAGAAAAAATACAATTTTGTATAAAAATAATTTTTCTTAAAAATACATTAAATTATTGCCTCTTTTTAATTTATATATCTTCTTTTGGTATATTATGAGCGGTTTTCAAATGCTGCTTGACATAGGATTTATCTGTGAATCCCTTTTGGCACTCTGGACATTTAAAAGGTTTCTCACCCATATGCGCCCTTAAATGTTTTTGTAACTTGTTATTAGCCGAATATGCTTTAGAACAAAGTGGACATATAAACTTTTTGACAGTTTGTTGGATTTTTATTGTACCGATACCGTGAGCTTTTGCTTTGTGGATATCCAGCGACTTTTGGTATTTGTATCCCTGATCGCAAATGTCACATTTGTAGAAAAATAAATGAGAATGAGTCTGTAAATGCCGCTTCAATACTGACATATTAATACATTTCCTGTCACATAGGTGACAGGGAAAATTTTTTTCACCTGTATGTGTCTTTTTGTGACTATCCAAATTTATTTTAAGAGGAAACTTTCTATTACAAATCTCGCAAGTGTATTTCCAAAGGGATCTGTCCATGTGGACACAGATTTTATGCTTGTACAGATCTGAAGAAGTATTAAAAGCTTTTGGACATATCTCACATCTGTAGTTCCTCTTATTGGCATGGATTTTTTCATGATGGTAAAGATCACTAGCAGTTATGTAACCTTTACCGCAAAAAGAACAAACATGGGGCCTATCGCCCGAGTGATACCTGAAAAAATTATCAATTTTTAATTAAAAATATCCTCTAACTGCACCATGTGGCTGCAAAATTAGTTTTTACCGTTTATGGGCATTAAGGTAGACCATTGAGGCAAAACTTCTGTTGCATATGTCACATACAAACTTCTTTTCCTTTATGTGGACATTATCTAAGTGACGCTTTTGTAAATATTTATTTTTGAATGTCATTCCACATTCCAGGCAAGATGGAGCTACTTTTAAGTCATCCGGAGAGTCAGTATTATTGGTCTCATTGCTCCCATCTGAAGCAATAAGAAATTCATGTAATAGTACTTAATTTTTCAGTAAACTGATATTTTATAAAAAAAAAAAATCAAAATATACCTACTGTCATGTTTTAATAAACAAACTCTTGTATGCCTTTTTAAGACATATTTTGAAGCATATATCTTTCCACATATCTTGCAAGGGACCTTCTTACTGTCAATACCTTGTCTCTTAGTACTTTTGGTTACCTTTTCCGAATCTTCTTCCTCCTCTTTAAAATCCGATACACAGTCATCGGAAGCTAAATTGTTGTGGGCTAAATTATCAGAATCTTTAGTATCATCTATAATGAGGTCAAGTTCCAATTTTGTAGGTTTTTCTTCTTTTAACAATGTATCAGTGCTTTTTAGTAGCCAATATGATTTGTAAGACGCTACACATTGTTGTTTAAACGAGTGTACTTCATGTACTTGTTGAGAACACAAAGTACATAGGTAAAATGTATGATTCCAGTCCTAAAATAGTTTGAATGTAAAGGTACCTACCCTCAAAAAAAAAATAAGTTGGAAATTTTAATTTTACCAGTTCTGGAATACATTCCATCAATTTGTTTAAAATTCCATCGTTTTCATTGTAATCTTTTCCTATATTTAATAATTCCGAATTTGTTTTTAGACAAATTAGACATATTTCTGACATTTTTTTTTGTTATGACATTTTACTTCAAAATAAACAACAAACAACTGATTTTAGAGTTGGGTTGTGATTTCACCTGGGAACTGTTTTTCACTTGTCACTGCAGCAAAGAGCTTGGTAATTGCTCGGAGCTTGGAACCACCTCCGAGCTTCTGTAACTCGATCTCAATCAAAGATATCGGATCGGATAATTGCTGCGTTTGAATATCCTCATCGGATGCATCGAGATGTGAATTTTTTATCACGTGATATAGAATTAGATCTGAATGTAGATGTATGCCGCATTTGAGAATCCACATCGGATGCATTTTTTACATCTCGAGTGTTTTTTTATCCACATCGGACACATCTGTCCCATTACATTTACTTATGCTGCGTTTGAGAATCCACATCGGATGCATTTTTTACATCTCGAGCGTTTTTTTATCCACATCTGTCCCATTACATTTACGTATACTGAATCACGTGATCAAAGATTTACTACATCTCAGATGCATCCGATGTGGATTCTCAAACGCAGCAATTACTGATAACTGAATCACGTGATCAAAGATTTACTACATCTCAGATGCATCTGATATGGATTCTCAAACGCGGCAGTAGTAGATGTGTCCGATGTGGATAAACAAACGCTCGAGATGTAAAAAAATTCATCGGATGTGGATTTTCAAATGTTATTTGCAGCGGCAAATATGTTTTCTATAGATTTCTATCGTTCGCTGTTGGTGTAGTGTCCACCACTGTAAATTACACCTAACTTACTTCCTTCTTATTCCTGATACACATGTCGAGTGTAATTCACTCCTGCTAAATAGCTTGTGGAGAAAATATCCACCAGTGGACACCACATCGCCGACAGGAAGGTGTAGTGGATATTAAAGACTATTAAACCGTGCCAAACGAAAGTTGTGAGGTGCGTTGTTGTAGTTCAATTAGATATGGCAACCCTGTCATTGACAGGGTCAATGATTCATATAGTTATATAGATTGCTCAAAGCAGATCGTTTACGAGCGGCCATATTGCCTCGTAAATGCTCATTAATCTGAATCCATTTTGCAAAAATTTGTTTACAAACAAATATTTAGCCTTTAAATACGGTAAAAAAAATAATTAGCTACATTTTTACTTCGATGCATAAGCTTACATTTATTTGGAAAAATATGGATGACCAATAAAATCACCAGGCACACAGGGGTTACCCATATAACCCACTGGCAAACATTTTCTTTGTGGTTAGGGGTGATTTTTCCGAGGTACATGATAAATAAATGAAATAGTGGCTAATACATATTTATTATGATAATTTACAAGAAATTAATTTTACACATTTAAACAGGAAGTAACATTTAAAAATATCTGAAATATCGCTATTATTGGAAATACTACTAAGGGCCGATTCCACCGTTGAGTTAAACGGAGATTAAAATGACATTGTTAATGTAAAAATGTCATTTTAAACTTAGTTTATAACACAATGGTGTAGATATGGGTAACGCACTAAAATTCTTTGCGTTGATACACTAACTCCGGCGCACTCTATTGCGCCAACTCATTGCGTTATTGCGTCACACCACTGCCTGCGCCGAATGAAGTCGATACACCTCGGTGTATCGCATGATACCGGTGTTATTCAGCGCGGGCTGTCCTTTTATAAGGGTCAAACCGTGTTCAAGGCAATAACGCAATTGGGAATTTAACTAAATTATATGTTTAAAAATAAACGAAAATATAACAGTGTAATGCACCCATTTTTTATTTCATTGTGTTCGGATTTTACAAAGAATACAAAAATTTCAATTTATATAAAAAGGATATAATTTTTGTATACTAGTTTAACATTTATATTTATAATTCTTTTCATTTCTTTTATCAGTAGTTTTCTGGAATTATCATCTAAATCTTCATTCATCTCTTCTTCACTTTTTTTATACTTAATTCAGTTTAAGTTCTCACAAAATTGAACTATTTTATTCTCATGAACAGTCTTTATTTAGAGTATTAATTTATTATGTATTTAGGAATATCTAAATACTTCTTGTTAGTAGTTCTTTTAATTACGTTTTTACCAGCATAAACTGTTTGTGGATATTTTTCCATTTTTCTACCCAATCATTAGACAGATTTGTGAGCCGTCCAAAGGCAATGCAATTATGAATACTTATCTTGCTGGAAAGCTTTTGCCAATAAATATTCTCCTTCTTCCTTATCATGCTTTAAAACATTCCTATGGCTTTGCACTACAACATAATTTTTTCCTAGTATTATCATTCTTGTCCTGTACAAAGCATTTTTAGAGATAAAGGATCATGTAATCCACCCCTTGTTCTCAGCTGTAAAATAGAAATCTAGAATAATGATTAAAAATTAATTAGAAATCTTACCTGGGAGAAAATATTTTCAAGACAATCTTGGTTCAGTTTGTATTATTAAATATGAAATGCTTTATTTGTTTCTCAGATCAATAAATAATTCTTCAATGGAATAAGTTGATATGGGAATTCCTTTCTGAAAGACTGGCAGTGACCGTTTTCCAATGCATTTCATTGTCCTTTTATAACTCTAAATTCATTCCATGGGGACATTTCAATGCCAAATTAGATGATGGGGTAAAAGAATACATTAAGTCAAACCATCTATTCACCAGCTCAATGGAGTCTTTTAATTTATATGCAGCACTTTTTTAACGCTTCTTTCATTATGAAAATAATGCTGTTTCTGGAGTATGAGACAACAACTCAGCTGAAGTGCAACATTTTGCCTTTGAGTTTTTTTCCTCCAAATGGATAGGCCTTAATTTATGTAGAGCATTTACTTCCATTGATGTGATGTCTATAATCTCTTTTAACAAATATTTTTTCAATACTGTTCAATCTTCAAGTTAAAAGCCAGTATCGATAAAACAAATTCTTACTAATTTTAGAATTTGTGGTGCATCTGCAAACACAAACTTTTTCTTCTTTTAAGGGATATTGAAAATAGTTTTTTTTTTTAATGGGAATATTGAGTTGCGTCCATAGTCCTCAATTCCTTCCACCACAATCTGACATACAAGCAACTACATTATATTTTTTGTCATAGAAAGCAGCTATTGTTGTCAAAAGGATTTATTTGTCAAAACCAATATAAACAGATTGTTTCCATTTGTCAAAAAGTCCCTGGACCATTATTACTTGCATATATTTATGGGGCCCAACCACTTCATCTGTCTTCCATCTGGTAAAATTCATACATTGAGCAAACTTTTATAACATTAAATGACAAAGTGTTATTCTTTGCAATTCAGTCTTTGACATTCCAGAAATATTCATCTCTAGCAAAACACCATTCAGAAGACCCCATCTAAGATTTAGCAGCTCACCTTTGTAAAGCTGAAATCCCTGATAAGGGATAGGTACTTAAAAGTATTTCTGAGGTAAAGATAGCACCTTTTACTAAAATATCTTGTTGTGAACGTTTTAGTAATTTTTCTGAAGTCCAACAGGCCTTGTTTAATTCTTAAAAATTACTTCCAACTCATTTTTATTAAAAACTTCCTTAAGCAAGTCAGTAACCCTTTTTTTAATAATGAAATCCATATTGCTCTCATTTTGTTCTAGCATTTTTAGCATTTTTTTTGCTTGTGATAATTCTTCTTTAGTTTTTTCCAATTCGTTTATTAACATTTTATTCTGTTCTAGTAACCTTTCATATTCACGTTTTATTTTATTTTCATCAGACTTGATGCTAGTGGATGACAAATTAGACAAGTTAGTAAATAGTGCAGGAGAATCAACATGGGGAGGCCTTTTGATAATTTCTTCAACTAACACTTTACGTTCTTTTTTTAAAGCCCTTTGACTTCTTGCACTTGTTTGTGTTTTATATTTGTAAGAAACCACATTATGTCCATCTGGTTTTAAATGTAAAGTAGGTAAAGCTGCAATTAATTTAATTGTGAATATTAATTGCACAATAATGTTCTAAAATCTTACCATTAGCCTTTAATTTCAATTTGGGTTCAGTTCCCATGACTCGTGCCCGAATATCATCGATAAAATCCTCTCCTTTAAAATGAACACTGCATATTTTCGCAGTTTTAACATTGAACTGATTTTTTCTAAAACAACGTTCCACCCATATTTTTTGTAAACGGTCGTTTTTTGGAAAAGCGAAAAATGATATCCGTTCTTTTGCTAATTTTTGATTGTAAAAATTGCGTTTGCAAACGGCAACACTACAGCTTGCCATGCTAAAACTTCAAATTATTTCAGAATATAAACTGAAATGAGGTGCGAGTTAGGCTCGAGGCAGTACCCTAATCTAAAATGTTTATAAAAAAAACCATTCACGTGATAATATATTTGTAATTTCAATAAAAATTAGTTAATTTGGAATTTTATGGAAATCATTCCATAATTTGTCCTTGTTTATGTTGTAGCTTACCTTTCAGTCAGACTGCTGATACTATATAAAGTTTACCAGAGTAAAATATTCCAAAAATAATAACATAAACACCACTAAACAGTAATAAAATATGTCCTAAAGTATTAGATTTTTAAAAAGCTAATAAACAAGTACAAACATTACTGCGAAATTATTTCCATTATTTATTATTTCTGTTTCCTGTCACCTGACACATACAGAGTAGAGGTGTGGTTCATGTCATGGGATGAACGACCCGTTCAAAAAGAACGTAAGTGAACAAATTTTTCTGAACCCGTGATCGATTCAATCCCTCTTTGTGACCCTGCAATGAACGGGTGTGGGATAGAAAGCCAATGTGTTTTAGGGTCGATTCCAACGTTGTGTTAAACGGAGATTAAAATGACATTGTTAAATGTAAAAATGTCATTTTAAATTTCGTTTAACACAACGATGGAATCGGTCCTAATTATGTTTATTTCTAAACTTGGATGATCAATCTATATAACTATCTGTAGCATTGGCCCTGTCAAATAACCAGTCCTACAGTGTTGCCATGTCATAAACTTATCATGTGCCTGTCACACTCGGAGCCTGTCATCCGGTGAATGTCCGTTGGTGTCATTGATCTGGCAACCTAGGGATACGACATGCCTAATCGAAAAGTGGGACCGGTCCGCCATTACTGTGAGTGCAAATTGTCAAATTTTATAGGTTATATTTTTAGTGTCATTTGTGTAATTAAATTTGAATTTAATTTGTGTTTGAGCAAATTTTGAGTGTTAAAAACTTATAAAGTATATAATGCCTTGCTGTGTTATATGTTCCTGCTCTAGCGATAGACGTTTTTGTGAAAAATCGACTGGAATAACGTTTCATAGGTTAGTATCAAAATTATAAATATTATACAGGACAGTATTATGACAGGTTTGTATACAATGTGTAAAAGTATGCTTTTAAAAATGCAAAAAAATCATCTATCAACTTTTGGGCCCACCTATATTGGAATAAATACTTTTTCATACGAAATAATATTTATAGATTTCCAAAAAATCCTGAAAAACGTAGCGCGTGAATACAGTTTGTCAAGAAGCATAATTGGGAACCTTCTAAATTATATATATATATGTATATGTTCCAAGCATTTTCTTGAGAAGTACATTAATCGTACGCTATTTCGTTTATCAAATTTATAGGCATTTTATATATTCTTATTTCTATTTAAATATAACCTACATTTGCGGTCCTTCCACCAATTTTATTTATTAGTTCTACAGCTGATTGAAAAGTAGAGCCTTATGTTTTGTGTATGCATGAGTATTGTTTGTTTTATTATAGTTAATTTAAAACAATATTAATATACCTTTTTAATTACCTATAATTTGTTTCAGATTAGTGCGTTTAAAGGAATTGGTGAAAATGAAGCGATTCGCCAGCTTTGGGGATGTGCCAGTAAAAGTGACATCGAAGTTATTCATCGTTTCCAGAATAAATTATTAAGGAACATCGTCGATGCACCATGGTACTGCCACAATACTGATCTTCATAGGAACCTTAAAGTGGAGACTGTTGAAAATACAATACAAACATTTGCCAGTAGTCACCAACAACAACTGCTCCAACATGGAAACCTCGAGATTATCCAGCTCCTCAACAAGCGACGATTTCCATACCGACAAGTTCCAAAGCACCAAACATTCAGTGCTGTGTTTCGACATATTGGAACACATGGCATTCTGTGTTAATATATCTTTTGATATTTAAACTCTTGCAGCTTGGTAACCATGTAGAATTGGATATTTGTTCATAGGACATTTTATGCTTGAAATGAATTCAGGAATATAATATTTAAGTTTGTACAGTGCATATTATGAACACACTGTATATAAGTTCTAATAATAATAAAAATATTTTCTAATGCCTTGGTATGATTCCCCACTCGACCATTCACTGTTGGGTTCTAATAATTAACAGTGCTGTTCCTGAAGTGGCGCTGGGAAACAGTAACAAAGCCTACACAGAACATAATTATTAAGAATTTAAACACAAGCTTGAGACTGGCATATTAGGTATATACACACCTTGGCCATAAGTCGAAAAAAAAAATAACAGTCTTTTTTTAATGAGACTAGCAATAAAATCAAAACCGTTTGTCTAGTATTAAAAATAAATATCACTCATAGATATGGATAAGAAAATATTAAAACTTTATTCCTTGTACACTTTTATTTAATCACATCACACATTATTTGCATTTACAATATTTGCTTGACGTTCATATGCCCCAGTCTGTTTTGTTCACCTTTTCTAGTAGCTTTTTCTGCTAAACTCTAGTCCCTGTTCTACCTCCACCTAGGTAATGAATTATTCAACCATTTAGTCAACAACGGGGTTTTACTTGTTTTACAGTAAGATACTTATCTTTAATGTTCAAGTTTTAGAATTTGAACTTGGATTAGGCCATTTTCGTCAATTTTGTCCTTAGAGCTTTTGGAAAAACACTTGGGAAGTACTCACAAATTTATTTCTTATTTTGCCTAGCGAACAAATTGTGTATTAGAAAATATTCTGGTTTTTACCTTAGTGGTTAAGAAAAGCACAGTGGATACTTTTCCTAACTCAATAAACATTTATTACCTAGCTGTTGGCCTCCCTTTATCAACATCCTACAATTTCAACTCTTTTGCTGTTAACTTTAACTTCATCTGTGACTTTAATTATGATTGAGACTTCAACTTTATCTTCACATTCTTTGTCTGACTTTCAATTATACATGCATGATTATTGTGCATAGACCAATTAAATTGGACCGGCACGCTTGTGGGCATGTTGTGTGTTATTAGGGTAGGCCTTTACATAAGTAGCCATAATCTCTGCAGATGGTGAGAAGTCCAGCTCAAACCAACTACCATACTATCGTCATTGGATCTATAGGTCTCAAGTAAGATCACTTCATATTTTACATTTGTTAGAAGTGCACCTGCACACCGCTGGTTGTGGCTTCGCTGATTTACTGAATGTCTTGCATGAAGATATACACCTTTCAGTCTAAATCTACAAAAGTACCAAGACCAAGTAAGATTAATCCACATTTTGATTTCCTGAATAGTGCATCTACCTACACAGAGATTGCTTATTAGCCATTTTCCGCGAGCCTTGCATTAAGTTTCATATCTGATTATCGAGCTTTTAGTGTATGAACATTTGTTCTTAATTTCGAGAAAGCTGTTAATTAAAGATTCTTTCTCCATGGTTAGATTACTTGACATTTGCGACCTTGTACTTTCCGATAAAGACAGAAGCATTGGGCTCATAGAAAAACGAAAACTAAAGATTGAGCTATTTATGTGCCCTAGTGCAAACGTGTGACGACTGATCCAATAAATCGAACTCTGTTTACTTTTGTCGCTTATGTGAACCAAAAATGTACTATTTATTTTTTCTGTGAACGATTTCAACGCTTTAGGGTTAATTCCACCATTGTGTTAAAGTTTAAACTATTAATTGAAGATTAAAATTAAATTTTATGTAAAAATGTCATTTTAAACTTCGTTAAACCCAATGGTGGAATCGGCCCCAAGTTAGTTATATGATGGTCATTGATTAGTTGCAATTTTGCAAATAATATATTCTCCAGCGCTTAATAGCCACTTGAGTGATAATTAAATCAGTTATATTTTATTTCTTTCATTTACTTTATTCAGCACCTTTCGGCTGAAAGCCGGGCATATTTAAGCTTTTAAACCCCCTTCTTTTATAACCTCGGCCTTCCACTACCTTTTAAGTCAATGTCAATAAAAAGGAAATTAATTTTTTTATAGTTCAAATAATGATATTTAACCAGAAATAGTACAATAAAAACTTGTAAATCCGATTCTGCTCTTCCGCCATTTTAGTGAGTGCAAAAGCCACGCCTACCGGTTCCACTTTTGTATATCAAAAATAATACATATGACGTATCCTTACGTTGCCTTATCAATGGTTGGTGTAGTTCATTCTTACACCCAGGAGCACGTTCAGGAAAAAGTATAAACTTCTAACTTGTCATTTTATCACGTGACCAATAAAGTCTAGAGCATAGATTACTAATGTGAAGTCTAGAGCGTTTGTTTAATAATTCTACATTTAAATCTAATCCTCGATCACGTGATAAAAAATTCACAACATCTCAGATGCATCCGATGTGGATACTGGATAATCAAACGCAGCAAATTTATCAAACTGTGACAGAAATGACGCATGACGTGATTGATGTGCCTTGTGCCGTGGTTCTGTGGTCTGTGGTGTTGTGCCTTCTGCAGCAACTTCATGATGATTATTGATTGGCTGAATGATAAATGATAATCATGCTAATTGCTAATGCTTATTGTTCTGTGATGCTTATTTACAAAAGACAAAACACAGCGCACAGCATAAGTTATTAAGTTTTTATAAAAAGTTGATATTAATTTCTTATTAATATGGCTAAACCCTCGGGATATGACTCGCACAGCGAAGGACCAGGTTTCGTAGGAATTAGATTTTGTCAGGAATGGTAGGTTTATGCAACAAAATTGTTAATAATATTAACCCTAGAATTATTTCAGCAATAACATGTTATATCCGAAAGAAGATAAAGAAAACAAAATATTGATGTATGCATGTAGAAATTGTGATTACAAACAACACGCCGATTCAAAATGTATATATGTTAACAAAATTATGCACGAAATAGAGTAAGTAACCTAACATTTTGATCATTGTTATAAAATAAATGAATTTTCGTGTTCTCACTCCAGAAGAACAGTATAGAAACAATATTATTAAATAGAAACAGAATAATACGTCGCTGAGTGAGGACCACAATATTCCTTGCATTGAAAGAGGGTGGTTAAACCAGTTACTCTCTTTATCACTTTCATGTTCAAATATAATTGAGCTTCTCATCTTTATTTTGCTTGATGCATCGGTTAACTCACTATTTACTAAATACTCTTCCTGTTGAGTTTTAATCTATTTATGTGCTAGTATACTTGAATCATTCGACCTTATTCCATGTTATTAATTCATTTTATTTAAATGCTCAAATAACAACTAATAGGTATATTATATTTTAGTGAACTAACTCATATAGTAGCAGATGTTATTTCTGACCCAACATTACCAAGAACTGAAGACCATCAATGTCCAGAGTGTAATCATAGGTAAAATTAAACATTTCACTTGTACAAGGTCCAATTTTTGCCCTGTTATGAATAGATTCACATTTTCTTTCAATTTTAGGGAAGCAGTTTTCTTCCAAGCCCAGACAAGAAGAGCTGAAGAAGAAATGAGACTCTACTATGTTTGTACAAATCCGCATTGTGCCCATAGATGGACCGAATAAATATTTTTTATATAAAGTAAATGTTGCAGATTTTATTTTGAATCTTAATAAAGCTAAGTTTTGTAAGAACAGTTTTTATTTAATTGGAACCCTCGTTCTTGAAATTGTTGGTACATTTTTTGTCAGAAACATATTGGTATGCCAAAAATTTTAATAAATAGAGCCGCAAAGAATAACGAACATTAGAGAAAGTGGGAACATGTTAATCTGAAGTACCTGCAGAAATTCAAATATTTCAGAAATGGATTAAATTAATTTATTGTCTGAAACAAAAATATATTTATATTAATGTGCTGCAGTACTTCACTGAGAGTGTAGGCCCAGCACTTATTAATCTGTGAGAGGAACAACTATTTCTGCTGGTTGAAACAAAAGAGGATGGGAGAGGGATATTGCAGTATAAAGTACGTAGCTATCTATTATACATATAGGGAAAAAGGGGATCGATGATCTAACTCCAAAACATAATCTATATACCTAACATCCAAAAAACATTGTAATGCATTCCTAAAATTTATTTATATATGCCAATTATTTTTTTTGGTAAGAATTACGAACATTGCACCCTGACCTGATCGAAATTTCAAAATAAAATCATTCATTTGGAATTTCGATTGAATCTAGCACATTATGATAAATAAATACACAGATTATACCAACTATTTTTACATTTATTTTTCAATTTGACCTTTTATCAATAAAAATAAAGCAGAGAGCATCAAGAAATCACCAATTTATTCACGAAATAATTCACGAAGTGTTTTTTGCTCTAAAAAACAATTTCGTTCATAAAGTGATAGCAAACCAAACAAATTTTTCGAAAAATCGCATCGCTCGTTTTTAGCAGTTACCTATTTTACCGATAGTGTCGAATTTTGACCTCCATATGACATTGTTAACATTGACATTTTTGAAACAAATTTCGAAGCCAGTGCAGGCGGTAGTGAAAAAGGGTAGATTTTTCTCAACAACTATGGCTTTAAACAAACTCCCTATCGATGCCTTAGATTTGGGCAACAAAAGGATCCTAATGAGGTAAAAAAACTAGAATATTTCTTATCTAATCGCTTAAAAATTATAATTTTCTATTAAAAAAAGGTTATGTTAATTTTTAATCTTTTGTTAACAGGGTAGATTTCAATGTGCCCCTCAAGGACGGAAAAATTACCAATAATCAAAGAATTGTCGCAGCTTTGGACACCGTTAAATACGCTTTGGATAAAAAGGCTAAAAGTGTGGTGCTTATGTCACATTTAGGAAGACCTGATGGAAATCCCAACCCAAAGTATACCATGAAGCCGGTTGTATCGGAGTTGGAAAATCTTTTGCAAAGGTAAATTGTAAAAAAAATCAATTCCTAAATTGAAATTAAATATGTCTCACTTATGTAATAACATTAAATAAAAAAAATGCTTTCATTTACAGACCAATTGTTTTTCTGCCCGATTGCATTGGACCTGAAGTTGAAAAAGCCTGTGCTGACCCTAAACCCGGATCTGTCATTTTGCTCGAAAATCTAAGGTTTCACATTGAAGAAGAAGGTAAAAAAAAGAAATGGTTGTAATAAATTGATTACTAGAAGCGTCTTATTGAAAAAGCAAGCCTACTAAAGCCCCATTATGTTTCAGGCAAAGGTGTAGATGCCAGTGGCAATAAGGTCAAAGCCGACCCTGCTAAAGTAAAAGAATTTAGATCCAGTTTACGCAAATTGGGCGATGTATATGTCAATGACGCTTTCGGTACTGCCCATCGCGCCCACTCATCCATGTTGGGTGAAGGTTTTGTTCAAAGAGCTTCTGGAATGTTATTGAAGAAAGAACTTCAATATTTCGCCAAAGCCTTAGATAATCCTGAAAGGTATTTTGTTTGTTGCTACTGGTTTTACCAGGGAATAGGTGAACAACACAGAAAGTAACAGTCAGCACTTTGAAGTAAAAGGGATACAAATATCTGACATTCAGCTCCATCCTAGAGTTACTCTGAGAAAACAAATTCATGCGACTGAGAACTGTTCATTGAAACTACAATGCGAAAAATACATTTTTTTCTTTTATACTTTGACAATGCTCCACTATTAATAAGTTGTGGCTAGGGTTTTGACTGTATCCTATGTTTTTTTTCTTTAATGTTCATCTATTCTGTGGTTTTACCTGGCCTTTCAAAGTTAAATTTTTAAATAGGGTTTCACAAATAATTTAATAAAAATAGTTGTCTCATTGTCAATCAAGGTCTTGTAATTATTACCATGCAACCTGCAATATTTTATATTTTAGACCTTTCTTGGCAATTTTGGGTGGTGCCAAAGTTGCTGATAAAATTCAATTGATCGAAAATTTGTTGGATAAAGTCAATGAGATGATCATCGGTGGTGGTATGGCTTATACATTCCTCAAGGAGAGCAAAGGCATGTCGGTAAGTCATCTGATTAAATAAACTATAATTTTTTTAACTTTTCTATTCAAAAAAGAAAAGAAGTGTTTACAGTACCACTGTATAAAGGTAAATCTCCATGCAGTGACTTCAAAATTAATATATAGATACTATTGATTATAGTAATTTTTTAAATTAGGTAGTTGTATTTTATGTGAAAGGCCACTTTTGATAGGCGTGCCTTTAAGTAAGTTGCCACAACTTAAAAAGAAGAAAACTGTAGGATGTCATTCCAGAAGGCAGGAGATTCAAAAAACAAAGAGATTAATGTATTTAAGAAACTTTACTTTGTAATTTAAAACCATTGCATTTATATTCTTTCACAATTATTTGGCACATTCAGCCGACACAACAGTTGATTTATATGGAAACCTGTTTTTGATATGGTGGAAGTCAACAATTAAAAGTACCTGAACTGTAAATGTTGTTGCACATACACATGGTGGCCTTCAGTGGTTACAAAAATAAAATTATTTTCGGTTATAAAGTAAGGTAATGTAAAAATATACTAAAGTTATAATCAGTCAAATAAATATTCCTCATGGTTTAAATTTAAAGGTGCGTTTAGTCAGCCTGATTTAGTTTTAAGCATTAACATAGACATTAACATAAACATTAATTTAAGGATTTTAAAACAAAACCGTTTATACAGAAAATTTAAGCATTAACATAAGATTTGACAAATCATACAAAATGGAAAAAAGGCCTATGGGAGCTGCTTCTGAAATTGCTCTGCTAACTATCTCACAATTACTATTAATAAAAGTGCAGAAAAAGAGTTTAGAAGTTCAAAAGTTAAAAGTTAGAAAAATAGCTTAACCTCACTTTTTGAACGCACATGCGCAATTGTATTTTCGACATAAATTTAAGCATAAAGTTGGATTTTATTTATCTTCACTAAATTTATGTTAATGTTTATGCTTATGTTATTCTGTATAAACAGGTACACTGAAATGTATTGAAATTAACTTTTATGTTAATGTCTATGTTAATGCTTAAAACTAAATCAGGCTGACTAAACGCACCTTAAAATTGTAAAAACAATAAGCAAAAGTCCAAGGTCACAGTCGAGAAATGTAAGGTTATAACTACTTATCAGCTTCATCAACCTAGTGTGGTGAAAAATCATCAAGAAAATCAATAAAAACTACTAGAAATCCCTAAAATAAAAGTTCTTAGATTGACAACAGTGGGTATACTTCGTTTGCAAGTCACGATAGAATTTTCCTGGTGCCAACTAACCAAAACTCAACAAGTGTCGTTCAGAGGACCCAACAAGTTACCATACTCAACGTTTGTGTCGGATGAATGTGTCCTTTAAAAATAATTAATTTTTTTAAAAAATGTTGGTCCTCTAGCCTTTATTATAAGAAAAAAATGTTTACCATTTATACAAGAATATATTTCTCGTAAGGTAAATTAGTACCATTTTACAGTGCATAATTTACTTTGCTTGCAAGTCACATATCCCATAACCCATACATAAATAGTTTTTCTACAATCACTATCCAAGGTAGGCTTTTGCGCTTCGTAATTCAACCGCAAAGTTACGTTTTCAGCGAACTGACATTAAGTGACAGCGTTGTCGATCGCCGAGCGGAAAACTTGACAGCTTTATTGCTCGCCTAATTTAAATTAGATATATTTCTTTTTAATAAATGATTTTGAAGTTATTTGTACCTAGTTTGATGTTTTTTGTTTTATTATCCATTGACTTTGAATATCAACTCCTTTTTTCATGAATAACATAGATATCGGCAACACATTATACACTACTTAAATTTTTCAGTTTTTATATCTATTTCTTAAAATGATCCTAGAAAAAATCTTGTGTTTATTTTGAGTGAAAAGTTCGTTGCCTCTACAAATTGCTACGCGTCATACAGCAACTTGTTGTCTCAAGCGGCAAAGTATCACTTTTCGCTCTTAATACACACATAGCTATTTTCTACACCCACATGGATATTAGCTTATCTATGGACAAACTATAAAACGAGAAACGGAACGAATATATTTCATATCCATTCTTGGTAGTTGAGAGCACTGCAAAAAAATTAAATCCACTAATCAGTACCCGTTTTGATCACCCAACTACTATTATTTTTGAAATTTTAAATAAGTGACAATTCTGTCACGTCAGTATATTTTGTAGTTGAGATTAAATATACATTAAAATGTTTTATTTTTGTGAAAAATCGATAAATAATAGCATTTCTATTTTTGTTTCCTCCACATTTTGAAATAAATTTAAAATTTTAATTAAACTATGTGAAACTAGTTTAATGCGCTAGTTCAGTGTGATGTCATTTTGGTTCCACTGACATTTAATTCTAACCAAACTTTTAACAAAAACATCAATAAATTTGACATACGTTTTTACTGTTTTTATTTTATTTCAAAATATTGTTTACAGGTCATAAAAAATAGTTTAAAGGTATGTAATTGGTAACTAAACGATTGTATATTTGATACATGCTATCTACTTACTTTAGGAATATATTTATAAAAGTGAAAAAATATAATTTAGGTAAACAAAATGAACAAAACGCACTCAAAAAATCTACTGTCACTTTGTCAGTGAAATCATAATTACATCATCACTGAACTAGCGCATTACGAGTATTAAAACTAAAATCCTAAGTCTGGCGGTGGAGATGAGGAGACGGCGTCTGCCTTTCATGCCAGAGACGAGAGTTCAAATCTCGGCTGGAGACCAATAAAATTAACTGCTTTTTGTTTTTTTTTTAATAATTATTTTATTTTATAAATTAGTAAAAGTCATAAATAATTTTGAAAATTAGTTATTTTGTCTTAATAACCTAAAATAATTTTATAATGTTTTAAATTTGTAGATTTTTTTTAGTGGGGCGTAGAACAAATATATACTATACAACTCGAGTGGATTGTCCATATCCACATTCACTCTTTTTTGTTTCTATAATCGGCTTCAACTACCAGGGTTATTTCGCCTAGTGTTCTGTGTAGGATTTGTTACTGTTTCCCAGCACCGCTTTAGGAACAGCACTGTTAATTAGAACCCAACATGTGAATGGTCGAGTGGGGAATCCTACCAAGGCATCAGGTTGCAGAAACTATTGTTTAAAAGAATGTACAATAGGAAAAAACCCAATTACAGTCAGAAAGACAATTCGTTAGAACTTACATCCATTATAACCTTATACAGCTGCAATTTTGCGAAAAAATGGCGGAAATAAGCACTGCCAATCTGTTTTAAAATTTAACATGTTTTGTGATAAAATTACGTAAATTCACTCACTGGGATATGAACTAATTATTATCAATTATAAAGTGATAGAAATACCCCTATGACAAAAGAGTGTCGCATTTTTAGTTACAGTTTGCATGTGTCTTATTTCAGTTGCGCTTTTTTGTTGCTTAGCAGTGTAAACTTTATTAAGGTGCGTTTACACGAATACTTCACTTTGGGAAAAATTAAGATTACGTTTTACATTTTATTTACAAATACTAGAACAATTTACTTTCTAACTTTATAAATAAATTTTCCAGCTGAACATTGGTTTTTAGCGTTTTTAGAGTGTTTAAAAATAATCCAAAACAGGTGCAAATTGTGAAACAGATTCTTTGTTAAAAAAATCTGATGTGTCCAACGCATGACTTTCCTATCTAGACACACACGCGCACACACTCGCACGCACACACACACACTCGCACGCACACACACACACACACACACACACACACACACACACACACACACACACACACACACACACACACGCGCGCGCACACACACACAGACATCATCCCGAAAATAGTCAAAACGGATTCAGGGGACCCCAAAACGTAAAAATCCGCATTGTACTGGCAGTGATATGTAGGAGTTCTTAATATTGTATGCCCATATTCCTCAACATATCTATCTAGATGGATTTCGTTTCGCACAGTGTCTAGGTACACGCTAACTTGAACGCAATTCAAAAAGTTATATACACGCGAAACGTCTTGACAGAGTAGGTGAGAATTCGTTGCTTCATTTTCTTGTTGTCACGGCATTATTATTATTTGTTCATGTATGTGAAATTTGCTTCTAAGGTTTATAAAATACTACTGCTAGCTGCTAGTCATGGCGTAAATGAAAACAAACACGCATTCACACAAACACCTCCCACCACAGCAATATGACGTTTCGCGTGTATACAACTTTTTGATTTGTGTACACTTTAGCGTGTACCTAGCAACAGTGTTCTTTTCGTGGTAGATTTTATGTACAACTTACCAAATCTGATATTTCATACCATTAATTGTATAATTAATGTTCTTTTCCTGCAACCATTTTATCTTTTGTCAACTATAACATGGAATTGGTTTCACGTACCTCGAATGATAACTGACATTAGGCATTATCGATTAAAATCAAAGAAGGATGTTCCAGACTAGGTATAAATTTCGTCTTAAATTTTTCAAAATTATGTTTGACTTTTAAATATGGGATCTGCATTTTTTATAAACCTTCTTCATTGCCACCATGGACAATTATGTATTGAATTCCATCTCGTTTTTTTACTTGCAGTAGCCATCGTTCCATCTCGCCAACTTTTTCTGTCACTTCCCTTGCTATATACCCACGCCTCATCCATAAATACAGGCTTAAAGTTACCAGCTCTATCTCGTTAAAATTTTTCAAAAACGACATCTTTTTTAACTGAATCGATGTTCGTTCCAATTAAAACCTCTCTGTTTTTACTTCTTTTAAAGCGAAAGCCAATTTTTCGAATTCATGTATAATTGACCGTACAGAACATTTCGCAATAGGCATTTCTTCCGAAAATCGTTTTTGTAACGATGTTACATTTTGCGCATCTTCGTACATCTTATATATAACGTGCCTCAACTTACTATTAAAGAATTTACTTTGTTTTACTTTGGCTTACTTTTTTAGACATTATTTTCACATACTCTGTATCAGAATTTGTTAGTTTACTAAGTCTAGATAGTTTTCTGCGAAATATTTACTGGATTAACGTTTCACCACTTTGTTGAATACTTAAACTTTTGAATATATAAATTTTTAACAAATTGACAAATTCAAAATTATTTTGATAACTGCCACCTGACATAAGGTCTGTTCCAACAATGATCGGAAACCAGTCACTGGCACCAGGATACTGCGCAGTATATAATTTGTCGGTCTAAATAATTAACTGCGCAGAATTTTGGTGTCGGTGACCGGTTTCTGATCGATGTTGGAACAGTCCTTTGTTAATAACATGATTTAATTAATCTACGACGTGCCAAAATCTAGTAACTTTTTGTTTCACCCATTTTACATTTAAACAATAAAGAAAGCGAATGGACTTGGGGTATTTTCGAGACTTTATATATTTTATTATTAAATGGTTTGTTTTCGTAACTTGATCTGGTGAACCTGTTTCCTGGTGTACATGTTTAGTGACATGCTAGCAAAATTTCTGCAATGAATTGCCAAGTGTAATACAGATACAAACAATTTATTTGTACAGAATATGAATTGTTGCCAATTTACTTGAAAGCAAGGAACATTGCGATTCCTTAAAGTGACTCTTCAACAAAAAAAAAAGACAATGGCGGAAAAATGTTTTACTTGCCAATATAGTTACAAAAAACTTGATACACACACAATAATGGATACCTTTAACCATTCTTAGTAAAAAATCACACGAATGATTCCTTAATTTTCTAACACACATTTAAAAAAAATGTCCAACTCAATAACATTTGTACTCCATATTCAGTGCCGTGAAGACCAGCAGATACATGAAGGCGTAGAATGACTTCAAGAACACAACGTTGTTGTCTTTGAAGTTCATCAACATCTCCTTGGACGGCACCAACTGCGCATATGTAGGCGAATTAAATTTTTTCGGCCCTCCCGACCAATCGGCCCCATTTGAATACTCTCTGATCACCGTAATACTGGGTGTATCGACAGTTCGTCGGTTTGTTATCATTATGTTGGTGCTACTACAATTATTGTCATTATTTTCTTCAACTATCGATATTTCAGAAGTATTTCTGACGGTCTCTGAAGGTGGCGTCGTGTCGCCAAACGTGTAGGAATCTTCCTTTTCCGAACTGTCATTGGAACTGTCAAATGTGACGTTTTGAACTACTTTGCTTCCTGAATCTGATTTCGTCGGCTGTTCCAGATGTTCTTTGCTACCAGCGAGAGAGCTTGTTTTACTGTTTTCAAGTCGAGGCAGTTGTTCGATGGACGTTTTAGTGCGTTTAATCATATGAAATGATGATTGAGCACTTACGTCCTCTTTGACCTCGTAAAAGGAGACTTTCTTCTTTTGTTTGGCATCGTTGGAGTTTCTTAAACAGCTATGCTTGTCTGTTGTTACACTGTATTCTATAGGGTATTCTATTGTAGCTTGGTGCAAGATACTTGGAATGCTGTACGCATACGCGGTTTGATATAACCGAGCTGTATGGATCTCGTGTGCAGTTTCTGCGTCCATCTCGTTGAGAGTATCGAAAAAGTTGATTAAATTGCAGAACGAGGGGGTGTACTCGAAATTAAGTAATACCTCTTTGGATGGTACCAATTTTAACAGCTCCGTCGTACTAGAATATTCTCCAATTAGTCCAATCTTTGGTTCTGTTTTGGTTGTGTGATTTTTAAACAACGAGATTTGCTTCCCATAACTACCGTTTGCTAGGACGCTTGTAGCCGGTGGTTCTAAATGGTCCTTTGAAGGTATCACTGTCCGCGGAGATTCAGTTGAAGATACGGCGTCGGCGGATGCGAAAGAATATTCCGAACTGTCGTCAGGTTGAATCTCCTCGGCGGAACGATCTTCAATACTTACGCAGTCGACTTCCAGGTGGATTACGTTACTAAGAGATTTAGATAGATGTTCTTGAAGCGAGGCTTGCGATAATTCGTCCTCAGTCACTGAAAAAGAGACCTTTTTCTTACGTTTGAAATCGTCACGCGTTTTCAGACAGCTGTGCATGTCTGTTTCGCTATGTTCGTTGGCTTGATGAAGCACGCCAGGCGTGTAATAAGAATAGGCGCTGTTATATAACTGGGTGGTATGTACCTCTTGGGCCTTTTCCGCGTCGATGTCGTTGAGCGTGTCTAAAAAATTGAGGATGTTGCAGAAGGAGGGGCTGGACTCCAGAGAATCCGCGGGCGCGCTAGGGATATCTCCCGACAGTCTAGAGCGAGTGTCTCGCACGGCGTGCATGAAGGGCGTCAGGAACTCTTCGCTGGGTACTTGAAGAACGTTCTTTTCGTCCGAGAATACAGGTATCGCCGGTTTTTCGTCAACCTGAAATGAAAAAATATTTTCGCCCCGCATATCTGGATTGAACTAGAACATTAGTTTTATTACTTTTAATGCACGATGTAACTATAAAGTGTTTCAGATCTCCAAAACAATGGCCAAAATTGATCGGAACACGAGTAAAAGTTTGCTAGATTTGCTAATCATACGTGTAATCGTGCAAATCACAGTTTATTTTAGCTTCTATAAAGTGAAAAATACAATCGATATTCAATATGCTCTATTGAAAGGTTGACAAGAATGACAGTGCGGTTTACTAATATGAAGCATTTTACTACCTATGAAAAATAAAACCATTTTAAAAATATACTTTTTTTAACTGTGTATAGAAGTCGTTAAAATAAACATCTTTTTCAATTAACTTTTTCAAAAATCCCAAAAATAAGATACAAAATTAATTAATCTAAATCTGTTAAGTATGTTCATGTTTTTTTCTTTTTTTTTTCTTTTTTTTTTCTTTTTTTTTTCTTTTTTTTTTATGAATCATACATTGCAATTCAGTCGCTTCAGTAGTGTATTTATCTGAACTAGTTATTTTAAATTGTTCAGTATGGTAAATTGAAAAGTGCGTTTAGAAGAACACATTTTAAATGTTTTTGAGGAAGATCCAACAACAAGTACACAGGTAATTGCAGATCAGGTGGGATAAGTCGAAGAAAAGTGTGGACAACATAGCTACAAATTGGAGAGCAATTTTGATTGCTTCTTACAACGGCATGAATTTGATCAACATGTTTCGTCGAAAGTTCTGCACATTATTCAAGTTAGACAGGACCTTATTGAATACATTTTGAAATAAATTAATGTAAGTTTATTTGAGTTTTTTTTTAAATTTGTTTATTTAAATGACTTCTATACACAGTTAGAAAAGCATCAACATAGGATTCTCTCTGTATATTTCACTTTCATAAAAACAATATAAAATTAAAAAATGCTTTCAGTAAAACTAAATTTTCAAACATTCTATTGCTCAAGGCGCGCCTTTTTGGCGAATTTATTATATACCAATAAAATGCAATAATGACTAATACTAATGAAGAGATAAAAATGTTCTAAAACAAGACATTGCGAAGCAATAGTGGTTTCTACGATATGGAGAATGCTATAATCTTTGATGAATAAACTATTGAGCGCTAACTTATGATAGTTCATAAGTTGGGTAAGAATACCACAAAAATCGGGAAACATCTCGGCCGTTGGCAACACTGTTGCCGTAAATATACTAGTGAACCTAACGGATTTTACTCGTAACGCTGATTAACTTTAGCCACGTTAAATGGGAGTTTGTTTACCTTATAGTTTACCGTGCTTGGATGTACGATTTGGTTATAGTTACGGAAATACCCCTTACAAAGGGTTTGCTCCTTTTTAATTTGAATTTTTAATATTGTAATAACTCAATGATGAAAAAAAAAACAGTCCTAACAATATTAAATAAAATGTCACATTTCAAAAAGAATTAAGATCAATGTGAAGTTGAATGACAATCATTTATAATAATAATAATAATTGTATAGGCAAATTCACAAGAAATTTCAAAAATATTCTAAGGAATAGCCGCGAGCATGATAGGTGACGGCTGGACCTGGACGTTCCACCATATGACTAGCCGACTATCGGTTAACCATCGAAGACGTGGAATGAATGACGGGAATGAAGTTACTGGGAAAGTAGGACCTTCAAATGGTGGCACAATAAAATGCATGCTGCAGTGCCGCCGTTACAAACGGATTAGCGTGATAGCACGGGAAGTGGAGCGGGCGAAAAATTAAATTAAAAACAAAACTTTCTGAGGAATGAAATTCAAATAAACGTGCAGATTTTTCTTGTATAAAAGTTAGATTTGACTCGCCGCTTAAGAACTTTTCTAGGACAAAAATATACCACAGAATAGATGGAACAACACATAAAGGAAACATAGGGCTACAACTAAAATCCAAGCCACCGTAGAGGCACGCCTTATTGATGGTGGAACATTGTCAAACTACAATAGAAATAAATGTGTTTTCTCAGTGTAGTTTCAATGAATAGTTTGTTCTCGTGCACTAGTTTTTTAAGAGTACCTCTATGGAGGCACTGCAGGTCGGAGATTTATATCTCCTCTACTTCAAAGTGCCGACCATTACTGCCCTTCTATGACTGTATCTTATCTAGAATGACCCTGAGAATCTTCCAATTCTTTAGCACAACCTTTGGTAACCAGCAACCCAATACTGTTAATTTATACTGCTACTTTTCTAAGATGACCTTTATTCTCGTCTAAGCTGAGAACTATTGTATTGAGTGACCTATTACTAAATTGTATCGTACCACCTTAAAACACGTTTAGATGGACCTTGTACCACGTTTAAATGGACTTTGAATCTAATTTAGCCGACTTTAAACCTATGTTCTACGATTTTAAACCTATTTTATACAACTTGGAACTTAGTTTACACGATATTGACCTTGAACCTCGCTTAAATGACCTTGAACCTCGCTTAAATGACCTTGAACCTCGCTTAAATGACCTTGAACCTCGCTTAAATGACCTTGAACCTCGCTTAAATGACCTTGAACCTCGCTTAAATGACCTTGAACCTCGCTTAAATGACCTTGAACCTCGAACAATTGAACCTGAACCTCGTATGACTATGATCACGAATCTCGTCTGTGTGATCTTGAAACTTTCTTAAGATTAACAGAAATTTATTTGGAATGATCTTGTGGAAGCAGAATTAAAATTACGGATTTCTTAAGGATTTTCCTAAACTGAGTTAATATAAAATATATAATATCAAATTAATGATGGTAACTTAAAAAGTAAGTATCGAGTTACTACCCATTAAAAAATTGATTTTGTGCAGTTTGACCGTATATGACTTTTTTAATATTCAAAAATGATTAAACATATTTACAGGCATTTGAAAATCGTTCAGTTGCGCGTAAATGTCCTCCACCTTCTTGATGATCTCGTTCATTTGATCACTAATATCGCTTGTACTCTCTTCGGAATCGGGAGCAATGTTATTTTCAATTTCGTCCAAAGATCCCAGGATTACTCCTCCGGGCGACATTTCGTCCTCCAACGACTGCGACATTTCCTCATTAGATATGACAAACAGTGCATCTGAAAGTGGCAACTTTTCGCCTGTTAGTCCCGTTAACTTTTCGTTAGTCAGTGGAGTCAATTTTTCGTCCGTATGTATCGTCAACATTTCCGAAGGGTGCGTCAGTATTTCGGCCGTGAGTGGCGACAGCATTTCATCACGAGACGTCCAAAGTTCTTCCTGAAGGGGCGACGGTAGTTCGTCTTCCTTTTGGTCCCCAGATGGTGTAAACATTTGCTCGTCGGGCGAGGATAAAGCGTCCTCTTCTAAACGAGCTAATAGTAGATCTTCGGGAGGGGTTAAAAAGTCGTCGTCGAGTGACGTCAAGTTTAGTTCCGTACGGAGCGGCGTCAAAAATTCATCATCCGAACTGGTTGTTTCGTTTATTGGAGATACAGTGCTGGAATCTTCCTTATGCGGAAATTCGGACAGAGATGAATCTGAAGATGACATGTTGTTTATACAAGGCGTACTCAACGATATATCGGCTTTAGTATCCGTGGACGAACATTGGTCGCGTGGAGATGGAAAGTCTTTACTTTGGGGATTATAGTAGTCGTTCCTGAAAAATAGCACATGTGAATTCGATGTAAATATTTGGTTGCTTCACTTTACGTTTGTTACGTTTTCCTGATCCTCCATTATTTTTGAAGGCGCAGCAAATTTTGTAAACAATTACTTACCCAACTCTGTCACCAGACTCGGGCAACTCTTCCATACGAGCAGACACCGGCATTTCTTCTGATCGCGGTGACTCCAAAAATGCATCAATTCGAGAACTTATCGATTCCAACAAATCTCCTGAATCTTCCTCTTCTTCCGCTTCAGCTTTACTTTCACTCAAAACAGTTTCCAATCGGGTCGTAGCGTTTTGTCTCTTCAGCACCGCCTCGTCGTTTTCTTCGTCTCTATCGTCTCTCTTGTTTGTGTTCTCTTCCTGTAATTCCCTGAGAAGCTTGTCCAAACGCTCTATCTGCTCGTTGGAGTCCCAGATAACGTCTAGATCGCTGTCAGAGAATTCCGCGTTCGCTTTGGTAACGGTTTCTTTGTCGGGTTGGTCGCCTTGGTCTCTTTCAATATCCTCTTTATTGTCGAATATGTGTTCGCTGATATCGTCGTCGTTGTTGATGTTTTCTCCCATGGCGAGTTCGTTTCCGAGCGTTGCGATGCTTTCTTTTTCAGCCGGCATGTAGTTTTGAGTTTTGAGTTTGGTTTCCGATTGGGCCTGAGCTGGTTTATTTGTTTTTTGCCTCGCGCTGCGTTGGGATTCTCGGTATTTTTCTTCGGTGAGTAAGGTGGTTACGGAGGAAGATCTGAAAAGGACAAATTGAATACATAATGAAGCCTTCTGGCAAAGCAACTCTAATATAAACCTGTCGGCACCCTTTCTCGACTTCTTTTTCTTGCACTCGCCGCTAGATCGTACGGTGACTTTGCCGTCAGTTTCGCTGGCCGAGGTGGCTTCTTTCGAATGTTCAGAATCTAAGATTTTTTCAAGTTTGCTAAACAGTTCGATCGAAATATCTTGAAGGTTGTTTTCCAATAAAAGTTCTTTATCTAGAAGCATGAAACCGTATACTTTCTTATATTTAACACCACGAGTAATATTTTTGTAACCTTCAAAATAAACAAAGATTATGATAATGCCTCACCTCTATTGTTGGCAGCACTGTTCGCTCCCTGTGACTTCATCATACTCAAAACCTTTGTAATTTCTTTTTCCATAATGTCGAACGCTTCCAGACTCGTGTTATTCCCAGGGGCGTTTAAAATGTCGACCATTTTGTCCTCAATGACGGAAATAGTCTTCTGAATGTTGTTCTGAATTTGGCTGTTCTTCTTTTTTAACCCTCTTAAATGTAACAGCACCTGTCTGTGGTTGATAGTTGGTTTATGCATAGTGGTTGCCAGGGGTGCTACAAATAAAAACAACTCGACAAGTCGTAGGTCTAGACGAGATCTATATCTAACAATGATAAGCCAATAGTTTATTTCACCTTTATGAATATTTTATTTTCTAAATTTAATGTTTTGTGTTGTGTACGTGTGGCAAGACTTCTGATGATGTCCAAGCACCAGGATTTCATTGTAGCTATTTTGGTTTTTACTTTGACTGAACCAGTGGTGAACACTTTTTTTTAGTTCCATGCTGTCTCAATGGTTAATTTAATGGCCATAGAAGAAGTAGCATCAGCGGGTTCTGTTACGACACAATCATTATCGTTACGTAATCCAACTAGACGAAATGTTTTCATGCCACAATTAATGATTATGATCATTTATCAGGATAATGTTATGCTGTATTATTCATGAAGTTCTTCAGGTTCTTAGCAAGTCAACGCTCGTACGGTGCTTACGACTACTAAATATCTAACACAATGATTTCTCTGTACCTGGGCTCGTAGCCGCTTTGTTCATTTACAGTAGTTAGAGTGTAATTCATAATTCCTCAATTCACCAGGCCACTAATCTTGATCTTAACCTATTTAATTTATTACTTACTATTCTTTGCATTGTCCCCCTTCATCAAATTCGGATTGAGGAGAAATTTGCCGCCCGTCGCAGAGCCTACTTTGGGAATATTGGAGGTGTCGGTTGGCGACAGCGGCGGCGGTGGTGGAGTCATCAGCAAATCTGGCGGCGGTATCACCAAATGCGGCGAAGGCGGCTGATGATTCAAGAAAGAAACCAATTTGTCACCGACGCTTTTTCCGTACTTGTACGACAACATTTTCCTTTCGAAGTCTGATTTGGTGTCGCTGAAGACGGGTTCAATGTCGACAGCTCTGGGGGAGAATTTTCGTTGGTCGGCCGCTGGTTTGATGTCGGCCAATTTTTTTATGGCGCTGAAATTAAGTAGATAAAGGCACTTTTGGATGATGGGGGTTCTCCGAAGACAAACTTACCTCGTAGCATTAGATTCCACATGTTTCTTCTCTGGATCGATTTTCTGATCGGAATTTTGAGCGACCGCTGATCTCTGGAAGTAGTTTTGACTTTGAATCGTGGGCCGGGCGTAATGAGGAAAATTTGTGGTAGCCAAATATTTCTGCTGCAGAGCCAAGTCCTTGGCTGCGATTTTTTGCTGTTCTCTCTTTTCCTTTTGCTTGATCTCCATCAATCGGTTCAGGTTCCTCATGATAGCTTTCTTGTAAGCCGTTTGTTGAGGCGTCAACTTTTGGGGTTCCGGTTGGGGGTCGTCGAACGACGGTACGAAGGCAGTGAGAGCTTAAAAGAAATAATTTTATTATTCCGGAGAATTTTCTTGGTGCGACTGCCGTAGTATATAGGTCGTAGTCTTGGTCAAATTTCTCTTCATGTAGATCCTAGTCACCATGAAGCGTCGGAATATTGTGTGAAATCATGAAACTGCACAATTGCCGAGGCTTTTCGTGAAGAGACCACATTCTTTCGGCGTATAATGTAACATAATGTTCCGGTTTGAAAGGGGGTTTGTTTAATTTAATTATAATAAAACAGCAAAAGACGAGAGCTGCGGTGCGGCTTTATGTAATAAGATACTATGACTTATTATTGTAATTCCTGGTTAGATATTTATTGATATTATTGCAGTACTATAATAATCTGACTAAATTCAAATATCGGTACTTTGTGAAGTAACGATTTATAGTCGGCAGATTGTGTAACATGTTTGGTTTTATTGAAGCTGATACTAATTTTGTTATTATTTGTGGTTATTATAGAGAAAAACAATGAAAAGGAGTTGTTTAATGCATACTATAGCAAATATTATACGTCATGTCTGAATAAAAGACCATACAACATGCAGCAGTTAGATAAGGCATAAACAACTGTTAGAGGTTATATTATGAATTATGCAAAATATACGTAAACACCAATGCTTGATAATGCACAGTGGACCCAATAATAATTATTTAGGTATATTCGTAGAGTAAAACTGTATAATATGGTGCATTTAGATCTTGCTAGAATATTTTCTATAAGCTTTTCAGTTGCCGGATATTGATCGTGAGATTCCTAATATAAAGTCATTCAACATTTTTTGTGAGGGTAAATATTTTATAAGAAAAAAATGTTTTTTTTTGGTCTAAAACTATCAGACTAGCTCTAAAATGATCAAAAACAAGTTTGGACAAAAAAAATTGTTAGTGTGTCCACCATAACTCCCGAACGATTTGACCTATCGATTTCAAATTTAATGGACATAATCAAGCTCTCTAATAGTTTTTAATATTTTTATACGATAATACGTTAGAGTGGTGTGGAAGTATTGATTCACCTTGCAGCTTTTTTTTTGTATCTTTGTTTAATACTGACCTACCCTATATAATCCAATGTCTTGGTAACAAACTCGGAAGTTATTTAAACCCAATATGCATTGCCTTTGTGGGCATTTCATGAAACCGCAGCTTATGTTACACACAATTTGTCGAAATGCTACTGGCTCTTCGTGAAAGCCTTGGCAAATTGTGTAGCTTCATGATTTTACACAATATGCCTATGCCTAAGATCTTCATGAAAAGACGGATTTCACTATGAGCCTACGACATATATACATATTTATACGGTGATATGGGACCAGGAAGTGAGCTGTCAAAACCAAGAAAAAAGTAATGTTCCTTGACCTCTTACGTCAAATGGCATCAGACAATCGTCGAGGGGACGTTAAAGGAGCTTCTGTAGCCACGAAGTGATTGAGATATGGAGATCGGAGGAGCCAAAAATCATCATTTCATGAAGGGTACCGAGATTTTAAAGAAATGGAGGGTATATTGGAAAGGAGGGGTTGGTAAATTAAAATGTTTTCCTTCTAAAATAATCGTTATTTTGTTCCAAAATTTAATGTAAATGAATGTCAATGTTATAAATTAAGGCTTACGTTTGCTCATATCTTTTTTAGACACCGAATGTTTTTCTTTCTTCATATCGTCAACCTTGTGTACCCTGACGTTAGTTTTTGGAGTCGATTGTACACTGGTGATTCTTTTCTTAGCTACAAAAAAAAAACAAAATAACACAATTAGAAACAATTTAGAAGCGAGTTAAAACAACTACTTAGTCAAATAGGTATTAGAAGGTAAACGAATGGTTTGGTCACAAGAAACCAAGAGCTAAGAAGTGAAAGGTAGGAAGAACATACAAATACATGTACAAAAAGGAATAGAGGATAAAAATAGAAAAATTGAGAAATTACAGGAAATAGAAGTGAATGGAAATACCGTAGACTGTACCATAATTTAGTTAATTTTTCTTACATTTGACTGGACTGACCCACTTGGCCCTCTCCGATTTCACCTCCTTCATGCTGGGCGGTCCCAATTTCGACGTTTTGACTCTTTTAGCGGGTTTAGGTGTAGCGCACGGGATTATTTCGGGCTCCTCTGAGATGTTATGTTTGATAATTTGCATTGGGGGATTGTCGTAATGCACCCTCACCGGCATTACTATGAGCGACTGGTTGTTCCTTTCCTCTTTCGGATCGAAAAGGTATGGCGCCAGCTTCTCTATGGTTTTCCTTTTCGACTTTTGCTATAACAAAGGTTTTGGTAACGGTATGCGCTAGTTCAGTGATGATGTATTTATGGTTCCAGTGACAATAGATTTTTTGAGTGCGTTTTGCTCGTTTTATTTACCTAAATTATATTGTGTCTTCACTTTTATAAATATATTCCTAAAGTAAGTAGATAACATGCATCAAATATACAATAGTTTAGTTACCAATTACATACCTTTAAACTATTTTGTATGACCTGTAAACAATATTTAGAAATAGACTAAACAACAGTAAAAACGTATACGTCAAATTTATTGATGCTTTAGTTAAAAGTTTGGTTAGAATTAAATGTCAGTGGAACCATAATGACATCACACTGAACTAGCGCATTTCGTTTATGAGATCACTATTATAAAATGAAGTTAGCTACAAACTGGATAATTGAAAAAAGTTGATTTTAATAGATATTTTTAACTGCTCACCTTTAACGCTCTAAACGTTTTATCAGGCAAGTCCAGCAAACTGACAGGCGTCGTCACTCGTCTATCTTTTTCCTGGTGATCGTAAAAATGGCAAGTCTTATCGACGCACTCCACTTTGGGTTGTAGCAAGTGGCTCCAAATGTTGTCGTTTTTTTCTTTACCGTACATCATTTTCCATAAGTACGTGTCCTGGATATCCTTGTTTTGGTCGAGGTCAAGCTCTTCATCGTCCACCAAGTCCTTCCTGGGGTATTCAGAACGCAACGGTAACAGATCCCTGAAAAATAATAAAGTTATCTGTCACACTGGATAAAAAAATACTGAAAGTGGCTAAATGGTCCAATTTTTTGAAAGAAGTACTTACTTGTGCGTGAGGTCGTCCAAAATGTCGAGGTAGTCCAGGCCCCTTATACGCATCTGCATATCGTTTCTGGGACGCATCCAGTGGTATTTAGTTTTATCAGCGGTTTTGTCATCATTAGCATTACTGCTATTCGTAACTCCACATTGACATGCTAAAAAACATTGTGGTGTAATGTCTAATAGTTAGTTTTGCAATGCCATACACAAAGGCAACCCTGATAAATCTTCAATTTAAAGAAAACACTTTTGACTCGAACCTACCTGGTCTCTCAGAGCACGAAAAACATGCCGCCTCTTCAGTCAGCCCGAGATCCTCATCTTCACATGGCGCAGTCTTTGTAGGATCATTCATGTTCTCTTTGCTTAGAGCACTTCTAACTACAGTCGATCTACTTTTCAAACCCACATTGACGCTGCTACCGCTAGACTTTGTGTTCGGTAGACTGAACAAGCTCTGGTTTCTCTCAACGAGAGTCCCGAAAATGTTTTCCTTATTATCGTACCTCTTCTTCCCGGGCGTCATTTCTGAATTTCGTTTGTAGCTTCTCTGCTTCGGAGAACTCATGTTTAGCGAACTTGATCCCGATTTAAAGTAATTCTTGTTTCTGGATTTGCCGCTGTCGATCAGTTTGGGTGTGGATTTTTTCAATTTAGATTGCCACGTTCCGTTGAGTTTTAGTGTTGTTGCTGAAAAAATATGGTATAGTGAGAGCCAGCGAACGCCAAACCTACGTTTTAGTATGAAGGTTTAGATTTTTTGTGTGTGCATATTATAGTACATAATAACGTTTGGGTGTTATGAATCCTGACTACGGGGGTTTTGGTAGATAGCAGGTCCTCAAGGTACCAAAAAATGTCGGTCAAATACGTTATAGTATGAAAGCTGAAAGTTCCAAATATAACTAGTTTTGCGAGAGCTCAAAGGTCTAGATCAGCCATACTCACCTTTTTTTCCTTCGGGCCACATTCGTATATGTGCTATTACACGGGCCGCAATATTTTTGGATGATGACCTTTTTTTTTAAGGATATCTACCTAAAATTAGTTAGTGGGGACTTCTAATAAATAAAACACAAAACATAAATATTCCGTTGTGTTACTGCAAAAACAAGATAACTCACATTTTGAGTTTCGATAAAACACTATTCAAACGTTTAAAACTGAATAAAAAATCAGTAAAAGCTTCAAACTGTTTATTAACTTCAATGAAGAAGGTATTGAAAACATTGTTCACAAAGTATAAACTAATAATCTATCAATAATTGGTAAAAAGAGAGAAAAACGTCACTTAGCTTATTTTAGCTCTACATACAAATCATAATTCAATGTATATGTCACTATATTCAGTCGAAGTTTCAGTAACATTGAATACAGGTAGATTGTGATAATAATGGTGAAATTCATCAGGTGTATTTGATTTTGCAAAATTTTAGTAAATCTTTCTTCTTGCACTTTTTTGTAACTTTGCTTCATCCTTTCATGCATCCCTCTGAATAAATACTGTGCGAGTTTGGTATATAAAGCCGAATTCCTACCCTCGCCCATTGATAAATTAAATCTATTTTTCTGGTGGAACGTATTTAGGATAGCTGAATCTTTCAATACGTTGTCTATTAGAAAGTATGGTTAAAATTCATATTCGCCTGTTACAACTAATACTTTTATTTACGAGTTTTCACATAAAGATTCGCTCGTTACGGCTTGACGAATCACTCGTTACAGCTTGACCAATCACTCGTTACAGCTTGACCAATCACCCGTTACATCTTGACCAATCACCCGTTACATCTTGACCAATCACCCGTTACATCTTGACCAATCATTCGTTCACCACGGAGATTTGAACATCACGTGTTATTATCTAGTGGTTAAGGTTAGCTGTATCGCGGAAAGAAAGGGTGACGTAATCATCTCGTGGATTTCAGAACAATCGAGAAAGGCCAGAGACGGCTCTAGTCACAAGAAAACAAATGGCGTGGGCACAAAGTTGTAATATTTCAACAAACACATTCAACAAAAATAAGTAGCGGCAAACCACTCCCGAAATACTGGTACGTTTTCACTGGAAATCACTACACATTTTCTCGAAAATTCCAAAATCATCATCTAAAATCATGGTCGAAATCAATTCGTCGCTCACAACCCGAAATGACGAAAAAAAAAAAGATCACCGTATAAAATTAAGATGGATTTTCAGTAAAATTACATAAAGTTTTTTAAGTGATTTCCGAAATACCGGTACCTTTTTGACCTTATCGGTTCTGGCCTTTTTCTTATTTTGGCAGGAACACTATTAAGAATCAGAATAAATATATTTAGCAAAAATATGCCTATTATCTGGTTTTGGTAGACACATTTATCAATTGATTATGTTTTGGTATAAATGCCACTCCATCTTGTTTGTCCATATTGTTAATGTATTAACATGGAGTTAGTTTTTACTGGCTATCTGTTTATCATGAATATAGACTTCTTTCAAACTTGTAGAAAATGTACCTACTTAACTCGAAAATTCCAAAAGTGGAGCTATCTTGTTTTTGCAGTAACCCCACAAAATTCCAAATGTTTATTTAAAAAATAGCATGGTATTTAGCGCTGCGACCAATAATAGTGTTGCGGGCCACAAAAAAGCTTGGAGGGCCACATGCGGCCCGCAGGTTGAGTATGGCTGGTCTAGATGGTTGAAACAGATAGAGTGGTCGAATAGAGATATAATGTCAAAGGTGGTATTATACAGGAACCCAATTAATAAGAGAATAAAGATGGATGAGTAAGTGTTGGAGAACTTAAAAACCATAAATCTCACATTGGAAGGAGAAGATTGTGGTCAGAAGGGAGTAGTAAAGAAGAATAGTAAATGAAGAAAATGTTATCAAACGCTATCATATAGCTCTAGATCTACAAGGCTTGCTGTACTACTATATATATATATTTTTTACCTGTAGGGCTGACCTTTTCTGTATTCCCCTCCATACCCACTACAGAAGATGAATAATTCGACATAGATTTTTTAGATCTATGACTCGGTTGTGGTGTTAGGTGGACTTTCGAAGATTTAAACATATTTTTTTCGTTAAAGTATAGACTGTCGGCGTATTTGGCAGACAAATCGGATATTTGATCATCTTCAGAGTCTTGGAAGTTTAGATCCGGGGGTTCCTGCAAATGAAATAGCTATTCAAGTAATAAGGACAGCAAAAATTCCCTGATGGTCGAGAAATTTAGGTAATGACACTCAACCAGATAACAAAAAAGGTAAAATGACGGAAAATACTCACAAACATTTTAGATTCCTCTTCTTTTAGAGACTCTGAAGAACAGCTAACCAAGAGCGGAATTTTGAGTTTGGAAAACACCCTATCGATTATGCTGTTCTTCACCTTGTGCTTGGCCATTAAACGTTGCAAAGACAGGAAACTCTCGCTCGTATCAGCTTGCAACAGCAGCTTTTTATGAAGATTGGTAAACGCCGGCCGGTGGTGAACTTCTGTGAGGTTCAACCTGAAAAACAAAGCAGCTCTGGAGAAAAAACATTGTCAATGAAGCTAGGCATACAACTAGAGAGCGTCTAATTCTAGTTTTACGAACGTGCGAGTTTGCGAGCGAAGCTAATTAAGAGAAAAAATATATTATTTTGACAGCAACAAATTATTTACACAAACCTGGGCTTTCCGCGTTTAACTGGTTGTCCCTCGAGCGCTTTGGACAAAGCTGCGCTCAAAAGTTCTCTGATACTGTTAGTTGTGGACACAAATAGATCGTCTATTGTTTCTCTTTCGTTTGATTTGGAGAAAGCTAAAAAAAATACGCGGATGCTGGATATGTATGGACCTAAACCAATATTAATAATAATATATATATATATATATATAACAATTTTTTATACAGATATAAAACTTGAGAAAAAGAAAACATGTGCCAAAGAAGGCTGCAAAAAGGACTGGTGAACAGTGGAGACTGATCAAAGACATCGTACAAAAACAATATATATATAAACAAATGATTTTTTTTTTAAATAAAATATGAACATTCCAAAATGTATTAATGTATTACTTTGCTGTGTCAAGAAAATATAAGATTTTTTGAACTTTCTTACAGACATTTCTGTAAAACGTTCTGGGATATCATTGTACATAGCATAACTATTATAGGTGAAAGACGGTCTGAAAATAGCAGTAGTATGAATTGGAGGTGAGGTACGACCACAAAAACGTAGATTAAGGTTATGAACATCAGCACGATACCTTATTTTGTTAAAAAGATATAGAGGGGATTTATGTAAAATAATAGAATGAAACAGATTTGTCGAGTGTACGTCTCGTCTGGATTTCATATCTAACCAGTTTGAATCCTTGTGTTTATGTGAGACTCTGTCGAATTTCCTTATTCCATATGAAAATCTTAAAAAAAATTTCTGTACTCTCTGAATTCTAGTTAAGTCTGCGCTATCTAAACAGGGCTCATACACTGTATCACAAAGGTTAAAATTACTCAGAATCACGGAATCTATTAATAATATTTTTGTTGAAGTTGGGTAAAGTTTAACTAGTCTGTCAAGATCTTCATTAATATAATTACTGGCTTCTAAAGCATCATCATGACCGAAAGAAAATTTAATTTGAGTATCATCGGCATAAAAGAATGGTTTACCATTCTTAATGCTATTCCCAAAGTTGGAGGTATATAGTGAAAATAATAATGGCCCAAGTATTGATCCCTGAGGAACTCCATAGCAAATCTGCTTAGTGTTTGATGAATCTGCATCAGTAACTACAAATTGCTTCTTGTTATCAAGGTAGCTATTAAAAAGTTTAATAAAATCATTAGAGCAACCAATAAAATGTAATATTGAGAGTAAAATTGTATGATTAATAGTATCAAATGCTTTGGAATAATCGAGCATAACAAGTGCTGCTGTTTTTTTTAGCATCACTGTCCCTGAAGAGATCATCAGTGACAGAACGATAACCTGACTGTCGCAGTTTTCTAAATGAATATTTAATTGAAATTTCATGAAGTTTTTCAATTACTTCGGATAACACTGGCAGGATGCAGATGGGACGCAAATCGTTCACACTCGTTAAGTTCTTCTTCTTGGTCAAAGGAAAGACTTTTGATAACTTCCAATCAAATTCTTGGAATATTTCCCAGATATATTAAATTCTGTAATTTTATTCAAAAAAAAAAAACTACTATTACCTTTCGACTTATTTATACAGTATTCTTGAGCCTTTTTCTTATTTCTTATAGCGGAAGTTGTAAAATTCTAAGTTTTTATAACAATCCCAATGTTGCGGGTTTTTAGTACATTTATATTTGTTAAATGCATTATCTCTTAGATAATGGTATTATGTATATACATGCACTAAAGGACTTTAATTAACTGAAAAAAAGGTTTTGTTTCTTTTTTTAAAATGATATTTAAAATTCTAACAAAAGTTTTGTTCCTTTTTTGTAAATAATTTTTAAAAAAATTACCAAAAGTACATCTTTTAAGAGGATCCTCAGGATAATCTTCCTCCTTGGATTCTTCTGGTTTATTTATTTTCTCGCACTTTTCGTTCAACGTCTCCGTGCTTAGCATATCGATCCGTTCTGTCAAATTTTGAATGATTACTTGGAGCGATTCAAAATCTGCATTATCGACCTGTAAATGAAATTTGCAAAATAATCTGTCAATTTTTTTCTATTATTACTGAGGCCCTTCCTATGGGACCTCAGTATTGCATTCGTGCAGACGAAAAAATTTTCTTACCCCCATTTTTTAAAACTTTTTTTTATGTTTCCGATCATTCTGAGTCCGAAAATGCAAAAAAAAATTTTCATCTGGTCGTCTGTGTGTATGTATGCCGGCACAATAACTCTAGAACTAAAGTTCTGATTGACTTGCGGTTTTGATTTTCTTGAATAATTACTTCTAACTTAGAACCCTATTGATTTTCAGAATTTTCGGTTCATCCTAACTACTTTAATATCAATTTTCTTAAAATCCGCTTATGCATTTCTTATGTGACAATTTTAGGAATTTCAATTATTTCTAACGTCAACATTCTTAACATTCCATAAATTGCAAACATTCTCTAACGACCTGTCAAACAACAGCTGTTGATAGTAAAGGTGAAATTTCTAAGGTGGGTTGCGACCTTCATATTTGCAACTATAGCCATTTTGGAGGCTATTTTTATTCGAAATTAGTCCTCAAGCTTGCCAATTTATGAAAAATATGTAAGCAGTTTCTTAAAAATGACTTTTTTATGGTGGTTCTAACTTAAGCGTACTACTATTTCGCCCCTAGCCACAAAAACACCTTTATCAAATTTACTGGCTCTCTGTCGCAACCCCATAGAATAATTAATCGGCCATTTTATTTGGCAAAAATCAGACTATTCTTCGCTGTGCCTGTCAAGTATTAAGATGTCAACTGTGATGTGTGAATGGCTCTAAAATATCAAATTATTTAAAAATGTATGCTTCTTTTGATATTTATTGCAAATAATTTGTAGTTAATTTCAATTACGGCTTTCCATAAATAAAGGTTCAGCAAGACAGATAATATAATGTTCTTATACAAAGCACTTTTTTATTATATAAAAGAGAGGTAGGGGATGTAATGCTGGTTTACATATTCAACCAGCGAATTGTAAATAATAATTAGTAAAATCCTATACTCTGTTTTTAAACTAAGAGGAGCGATTTGAATTTAAGTTGGCAATTCTGTAGCCTTCTGATTGGTCAGATTACAGTCAGTTTCACACATTACTTTTTAGCATGAACATCAGCTAATAATTGATATTTTTTTTTTTTTTAATTTGGTGTCATCGGCGTCGACTACAACGGCCATTAGATTGTTGACAGTTCTGACATTTTATAATTTGATATCTCATCCATTACTTAGTTTTTTACTTTATTTCGTAAATAATAGTTTTTCAGTAAGCAATTGTATTGAAAATCTACAATTATGGATCCTTCTACACTAAGTACTATTAAAGGTAGCAATTCCTGAAAAGCCTTACAAGAAAGGGAAGACACCTTATTATTTTACATGCTGATTCTGAAGGTTTTGTAGAAAATGCATTATTGGTTTTTGAAGGTAAAAAGATGAGAGATTACCATGAAGAGATGAATTCCGAAATATTTTAGATAAAAATAATTTTATTACTGATTTTTTTAAAACTAAAAATTGATGAATTTCTAACCAAAATGATTAAAATGTTACTAAATATTCAAGCAAATTTTATTTATTAGAATAGAATAAAACTATTTACAAAATTGTTATAACATTTAAAACACCATCTACTACTTTAGGGATAATCTTAATTTGGCACAATGAGTTAACATTATTTTCACAAAAAATATTTTAAAAATACTTAAAATTATTACATAGGTATGTATGAATAGTTCACTTTAAAAAATATATGTTGACATGTAATGTTATGAAAATGTTGGTTCCAGTTTTCAAAACAAATTCTGACTCATAGGCCTGTAAACTTTTGAATGCCCTTATTTGCCCTCTAGTGCATTAACCATGGGTTAACACTAAATAAGCCATAATATCCACATTACTCATAGAAGAGATACCAGTTACTGTGTGATCCACTTGTCATTCACTGATTAACTTTTACTTTTTATACCTATAACAAATATATCCTTAAAAATGTAAACAGATCTTTATATTTTATACTAACCTGGCTACATCTGGATATTCCATTAACAATTTTCTTAAATATTTAATATTCATTTTAAAAAGATCATAGTTATTCTCAAAAAGTCGATTTCAAAAGCAAGAAAAAAGTATTTCTGACATCAATCAACAACCATATTGACTTTAATTTGACAGTGACATTTCGTTTTAGACACACATTTCAGATCACAATAATGTGAAATTTGCGACTGTTGTCTGGAACCAATTAAAAAATTACTTCTATGACATTTATTCGTTTCTTAACCGCTCATTGGCCGTTCACCGACTAAGGCCGATAAAGATAATTATTTCATAAACACGACTATATTTCGAAACTCGCTCTTAGTAACAAATCTAGTTACTTTTCCCTGTGTAAATGCGTCTTTTCAATTCGCTCCTCCTAGTTTAAAAACAGTATAGTCATAAATTTCCTCAATTCATAAAATTTAAAAATGAATCTTCTTACCTTGGGATTTTAATGACGTAATGTGATCAACCCATTTCAAATTTTGATCAATTATGATACCGAGATATTTTGTTGTGTTTTTCATTTTAATTATAAAGTTGTCATTTATTTGTATGTTGAAAGAAGGCCTTTGTAAATTACATTGCTCTTTATGGATCTACTTTAACACAAAAATAGTTTTGTGGCTATAAGTTGCTATAACCTATCGTCTCAAAACTATTAATACTTTAAACATAGTAAGTAGTAAAACGAGAGGTAAAATAACAATAAATCAAGGGAAATACTTAAAAAGGGCAGGTTTAAAGAGTATTATCACAAGAAAGTATATCCGTTCTGTTTATTTATCAAGTATTGTTTGAGGAGTGATGGCTTGGCGTACATGAAAGTCAGATTGGCTTCTTGTATTATAGTTGTGATATTGCGAATTATATTGAATTTTTTCTAATAGATCTGATGCGATGGTACTATGCCATTTTTATTTTATAAATAAATATCACTCATGTACTGAACATAATTCTGAACTGAAAGCCAATTTATTTCTTTTAAAATAGTTACAATACTCATCCTTCTGTCCTTTATTAATAGAATATAAATAGGCGAAATAAGGAGCCCAAATATTTTAAATGAGCAGGCTTAAGAGGTAAAGGGGCCAATTATTATTGGATAAATTGCTCGAACAAGTTTTTAAACCCTAATCAAAAGGCGATATAAAATGGTTTTAAAAATCAAGGCTTGTGAAAATCATCACATGGTTGAACCTAAGTGCCAATGCTTCACAAAACAAAAAATTCAACGTCCTAATACTACTATCGGCTTTCGGTCTTTCGTTCCAAGTTAAATCATTTCTCGTTTTTGTTACGCTACGAGATTACCCTTGTGGGTCTCAGTCTCGATAAGGTGGAAACCACCATTTTAGCGTCTCTCGATTTTTTTTTTTTTTAATAAGGAAAAAATACCTCTTTTTTGACAGCTTGAGTGTACTCCTCCAAAGACCTTCTGCGTAAACGTTTCTTGGGTCTCTCCAGTTTACTTTTCGATATAGATCTTTTGAGTTTTTGGATTTTTGGTTCTACAATGTTTACGTTTTCTGTTATCGACAATTCGGCAATTTCGCTAAGATTGTCAGGCTTCAGTGCATCAGTATTTTTTTCGTCTGTTTTAGACGTGTTGATTTCTAAAAAAAATGTGGGTATTAAGGAAATTTCTTCATAACAACTGTTCAATCTACCGAAATTCCTGATGATTATGACTCAAAAATACTAAGAAACCCCCATAAAGTACCCAATATAGACTGGTAAAACCCATTTTTCAGAGACTGATCAAAAATTACAAACTTGAAATAATTTTAGAAATTATTATATTTGGTTTACCCTGGCACTGAGTTAAAAAAATGTTGAATTGTGCATCTTTAATTTATACTTATCCTGTCCTAACCCAGAAATTTTTTTTTATAAATATTTTTAAAATAACAATCCCGTTTTTCTATTTCAGCGTGTGAAGGTGTATTCGAAATAATCATTATAAATCATTATTTCGAATATACCTTCACACGCTGAAACAGAAAGATGGGATTCTGTTATTTAAAGTGTTTGTAAAGTCCCCAAATTTTATTAAATATTGACTGCCCTTGAAGATGGAAAAAATGTTTCCGAAACATATGTAGTGCTGTGCTAAAATAAAAACGGCCGAATAAACCTAGGACATTTTTTTATTTATATAAAAGTAACTAAAGTCATAATCTGAATTAGATCACCTAAAAAAAATGTTCCTTTATATTCTATATAATATGGTCTAAATTACACCCCTGTGTATATATGAAATGATGGACTATCAACTTTATAACATTTGAATATTGATAAGAGATGAAATCTTGAGTTAATGACTTTACTAGTTCTTGGGAATCTAAAAAATAAAGGACCCGGTACCCCAGCACCCTGTAGACGTGTAAATACGCTAGTTCAGTGATTATGTAATTATGTTTCCACTGACAATTAAAGTGACAGTAGATTTTTTCAGTGCGTTTTGTTCGTTTTGTTTACCTAAATTATATCGTTTTTTCACTTTTATAAATATATTCCTAAAGTAAGTAGATAACATGCATCAAATATACAATCGTTTAGTTACCAATTACATACCTTTAAACTATTTTTTATGACCTGTAAACAATATTTAGAAATAAACTAAAAACAGTAAAAACGTATATGTTAAACGTTTGTGTTAAAAGTTTGGTTAGAATTAAGGATATGGTCCGATATTAACAGGAATATCGGTTACTCGGTCCAAAACTAACCACTCTGCTTGACATTCCTGAAAAACCGGTTAAATTAGGGATGCGGTTACCTGAAAATGGTAACTCAAACGTCAATTCACGAACCGGTATATTTTTACGGTTACCATTAATTCGAATGTCAATCTGTCATAAAAGTGACGCAACTCTCGGCCGTGGCCCAAATGTAACCAACAAATTAGTTTTTTTTAGGAACCGCTGTCAAAAATCCTGGTTAGTTACGATTAGTAGTCGGTTAATATCGGACAATACCCTAAGTGTCAGTGGAACCAAAATGACATCACACCTAACTAGCGTATTAAGCTAACTGAAGCTGGCATGGTACGACAGTAAGACATTTAAATGGTGGCACAATAAGCCTTAATAGCTGATGTACCGCAACGCTTCAGTCGGATAGGGTGACAACATGAGGATATGAATGTTGAAAAAAAATCTGTCATGTTTGCAATTACCTGCATTCTGTTCTAATTCTTCGTCTTCCTGAGCTACGTTTGATTTTACTAATAAAGCACCACTTTCTAACTCGCATCCAGATTCATTTTGTTTAGGAATCCCTTCCATAATAATCGTATTTTCATTTTCAACCATAGGTACCTCTTGCACCATTCTGACCTCATCCTTCTTGTTAAATAAATTTGCGTCTAGTTCCGGTGGTAAACCTCCTTCAGCGCGGAGCCTTTGCCTGTATCCCTCGTACCTTTTCGTCAATTCGGCATATTTCAGTTGCTCCTGCTTTTGCTTTTCTATCATTTGTTGAGTGTCTTTGTCATCGGCGAAGCTTTCTGGATGATTCGGTATTGGCTGTATGGCAGCCGCCCTACAAGTTTTATTTATAACCTCCAACTACGTTAGAATCGTTAAAAACAGTGTCATAGCTCTCACCGACACTGTGTATTTGGGTGCGATCACACACATAACGACAAGACGAATCGTCTTTCAGTGATAATGAAATACACGCGCTCGTACTAAGAACTTGAGTAGATGATAATTTGCCGTTGTATGCGCAGCCGCACTTAAAACTTTGTACTTACTCTAAAATTTCCGGCGTATTAAAGTCTGAAATGCATTCCCTGACTTTACTGCAAATCGAATCGATGCCCTTGAAGCTTTCAGTCAACATGTCGCTGATGTTGCTGTTCAATTTTAACAGGTTGTCGTTTACCAGTTTCCTGTAATTGCTTATAAAAATAGTTCTTAATTAGCAAGGAAACTACAAATCTTTCTAAAACATTTTGTGACATTTAAAAAATTGGATAAACAAGTTTGCGCATCTTTACACGCTCTCGGTACCGTCTTACACTATCTCTCAAACTTGTATTTGTATTCCCTTCGAAAGTTTCAGTGAAATGAGCTGTGTACTGCGCATCGTAATTTCAGTGTTAGCGACAGACTACTCACCTGTATTTATTGCGTCACTCTAGCGACACCACCGTCTTTTGACTTTGAACAAAAACTCGTATCTTAGTCCCATATACGAACATAAACATTACCAGTGTTAAAATTTATGAAACAGCTCTAAGAAACAAAGTAAGTCTACCTTCCCCCATCTGCTTAATGGATAAAAGGTATTTTTTACTAAATAAAATATGTTAATAAATATACTGCAAATAGGTTGCCTAAGAAAATACTGCCGTGGCCATTTATTTTCTTAAAGTACAAAACCCCGACGCCCGTGTAAAGTATCCCCCAGATGCTTTGATTATGGCTAAAATTTAATCAGCTCACTGCAGGATGGATTAAAATTTTATATTTGTCTTCATATATGTTTTTGAGTTATATTCCAAATTTGCACTTTTTCTCACATATCTCGAATACGGTCCATTTAAGGGAAATCTTGTATGGGACGAAAATTATAGAGAATGAAAACTTTTATAATGATTTCTGTACTTTTACAATCTACTACGGTAGCGTAGGTGTCAACGACATCGCATTCATTTGCGAGCCAATTTTGTAGTAAAGAGACAACACCGGCTTCGAATCTGAATTTATTTGCATGGTTCTCTAAAGAATTTGATGGATGCCGTATTAGCAGAAATTTAATTTTTGTTGATGTGACATTCAGTTATAAAAATCGCCATGCTTTACCGTTTTCAATGATGGTGGGTGGGGTTTTCCGAGTTTTCCTCACCTGTAAGTAAAATGGCGCCATCAATCATCTTTAAGTCGCCCCTTTAGCGCCACTGCAAATAATAATAACAGCCCTACACAAGTCGCTCAGTCGATTTCAGGGGTTGAAATTCACTCGCAAGGGGGTGAATTAGATTATTATTATTATATAATTTCCTTATATGTATACAGAAAGAAAAGTAAAAAATAGCCTTGACAGCATTTTTTAAGGCAACCGATATTTTCACCTCTGAGTAAAGTTACATGTAGATTTACTTGACAGATTAACAAACAATAGCCCTATAGTATAATCAGCAAGTAGTTACTTTCAACTTTACTCAGAGATGAAAAGACTGACCCTTAATAAAAAATACCTTTTATCCATTAAACAGTTGGGCGAAGGTCAGCCTTCCTTCGTATCCTTACTTCGTAACTGAGGATTAAGAGATCTAGTACTTATAAAATAGGGAAAGTAAACAAGACAAAAATGAAATGGTTGACAGATACAGCAGAAGACAGGCTAGCTTGATCAACATGTTAGGTAGAGGTAAATTAAGAAAGCGATAATTCCGCTTACAGGTACGAATTTTCTTATAAATTTGTTATGAAGAGCTTAACAAATGATTTTATTCCTTATTCAAAATTGTTACTTTTTAAGAAATCAATTAACTTCATTGCTTTTTAAACTTGGCGCCGTTTGACTAATGTTATTGGATATCCTTAATACAATGTTGCAACATTTAAAATCTATTAGAAAGTATTTTAGTTAATTCGAGTGTGAAGTGTCAAGTAATGATATTGGTTAGTGGTTATAATTACATTTTGAATTTTATTTTACCAAATAATTGTGTCAAGTTGTGACGCAGCTCAAAAAAAGTAAAAAAAAAAATATATTAGAGATTAACATTATTTGTGTTTTAAACTAAAATTTATTTTTAATAACAATGAAGTGATAGTTAAAGAAGAGCTTATTTGTTTTCACTATTAAAATTCATATTCAATAAAAATTTAGGTAGGTACAATTGTTTCGAGATATATTGCGACACGTCAAGAGTCCCCTCAAATTTTTCGAACCTCGTGCAGTGTTTCTCACTGCGACGCATTGTGGGTGGAGTTGTCACAATATTTCCCGAAACATCTCTATATAAAGAGTGATCCTCAAAAAGAAATTGTTTCTTAAGTCGGTCATGTCTGACAAACACAGAGATACGTGTTAAGTCCGTGATAACTACGCACGGTTCTAAATTAAATTCAAACAGACACAGAAAAAAAGGAAGAATTAAATGTCCCCACTGTCAATTTCAAGCTGTCCACGTCACGTTTTCCACTGGCGTACTATGTAATATATATATATTTTTTTAATTTGTTATTTTAATTATTATTATTTTATCTGCGTGACTTTCTTAAATAATGTATTGTAGTTGAATTTAATTTTGGTGTTTCCTTTTCCTTCCTTTGGATACGCCCATGTGGACTCCAAACCGTCAGATGTCACCTCGCTATGGTTTCACAGTGTAGCGAAAAAGTCTAGCAACAAATTATTTTCTTTGAAATGAATTAATTTATAATTATGAAATTGTAGCGTGATGAATGGGCCTGTATTACATTATTGTATTTTTTTGATCCTATACATACAGGGTAGCGAAAATGTCTGGTAACAAGGTATTTTAGGTTGATGAATGGGACAGTATTTCATTTGTAATTTGGTACTTTTTTATAGTCTAAGATCCGAAGTAAGGTCAACCTTCACCCATCTGTTTAATGGATGAAAGTTTCTTTTTATTAAATAAAATATGTTTAAAAATATACTGCAAAAGGGTTGCCTAAGAAAATACGGTCCAGACTATTTATTTTCTTAAAATAAAAAAAACGACAACCTGTAAAGTCTTCCCCAGACTATCAGCTCACCGCAGGATAGATTAAAGATTAAGTTTAAAATTTGGTGTTTTTCTCCTTATCCGTTTTTAAGTTGTCTTCAAAATTCCAAATTTGCATTTTTCCTCAAATATCTCGAATTAGGTCCATTTTAGGGAAATCATGTATAGGAACGAAATAATAGAGAATGACATCATAAGTAATTTTTATCATGATTTCTATACTTTCCTTAACTGTATACAGAAAGAAAAGCAAAAAATGGCCGTGACTGTATTTTCTTAGGCATTACGGATCCTGGACTATTAGTATTTTTTAAAAGAGAAAAAAATAAGCTTTTCTTTGATATATTATACGACCTCCGTTGCCATTTAAAATGGCGGCGGTACACTAAACGCTGACGTCACATAAGTTGGACATGTTTAAAAAATGCAGCTACAATCCCATTCATCACCCTACAATTTCATAATTATACATTCATTTGGTTCAAAGAAAATACCTTGTGGCCAGACTTTTTCGCTACCCTATATGTTTTGCGCTTCCAGTTTAATATAATAAAATTCACTGGTCAAAACTAGTTCGGTTCTTCTAGCTTTCGGAAGAGGGCGTATTGCTTATTCCTAATAGCATTGAGTATGAACAGAACTTAATGAGCAATTTTATTTATTTTATAATTATATGTTGCAAAAATGTTCCACTACATTGATTATCTAGCAATATCGCTTGATAACCAGTTTTTGTTGGTTTGACGTTTTCAAAAACATCTACCACATATTTTAATTTTGAATAAGTATTTTTATTTTACAAATAATTATATTTAAAAGGCGAAAACCCGTTATTGTAGTATCTTTGGCAATGATAAATTATCGCCGTACTTCTTAAACATTAGGGAAAAGTATATTAAGTAGATTAAGAATTAACACACAACATATTTTTCCTTGCACAATCGAGTAGGCAAAATCATGTATTGCATACAACCCTTAAGAGATTTGTTGTACACCTACTTGTAGTTATTGGGCGATTGACCAGATGCCGTGGACGTTTCAGATATTTCTCTTTTCCATATCATCGATAAATTAGTAGCAAAAATTTCTAGCGCTTCGTTGCGATGAAGATCTGCAAACGTCGGCATATCTTCACGCCTTGCTGGCATCTTTTTTATTCTAAAATGTAATAATAGGTATATATTATAATCATTACCAGCAACATATGCGAGTCATCTTTAACTAAACTTACAAATGGCCAAGAACATCGGTACACCAAAGTGACAATCTGTTACAAATATCATCAGGAGATATTGTGTGTATTTATGAATTTAAATGATAACCTACCTCTAAAAAAACTTGGTATATCTGTCTACTGTCTTAACAAAAACCGAAATACATTAATTTCCTGCTTAAAACAGTGGGCCGACCATTTTTCGATACATTTCTTGATTGTCTTAATTTGGGAACGTTTACTATTAAATTTCTCTGAGAGATTTTTTTCGAATCACATTAAAACACTTTGACAACTTTTCTATAGACCTTGACAGCAGAAAAATGACGTATAAGTTGTTTTTTTACCAAAGGGGTCTTGATTACATATTTCTTTTTTTTTTAGAATGATTGTATCGACGTAGGATGGATTATTCCCATGTTACTTTGTTAACGTGGTAGTTATGTGTCCTATGCAGTGGTCCTATGACATGTATTTGAACAAAAAAGACAATGCAACAACACCTGACAATATAAAACTTTTTTTTAACCGACTTCAAAAAAGGAGGAGGTTCTCAATTCGTCGTAATATTTTTTTTATGTATGTTCACCGTTAATTCTTTAACACGGTGTCCGATTTCAACGATTCCTTTTTTTTTTTTTGTTAGAAAGGGGGTACTTCAAGGATGGTCCCGTATAAATTTGGTCAAAATCTTATAATTGGGTTCATGAGAAAATCCTCAAACTCTTCATTTTTTATGTATGTTCAGCGATAATTCTTTAACACGGTGTCCGGTTTCAATGTTTCTTTTTTTTTTGTTAGAAATGGGGTAATTCAGGGGTGGTCCCATATAAATTTGATCAAGATGTGGTGATGGCATCTGCACGATTTTGAAGTCGGTTTTTTAAAATTACTTTTGATACTTGTTTAAGTATCGGCTGACTGTAAATTATGCATTCAGGATCTAATACATTCTTAATTTTCTGGAATATATAGGATGGGAAAAATAGGAAAACACCTCATAAATAATTTTTCGGAGTATGAAGCTGTCTTCGTATTTAAAATCTTCGAATAACCGTCGTTTTTTCATAAATATTCATTAAGAATGGGACACAGAACAACTGAAGATTATCTGATTAAAAATAAGACGATTAAACGAAACATGCTTAGTTAAAATGTTACTGGTTTCCGAAATACATGGTGTTAAAGTTGAAAATTCAAAAATTATTAATGGCTATAATTTTTTTATTTCTCGGTATAATTTTACTAAATTCGGAAAACATTTTTGGTGTCATAATATACACCTAAAGAGAAAGTAAAAGTTGAAAAGTCTTTTGGTAGGTAGAGAGGGCGTAAACGTCAGACCACGTCGGGCGGCTCCGAGAATTTCACAGTAATGTTTACCTGCCAGTGTCGTTTCATAGAATAAGTAGCTTTAAATTGTTATCGGCGGAACCGGACAATCGCATGTATTTATGGATTATAAATAATTATTAAACATGTATTATAATATTCAAATTATAATTTTACAAAATTTCAACAGCTATTCACAATTTATTAAACTATTTACTCGAAATTGTTATTAATATCTATAAAATAATTTTGTACGCCAATGTATCACGTCCACTTCGGTGAGATCCGCTGACAACCTGTCAATTTATGTGTATAAAGTGGGATAACTGGCGAAAGCATTTTCAACTTTTACTTCTGTTCTACCTGCAAAACATTCGGGTAAATTAACTTTACCAGTGGCGTACAGCAGGGATAAGTAACACCTTCATCCCCTCTAAATTTTTACGCCACTGCCCAAAAACTTATTTTGACTATTTTAAAAAAAAATTGAAACGCTATTGAACAAAAAAAAAACTGATTTCGATTGATAGAGTTCTATTATTCTTCTTTTATTTCAGATCGGTACATCACTGTATGACAAAGAAGGGGCACAAATTGTTGGAAAACTCTTAGAAAAAGCAAAGAAAAACAACGTACAAATCCATTTGCCCTTAGATTTCATCACTGCCGAAAAATTTGATGAAAATGCCACCGTAAGTATCACACTTTTTATAACTGGTCGTGACATGGTTTGGGGGGAGGGGAGTAGAGAGGTTAACTACCCTCAGAAAAAATAAGACGTTTATTTTTTCAAAATGTATATTTGAAAAGTAATCATTATTTATAACAAAAATCACCACAAACTTTTTTTGGATAAATTGCACATGCATTACAAAAAATCAGACTTGAAATTTTTAGAATTAAGATTCTACTTTAAATATGAATACTTCCCTCAGAATTTGGATATTGACCGCCATTGTTATGAAAGTTTGACGCATTTTACTGTGCATGTTATTTTTAGGTTATATACCCGATACACTTTACATTGGGTATGTTCTTTTTTCTCACACGATATGACGTCACGTGGAAGACGTTTTCGAAAATAAAAAACATGTAACATAACTTCATTGTTAAAGTTAGTGTCTAACTTTTTTATATTTAAAAATAAAACCGTATTTAAATAAAATCCTTATTGAAACGGAATGAAATGCTGTTGCTGACACATAAAGTATTAAATTCGGCCAAGTAGTAAGTGTATAGTGACTTAATAATACGTCTATTTTGGTTGGGATTATGGGTAAAATCTAAAAGAGAGCAAATCAAACAATTACCGTTTTTTTGGTTGGTGTTTTATCATATTATAATATAGTAGAAGAGCCTGCGATTAAAATTTCGAGTTAACGCAACATGGGTAATTTTATGAGAAATTATAGATTCAATTCAAAAGAAACAATTTTCTTATAAAGGAAAGTTCCAGGGTGTTGCTAAAAGGGGTGACAATCGAGTGTACTTTCGTACATTTTATCGATGTAATCAAGTTACAGCATCCTGTCCGTTCTTCATGGAATCTTTTTAAAAAAACGAATTCATTAAAAGCTGACATGTGCGTTGATAAAAACTGAAAAGTTTTATCAGTTGTCATAAAGAGCACAGTCGAGTTATATCGGCACGGATAAAACTTTCCTCATATATATTGCATTATGCTCAAGAATGAAATGGTCATAGGATCCTGATCGCGATCTCGTCTACTATAACGTTCTCTTACAGATATGTTATGTTGTTTTTCTTAGTTAAGTTTTTTTTTCTACATTATAGCCAGGCAGTGCCACTGTAGAAGGAGGCATTCCAGAAGGTTGGATGGGCCTCGATATTGGACCAAAAACCATTGAAGCTTTCAGGGAGCCCCTTAGACGTGCCAAAGTCATCGTTTGGAATGGGTTAGTCAACATACATTTAAATTACCTATACAAATGTTGATTAACCGGATTTTACCTATTTTTTTTTAGGCCAATGGGTGTGTTTGAATTTGAAAAATTCGCGAATGGAACCAAAGCAGTTATGGATGAGGTTGTCAATGTAACATCAAAAGGAGTCACCACTATTATAGGTAGTGTATTTTTTATACTTTTCCATAACTATATCTGTCAGTTCACAATAAAATATAACCCGCACGAAAATTGTAAACGATATTTGGCGAAACAAACGAAGTTTAGCAACAACGCGAACTACCAATTCGGAGTCGATGACCTATCCGAACCTCATTTGCTTACGCAATATACAATACCGGCTTCAACAGTTGAATTGGAAACTTGCTATAAAATGTATTGCTATTGATTTGCGGTGGTTATTTTGTTGTCTATCTCAAAACTTTACATTCTCTATCATTGACAGTGTTGAAAAAAGTTTTATACAACGGAATTTTAAAATCGAACAACTTGCACCAGGTTGATCTGCATTAGGATTCTCATCTTTCAATACAGCACGTGATGAGACGCCTATCTTCGTTCCACAGCATGCGATTCTTATGTAATCTTTCTCTCTATTCGATTCGTTGCGTGTTGAGTTCGCACATAAGAATCCCTACCCAGCTTGTCAAAATAATGGGCTGTCAAGTGACACACACATTTTTATCCACAGCCTACTATAAATATTACGTTTTAGGTGGCGGTGATACAGCAACTTGTGCCGCGAAGTGGAAGACAGAAGATAAAGTATCGCACGTATCAACAGGAGGTGGTGCCAGTTTGGAACTGCTAGAAGGCAAAGTTCTTCCAGGCGTGGCAGCGCTTTCAGATGCATAAATCGACGAAGACCACTTCCAAGTTCCTATAGCATTATCGAGCACAGATTACCATAAATTTCTTAATGTATTTAACCGATTTCATAGGGTATAACTCGAAGAAATCTGAAAAAAAAATTAAGAAATTAAGTTTCAATAAATTGAAAATGATAAGTAACGGGAAATGTTGCTTTTGAAATTTGTAAAATCACTTTTAGATCGTACTGTTATGGTTAGGCGTAAAATTGAGTGTTTGTGATCGTATGTTATCAAAGTTAAATAATTTATGTTAAATATATTAGAAAATAAATATTTAAAATATAAATTTCGTTTTATGATAATTGGGCCTAAGGACCAGGAAGTGAGCTGTCAAAAACTAAAAGAAAACGTAATGTTCTTTGGCCTCTTATGCTAAATAGCATCAAACTTAACGGGGAGACCAACTGACATAGAAATTACGTACGAATAGTCCCTTATCTTAGTAAAAAAAGTAGCTCGTATTTCTTGCTTGTTCTTTGTAGTTGGGTACATGGGAAGGGGTAAACAACATATTATGTCCCGATGGTGGGAGCGGTCAAGTGACCTGTGAAATTCAAAATCGTAAAGTGGTTTAATTTCTCTCAAAATGTTTGTATGACTTTCAAATAAGAATATTGCCCTTGGTAATCATTTTTTTATTCAGTAGTTCTACCCCATTCAACCTTTTTTTTCTTCTTAAATGAAGTAAATTGCAATGACTATTTTGGCATTTTTTTTCTTGAAAGGCGGGTGAATAAAATACTGATTGGGGTAGAACTACTGAATAAGCAAAGCTTGCTAAGGCAATACTCTTACTTGAAAAACATACAAATATTACGAAAGTTAAACCACCTTTCGACTTTTGGTTTAGATTTTACACCTATTTAAAAGTATTAGAAATTAAAAAAAAAAACGACTTCAAAAACGTGCAGATGCTATCACCACATCTTAGACAAATTTATATAGGACCACCCCTGAGGTACCCCCTTACTAAAAAAAAGAATCTTATAAATCGGACAAGGTGGTAAAGCATTATCGCTAAACATACATAAAAAATGAAGAGTGAGGATTTTCTTATGGACTTAATCATTAGATTTTGACCAAATTTATATGGGACCAGCCCTGAAGTACCCCCTTTCTAACAAAAAAAGAATCATTGAAATCGGACGCCGTGTTGAAGAATTAACATACATAAAAAAAATGCGACGAATTGAGAACCTCCTCCTTTTTTGAAGTCGGTTAAAAAAAACAGGTAATTTTTAACAAGGTTGCATTTTTTGCAAATCAACCCTTTCGCCGACAAAAAATTGGTTGCAATATCATCTTAGATTTAAAAGAGCTATAGCCCGAATTTCGTTGAAAAAGGTCCAGTACCGTGGCCGGAATTATTTTTTTAATGGTTATTGGCGTCTAGAAGAATGCATTTAAAAAAAAAGGAAAAATCCATCGATAAACAACTTTACTTTGAATTTCGCAGGTGACGTGACCGCTTCTGCCACCGGGACACTGTACATTTTTCGTTTTTAAAAAAAATTATTTTTGAGTTAAATAGCTAAACAAAGGCATAAAGAAAAATAAGTCTATGATCAACTTTTGGTGTATTTACATTTTGGTCATTTTTGTTCATTATTTACAATAATGTCGCTAAAAAATCAAGTATACCAGCCCTGATTGTAGTATTGCTTGTATCTGTCAATAATAATTACTGCTTAGTTATTAATTGTACATCATGCCATACCAATTTTCCAATGCGGAGTATGCAGACATGTACATTTATGGATTTTGTGATGGCAATTCAAGAGCCACAAAAAAGTACGCGATTCACTTTCCTGGGTGTCTAATATCAAATAATAAAACTTTCTCATGTCTTCAATTGCAGTAGAGAGAATGGCTGATTTCCAACCGCAAAAATAAATGAAAATTATGAAAGACGACATGTAGATATGGAAAAGAGAATTTTAAATGTGGTACCAAAATCATCCTACTGTAAGTACACAAAGACTTAGTAATGTTCTTAATTTGCCGCATGTCACTGTTTGCAGAAGTTTAAAAAATCGTATCTACCTTTCCTCATACAAAAAGTACAGAAGTAAAAGGATGGTGATAACATTGCTCAATTAAATTTTAATAGGTGGATAATCCAAAATCAAAAGATTCTGAGCCGGTGTTTGTTTGTCGATTAAGCATAATTCACAAGAGATGGGATGTTCAATTTAAGGAATTGTCATGTTTGCAGCGAAGAAAATCGGTATACAACGAGAGTGTCATTCACAAACAAGATTTTTCTTTAATATTTGGTGCGGGGTATTCAATGATCGTTTAATCGGGCCATGGGTTTCACCGATTTTCACCCCACAGACTTACTGGAGAAGCAAATTAAGATTTCATCCAAAACATTTTTCCAGTGTTACTTGAAGACGTAAATGTCAAAGGAATGTATTAACAACTCGATGGAGCTTCTCCTATTTTAGAGTTATTGTAAGACATTTTTTAAATTAGAATATTCCAGATATATGGATAGAGAGGGGTGGTCTTCACAATTGGCCGGCGAGGTCACCCGATTTTAATCCTTTAGATTATGCTATTTGGGGATACCTAAAGTATATTCCACATAAATACATAGTAGGGAAGAACTTTTATAAAGGATAGAAAACGCGAAGAATTAATAAATAATCGAGACATCCTCAGAAATGCAATAAGAAGCGTTACAAATCAAGTACTAAAATGCATTGAACAAAACGAGGGTAATTTCAAGCGACTTTTGTAACTTTTTGTGATTTGTTCACTTAGTTGAAATATCCAAAAAACTGTATGTAATATTGATCTTTGTTTATTTAAATTATTATTTAAAATGTTATAAAAATAATTAGAAAATTTAATATTTTGTTCTAAAACCGGACCTATCTCACATTTTTAAAGAGTTTAATGAGATACACAAGTACTATCAGACATATTTTGCAAGTTTTAATAAAATATTTCCTTGATTCAATAACAAAAATGTTTTTGAAATATTATTAACCCGTTTTTAAATGATTTCAAATTAAGGAGATTCTCAATTCGTCGAAATATTTTTTTTATGTATGTTCAGGGATAATTCTTTTTTGTTAGAAAGGGGATACGTCAGGATAAACAATTGGTCAGGATCTAATGATGAGACTCATAAGAAAATCGAAAAAAACTCAATTCTGTGGCCGGCGCTTAAAAAGTCATAGGTCGTTTTTAGTCAAGATACGTTTAGAAGAGTATACTTTAGGCAGTTAAAAGGAACGAAGTCTATATACGTTGTAAAGTAAAAAATATAAGTTTTAAAAAATATAATATATAATAAAAGGGTAACCGCGAAAGACAAAACGTCATAATTAAACATAAACAAATTTTGTAACATAAAACAGTTAAAATAAAATATGTCTACATATTTTTTAATTTTTACAGGACCAAATCTCCTAAAAAGATCGTCGATATAGATTCTAAAAATCATTATTGATGTGTCCCAAAATTTTCCAGCTCAAAAATGTGTAATATTGACTTATTACTTTTTAAGCCCTACCACATAATTATTAATGACATCTGCACGATTTGGAAGTCGTTTTTTTTTTAAATTACTTTCGTAACTTTTAATAAAAAATGATAATTTAAAATTCAAGTGTCATGCGTAGAATCGGATGCTGAGCTAGGGTGTTGTTTGAAGAGCACCAACATTTATAAATTTTTAGTTAATACGGACCTGGATTTTTCTTCTGACTATTACGTCAGTCGCCCAGGCACATACTTAAATCAAAGTATGTGGAAATAGGTAAACAAACCAATTTAAAAAATATATACTGGGTGGTTTGTTAGTTATGATCTTTGAAAGAAATAATCAAACTCATAAAACACCTTGTATCTCGGTTATTAATGATGTGAGACCCATTAACCATAGATTTTTTAGAATCATCGTGGTGTCCGTTTACCAGTGAAACATACAATACATTTATTGATATTTGTGAGATATCTGTGTGATTTCCAGTTTACAAGTTGGGTCCAGATGTATATCTTAACAAAATTTACGCCATTGAGAGAGAAATACAGTGTTGTTTTTCCATAATTTATGATTTTCAATGAGTTTATTAGAATTAATAATAACTATCAGAAAAAGTGTAGGTTCTAAAACGGAGCTCTGTGAGACTCTACCTTTTATTTGTAAAATATCGGAATTAAGCGAAAAGTAGCGAATCTGGAAGTAGGTAATAAAATAAAAACAGAACAAATTAAATAGTTTATTAAATTAATAATATTATAGTTTAGTAAAATTATCTATATTTTATAAACAAATCAAATAAATTAATATCAACGATAAAGAAGGCCATTCTTACAATGACAAGCTTACATTTTGACACAATAACTGTTAAACTTGTCATTATAATCGTACAAGAAACTCGACATAACCTCAATCTACGATTCTGACGGTTAAAAAACAGAAAAGCACACATTTTTTAAAAAATATCAATAAATAACATTAAAGTCTTATATATCATTATATAATTTATAAATATGATTTTGTCGAGATAAATGCACGATTTCCGTACATATGTTAAAAAATTAAAAGCCTTTTGAACAAGAAAAAAATTCAAATATCACAATTGCAAACGCTATACAGTGCATTTACACATTTAACCTTTTTTTGCTAAAAAACTACTTCCATCTTCCGCGAACGGAATTTTCAAATCATCCGTTATGCCACCTAGCGGCGAACGTAAGTACAATACGAAAAATTCGTAAACCCCATATTGTGGTTAAAGACATTTTAAACTGTGACCTGGGTGCACAATCATGCAAAAGTGTCGTACTTTGTAAATAAAAAGCACCACTGCACCTCTATAGACAAAGTGGCATCATTTTATACTATACTGGTCAAGCTGCGTTTCCTTATTTCAGTGACAGTTTAACATGCGTAAGTGACAGTTTTGTCATGTGCTTCATGTTATAATGTTAACAAAGATTAAAAAATTGAGGATGGTCTTATGCACTAGAACAGTACCTTGATTATTACTATTTATCGGATTAATATCGTTTAAAACTAAAAGTAGACGAACATTCAAGACCTATCCCACTGCTACTATACAGACAATGCTAGTACATTCCTATTTACAATGTGAAACAGACTCTAAATGTGATAAACCAGGATATTCAGTGTGACATCTAACTATCCAAATTGCAGCACAGTGCCAACGAATTATACCTCAGATTGGACTTCCAACTGTCGTGAAAGGTAGGTACAATTTAGAAACAAGAAAGTCCACTGAAGACTATAGACATTAAACTATTTGGAAAAATACTGCTTTGATAAAGAGCAGGTGGAAACTTAAGTCAATCATTCTGTAATGACGTAAAAAACATTGAAATTACCTCTTTGGTAGGTGACATAGGACAAACGCTCCATTAGACTAAGAAGTACGGATACTGTTTTGATAAAGTGCAGGTGGAAACTTAAGTCTAACCAATCCTGTAACGACGTAAAAACAGAAATGATATATTTTACATGTGACAGACTAGTAAGATAAATGCTCCATTAGAACAAGAAGTACGGATAGACCAAGGAAAATAAGTAGGGACAATCTTAAACCAGGATAAGCAAAAACGAAGAAGGAGCAGGCTTAGAAATAAAAAGGTAAATCATAACCTACAGTTTATTAGACTAGCAATCTGGTCAAAAAATTATCTTCAGGCTGCTCCTCCTCTGAATATTACGATAACACTTAACCTCACTTTATACATACAAAAACTGGCAGTAAAAACGTTGCTAAATATCACGTTTACTGAGGCAGGTTTCGATAGTATCCCTTGCCGATATCCCAACTATATATAAGTAGAGTTTTTGCCGTTGGGTACATAAAAAAATGGAAGTAATTCCCTTTGTCAATTTACCTCACTTTAAATTGTCTACTTAAAACTAATTTAAAATTATTATCGACTAAGGTTCGTCACATATATATGCTTCAACTCTGTCTTAGGGGTGTTTTCAAAGAGGGCAGCACGATTTTGACCTTCGCCTTTCTTCACCCAATGTCCATACACTCTGAAGGCACAGCCATCCACAACCTAAAAAATTTAAATTTTAGTTAAGTTATATAGACAGGTTATATTGTAAAGCAAAGGATTTAAAGACTATTAATCAGAATGTTAAGTTATTTAGCAAAATAGATTGTCAAGTTTCTTAGGATGTTCGTTATTTCCAATCCACAAATTAACACCTGTACATGGCTCGTTTTCAACTGGAGATAATTAGTGGTTTATGTTCACCTCAAATTATGAATCTCTCCAAATAAACTTAACAATCTGTGGGAGCCATTTTGGATTTGTGGTTCTATTTCAGATTCCAAAAGTTCATCTAAGAATGATACTATTGATAAAAAAATCTACTTTGCACCAGTTTTGGAACATCGGATGGTTTGGCACAAATTTACCGGCATTTCAGAAGACATTTTACCTTTCTTAGTAGCTTCAGACGATAAGGATCGTTCCTGGCGACATCTAGACTGAGCGGTTCGGGTGTATAGCGAAGCCTCTGTATCCGAATCGTGGATCTCACTACCAATATGACCCATTGGAATTTACGCCTCGCGTTGAATTTGGTTTGTTGAAGTTTCTACAAACAAAAATAAAATAATCAAAGAATGATCTACAATCAATAATAAAACGTAAAGAATCACATAATTTGGTGGATATTTTTTGTTCATCATTGGTTATCTGTATGCACGAGAATGGAATGAAAAATTTCCAGCATCAGTTCAAAAAGCGGTATCGCTTGTGCATTGTATATATCTTGCGCGATCCAAAATTAGATACGACAGATTTTTTGGAACTTCCTACACGAAGGAGGTTTTAACTTTTGAAAATAATATAAGACTCGCCCGATGCATAATATATACTCATTTTTTTATTATTTGAACTTGTGGTCGCTGTAACAGTTAATCATTGCTCACTCTATATTTGGAATTCCAACGACCTGTCCAAATGGCTGCCTGTGGGCTGTCTGGAGGATTTGACAAGGTCAATGATTTATAGTTATATAAATTCCTCGAAGCAGTAGTGGGATTCTGATCTTTCGATACGTCACGTATCGAAACGCTATCTATCGTTCGACAGACCATTCACTATAGAGCCAGTAGCGATTCTTATGTAACGTCGGTTTAAGTATCGAGACTCCAATATCTCCATTCGATACGTGATGTGTCAAGAATCACTCTAGAAATCACATTGCGCATTGCCTCGAACGTGCTTATTAATAAGAATTGGTTTAGCAAAAATTTGTTTTAAAACCAAATCTCAGCCTTTGAATATAGAAAAAAAAAAAATAATTACCTACATTTTTATTTTAAGATATGAGCTTATGTTAGTAACCATTTCCTTTGGAATGCCTAATTGGGCAAAAATATTAATTCATATTATAGAGATTGATAAGTGTGTCAAATTTTCAAATAAAAAAAGCATATAAGTCACCTCTTATGCCAGGTGGCGATAAGGAAGTGTGAGAATATTTTTTTAAACTGTGAAATTTCAATTAAAGGCTAATGACAGATGACATTTAAAGTCGCGCTCTCTCTGGACTGGACCGGAAACCTTCCAACCCATCATCTTGTATTAAACAATTGGAAAACCAAGCCAGCCATGCAAACATTTATTTGTTAATTGTATTTTAAAAAATAACTAAGAAGGAAACGTTTCCAACGGCTCAAACAGAAAACAATACGATTAAAATAATATTCGCTTAAATTGAAAAACCATTGGATCAGTCTCTCTTAAAATAAATAATGAAAACATTGCATTATGTTAGAAAGAAATTCCGTTTCTGATATACAAAGAAAGTTATGCATTTTAGTAAAGACAACACGACACAAAAAGCTACCGTAAAAGCCCAAAATTGGTTTCTTTTTTACCAGTGCCAAGTCTGAAATACGACTAAACCGTCTGCTATTCTTTCTCAAAGAGTGTTTCAATGATGTTATGTCCTCATCCCACAGCTGAAATATTACGATATTGCACAAAGTAATGTCATGCTGATAAACTTAAGCGGAATATCGTGAGAAAGAAACGTCTAGATTTAAAATAAAAATGTTTTTCAAGCAATCTTAAGCGGACACAGCATGTTCAAATGAATGATGTTATTGGAAAAATAATTCAATAAATTTGAACGAAGTATTTAAATTGGCAAAATGTCCACAATTTAAGAAAGATAATTTGTCTGTTAATGGTCCTTACGAAAAATAGATAGGAAATTAAAGAATACAATCCTAAACAACCTTAAGTGACAACAAACTAAACTTTTTTTTAAGAGGGCATTATGGTATGTACACACTGGGGGTAATATAAAGAGACATGAAAGATTTTTGAAATTAAAGTGTGCAAAAGGAATAAAAAATATATTAATACAATTCCCTTTTTTATTAAAGTTAAGTCAAACGCTTTCGTCGTTTAAGCCATCATCAAAAAACATAATAAGGCATTCCAACGACCTGTCAAACTGCTGACAAGTGGGACGTGACATTTAGATATGGCAACCCTGTGAGCCTGTTGTCATTGACAGGGTCAATGATACAAATGTAGTTATATAGATTGCTCAGAGCGGGTCGTTTACGAGCGGCCATATTGCCTCGCAAGTGCTCATTAATCAGAATCGATTTTGCAAAAATGTGTTTACAAACCAATATTTATCCTTTGAATATAGTAAAAAAAAATAATTACCTACATTTTTACTTCAAAGCATAAGCTTATGTTTATTTTGAAAAATATAGATGATCAATCTATGTAACTATCTATTTCATTGACCTTATCAAATCATCAGGCCTACAGGGTTGCCATAATTTTACTATATCATAACCTGTCAAAACCCACTGGTAGCCATTTTGTTTGGAATGTCTAATTAACATACTTGTTGATTAACTTGTTTCATTATTCTTAATGTTTTTTTACTACGTCGCCGAAAGCGCACGACTTAATTTAATAAAAAAAGTGAATTATATTAATATATTTCCCCCTTCTGTACACTTTAAATACAAAAATATTTCAAATTAAATTTTAAAAAATCTTTTAATTTCTGGCTTGGCGGGCCATTGTCTTAACTGCTCGATCAGGAGGACTAGTACATGCAGCCGTGATGTAATGGCTGAAGAAAAATTGAAAGAAATCTGGGTATCTTAATAGGATTTGAATATTTCGATTCTAATTAATTACTCAATGGCAGGAAGTCTAGCGCCCTGATGATCAAGCGGTTAAATCAATGGCTTGGCACGATATATATCACAAGTTCGAATCCTGTCGAAGTGCGCGGATTTTTTTCAATAGTATTTACTTTGGATTGTTCAGGAATTTATTCCTTAATTTCGTACTTATTTTTAAAGTTGAATTTAGTGAGAATGAGAATATAAAAACAATAATACAGTACTCTTAAATTTTCTAATGATTGGATATGATTCTTATTCTCAATAATTTTAGCCTTACCCTCGCATTTTTGCCAATTAAGCGAATAGTAGTCACAATAAAGTAGTTATTAAAGCAATTTAAAAACTGTTACTTTAGTCTCTTTCTCAAGATCTATTAAACTTGGACACAGATACATATACAGGGTATTATTGAAATACATGTACATATTAAAGTTGTCGTTCAAAAATGAATGGTACCAATTTTAGCAAGTAGATAGTAATCCACTTTGGTACACTTTTTTCCCAGATCTGGGTAAATTTGTAGACTAGATCTGGCAACACAGCACCGCATTACTCAATACATGACCGATAATTTCTCAGAAACTTGGTACCGAATGGAAACGCTGAAACTTGAGTACATCTAGGTAGATTATTTATTTTGAAACCAATATGGGTAAAAAACGACAGATTTAATTATTTTTCTAGGATTGGCACCTACAGTAAGAAAGCCCTTCATTTAAAATTCACTGCGTTGTCATTATTGTTGCCGTTTCGCGCTTTTTCAATCAGCCATTGTATGACCTTTAAACCCTACTTGTCACTGTTCTCTGTCTAAGGCTACGAGATCTATCGCTCTGGACAGTATACTGGAGATGCAGTGTTACTATTCGGACCAAGTTTCTGGGGATTATCGATCGCACATAACATTGATTCATACGGTGCGGTTTTACCAGATCTATTCTATAAATTTTCCCAGGTCTGGGGAAAAATCAATGAAAGTGTACTCAAGTGTTTTACTATCTACTTAACATTGAATTCTAAAATTTAAAAATGAGCGAATTTCCCCTTTCGAACATTATTCTATGTTTGTTAAACCAACCTATACCTTTGCGCCGTTGCCGGTTCGTTACAAAAGGTATGACAAATATTTTTTAATTAAACATATTCTTAATTCCTAAAAAATAAAATTGAAGTAAAACGAAAACGCGACAACGGCCTAAATCTATTTTAGTACTTTTTCAATGAAGATAAAACATAATGCGTCTTTAAGACCGAAAACACCACACTATAATAATTGTTCTAAATGACATTCGATATATTATTTCTCGTCTTCGTAATGAATCTTGTATTCTAGAAATTAAGTCAGGATTCTATCGGTTTGCCGCGGCCACATTGCGCATTTTCTCCGTTAACTGTTCAATTGTACATCGCCGGAGTCGTCCTAATATCTCGTAACCCCCACTTTTCATAAATATGAGATTTTGTTATAAAACTGTCGCGTGTGTACGCATCGCTACAGAAACCCTTGTAGCCCACAAAAATGTTTAAAACTATATAATTTCAAATTTTATAATACCTCGTAAACGAATTTTGTATTAAGCGCACAGCTGTTTTTGACTTCTCCTGTAAAATGTGATTTTTGTTACGAAGTATTAGAATTATACCAGCGATATATCCGTTCAATTGTTATAAACGTAAGACAGTCATGTAGAAATAAACAATCTGTACTTGCCGAGCAATTCCTCCAGCGTCATTTTAATGTTAATTGTATTGTAAAAAAAATCACTTCTTTAAAAGATGAAAATACGCAAGACAAAGCTTGTCTAAGCTAAACATCTAAACTATTCCAGGATTGACCATTTAACATGTACATTTCCCTGTGTGACACCAGCCATGGATCACATGTTTCATTGATTCATAAGGCATTTACGAAAAAGAAACTGTCAGCTGATATCATATTAACAGCCATGTGCACAATTTCTTAGTTAACTATTATCAAAGTTCCTAACATACTGACAAATGTAGGTTTTGATATACAATATTCTTAAAAGGCACTTAACAAACTGTTAAAATGTCTGATAGTACCAAGTCAAATTCGGAGTGCTAAAACGTTATCTGCCTCTGTTACTACATAAAATAAGAAAAATGGATCGACTATTCTTTAATTTATTAACAAGATGTAGAAATACCTCGAGTGTGAATAGTACAACAACGAAACAATTTAAAATGAAATTTCGTAAGACCACATGTACAGTGCAAATACCAGCAGATTTATTGGAAGTCATTGAAGAGTCAGCAAATCAGAGAAATCGTGAATAAATCAACCAATTTCAACAATAAATCATTCAAATAAAGAATTAACTTTTTTTGGTTTCAATTATTTATAATTTTTTTTTATTATTCTCTTTCGTGAAATTTGGAGCATATTTTTTTCCATATTTTTATAGAACAAGAAATTCGAATCGTTAAAAATGGAAACGAAGAAATGGCTGGGCTCAACTTCAATAATAGGATATTGCTACATGCAAATGTTATAAAGAAATCTGAAGACCACAATGTTAATTTTAGATTTATAAACCACCTTACACTTTCCAAACACTCTATATCTTTATTTCGATCTTGCTTTTCATATTTCACAGCCAAATTATTTAACGTTGCCTCAAACATATTTAATATCACAGCACTGTCACGTTTTAAGAAATAAAGGAGAAATCATTTACAACTTTTAATCTAATTGAGTGTAACAATAATATTTTATTTTAATTTTTAATTTTATTTATCACTATTGATAGGTACAATCACATTACAGATCTAGAGATCTATAAATGAAGTATTTTTTCCAATTTTATGTAATATTTGTAGTTTATTTGCATTTTAGGAAACATGATAATGAATAATCCCCAATTCCCCTTTCGAAAATTATGAAAAATACACCCCATACCCCTAAAATGAAAATAACCCAAAGAAAAATTGAAAGAGCTAAAAATTAAAGAAATTAAAAAATGAATGCATCTATCAGGTAGCGAACCTGGAACTTTCGCACTATACGAGTCCGAGCCTCTACCAGTTGGGCTATCAACGCACATGACTCTTTAAAAGCTAAAATTTCAGTTCTTACTCTTCCATACCTAATTTATATATTATAAAAAAATAACTTTGTGCATTATTTATATTTTTTTGTATTGCTTAGAAGAACGCTTCTTACTCACTGACTCAATATTTGAGTTAGTCATTAAGTGCAAACCGCCCTTTGCTTCATAGCATCTATGTGTAATTTTTATGTAAAAAATTGTCTGTATTGGAAGCAATAAAGTTATTATTATAATTTAAAAAGGGTTTGCAACATTAATACAGCCAACCAAATATGGTAACTTTTGAAAACCAACTCTTTACTGACAGTGTCAAATGCTTAGTGTATATCAATTATTCCTAGCTGAACACATTGTGCGCCAAAAATGTAACCTAGCGAATACACTCTGCAACTTCCAGTGAGGGAAACTGCCTAAAACTGTACTTAAAAAAAATTACCAATGAAACTTTGTCTACTACGGTTATTCCGTTGTCAACCTTCGGGTCTTCAACGTCGCTCAGACAACTGAATTCCTATAATGGCCAAATTATGTTTTTATTTCCCAACAAACCCAAACTTCCTTTAGTATGAATTTACCCAATAAATGCAATGATCAACAATTTTTAAATTATGAAAGAAACTAAACTATAAATATACCCAATATGTTTGTCATTAAACAAATTCAAAATTAATGTTCAAGAACTAACTTATTAAAATCAATGTTTAACACAACCTAACAAAGTTATTCTTCAAGAACTTCACCAAAAAAATTATCCAACAGCTTATGATGAATTCATAACTAAATAAACTATATCTAGAAAAAGGTAAGAAATTAAATCGTATGTCATTTGCATAAACCCAAAAAGAATAGAGTACGAAGGTTGTAAAGAAAAGTATTTTCTATCTCTCAGAGTCAATGTATTAAATTGAGATAGAAAGGACGTTTCTTTACAACCTTCATACTCAATCCCAACCACTGACACAAGGCTACCCTTATTCCTAACCAAAAACAATAATAAATTCATCAATAGATGGAATGGTAAGTTGTTAGCATTGACCAGGCGAAGTACAAGATGGGCAAAATGTCAAGTAGGATATTGCGTAACCCGTAAACTATTAATTTCTACCTTTTTACACAATATACCAAAAAAGAAAAATTATAAATCAATATGTATTATTAACAAAATTATTTAATATCAGACAGATATATTCGTATCAATGTCTATTAAGAATGTATTTTGAAAAAGAACAGTTCCCAAAAACACTTTCAATACTTAGAGCACTAATTTATTATACATGCATCTGTTTAATAAATCGTTAACACAAAAATATTTCTACCATGCCCCGAAGCTTTTTAACTTCATCTTATAAATATAAAACAAATTTCCAAACCAGTTATATTTAACCTGAAGTTAAAAAGCTAATTCTAAAAAATCCTGATATTTACAAAATCTTTTCAACATTATGTTTGTCTGAGAATGATAATGGACGTTAAACCATACTCCTTCATTAAAAAAGAGAACAAACCCGAAGTAAACTCAGGACCGTTGTCGCAAAGCAACAAACCCGGTGTACCAAACAACAAAAATACCACCTCTTCAATTCGTTTAGACACTATTTGTGCAGTAGAAAGCGTAAACTTACTGAATAAATCGCCATTACCAGCCATGGAACGAAGTAATGGGCCTATCAAGTCGGTAGAAATAATTTTCTTTGGACGAGAAGCCCTGGGGGTTAGGGTGTCATATATATCCTTTTGGACCACTCTGGTCAACCTTATGCGCTGCACATACTACACAATTCCTAACAAACGCAGCCACATCTGACCTAAGTTAAGGGCAATAAAATCTCTCAGTAAATCTTTTAAAAGTCTTCAGAACACCCATGAATCCAGCTTAAGGTATATCATGCAGTTCTTGCATAATATTCGTCTATCGCCCTTAGGAACTACCTCTTTCCAATCGTCAGCAACATCACCTAAATATTTATAATTGGTTCTAATATGTTTAAACAACTTGCCATCAATGACTCGCCACTGTGAGTACCTTATAGAGTGTTTTAATACTTTATGTATTTTACCAACAATCTTTGACAACTGAAACCTCACTAATCTGAACATCCGGAATTTTTGTAAGCTGCCCACCCCCTAGTTACTGTGTGAGCGACGTCGAAGACCCGAAGGTTGACACTGGAAAAACCAAAACTTATGTAACCGTAGTAGACAAAATTTTATTGGGAAATTTTTTTTAATTTTATTTAAAGTTCAGTTTTAGGCAGTTTTCCTTACTGGAAGTTGCAGAGTGCATTTCGGTAGGTTATAATAAATCTTAACCATTTTATAGTTAACTGAGGAATGCTGCATATGGCTGTAATACGGAAAACTGGTAGTTATTTAAATGTTTTTAAACGCCTATAGGTTACAGTTTACTGTCCTTTTAATGCGCATGTCTGCACAGTCCGTGCAAACGTCATGGATTCTAATTTTATACCGTGGCACGTTGTCACATATTAGCGCATTTTTTTTTAATTTTACTCCCGACTTCTCCCCAGACCATTACTCTACATAACTTGATTTCAAATCGTGTCTTGATTTTGACTAGTGCTGAGTCAAATTTCTTTAGTAATCCAACTTACCCTAATAGCGAGGGGGTAAATAAGATCATATAGTAAAAACCGAGGAAATTAGTTTACTTTAGGAACACAACTAACCCAATAAGTATCGAGTTATCAAATAAAAAGATTACTTATCTAAGTGATCGATTTAATCTGATCACTTTCCGTAAATCCCTAAGGTAATATGTATGCGTTTGTAGACTTTTTTATGAATTTTAAAATAGTTTGTTCCATTTAATCATTTTTTATAAAGAGCATTTTGGTAAATGCAACTTAAATTCTAAAATGATAAACATTATTTTCCGGAATAATTTCGATGGTATATAAAGTATTGAGCAATCCCCATTGATTCATGAGCATGATTGTCCGAGATTTAGAGTAGGTCTTTAATCTCGTTTTGTGAGGTTAATGTGTCCTAAAGTGTTCTGCTTATGTCATGTTTTTTTTTTTTGTGAAAATGGTTGCAGTTATAAAATTATTAAACGGTTTTTGGCTCTTCTCCCTACAACAAATGGTAAGTTATTGGATAGTTCCAACTAAAATATTGAAAATAAAAATGCAGATGGAGACTGTGACTCGGGGTCGGACCTTAGGTGATCTAGATTTTGCACCCGACCTATGTTAACTTTAGTGAATACCTCATTTCACATAAATTTTCAAAAAATAATTACTCCTTTAACTATTGGTATTTTTAATAAGTATTTTTCTACGTTTTATAAGAGCCTACATATGAATCTGTTTTAATATCTACATGTATTTCGATAACACCCTATATAATAACGTGACACATACTAAATTACTTACCACAGCCTGGAAAAATGGATGGGACAAGGCGTCTTTGATGCTTATTCTTTGCTTAGGATCTACAACTAGTAGTTTTCTAATTAAGTCTTTTGGAGCGTCTAAAATAAAAACAATCTTGTTTAATAATCTGATAACTCTACCAAGGACAGTTTTTGATTGAGTTATAATCTCCATTAAAAAATTTTAATTTGATTAGGGCCATATTATATCAAACTGTGATCATTTGTAGTTGTTCAGTTCATTTTGGCATATTATAAACATTTTATTTTATTGTAGTAATAAAAATATTATTTACCAGAAATATCTGCCCATTCAGGGGACGAAAACGAATATTTTCCTTCCATAATATTCCTCAACATCACCATTTGCTTTCTATGCCAAAATGGAGGACAACCAACCATCCTAAAAAATTTAAAAAAATCTATACCAGGTGGCAATGACACCAGGGCTACGTTAATATCTTTTATTTATTAAGCGATATGGATTAAATTTGGAACAAACATATTAGACATAATTTCGAATTGCCACTTAAACTTAAATAATATGGCCAAAATGCGATATTACCGGAAATGCCATTAATTTTTATTTTTAAATGGATCACCCTGTATATTTAACGTTATATTGAATCTAATGTTCTAAATGGTGCATAGTGTCATTTAAAAAAATTAAATTTTGGCAAAAACACCTTTTAGAAATTTATATTTTATCTGAAGAATATATTTTTGACTCAATTGGTAAAATAGCCTCGAATTATAAATTAACGTGACCTAGTCTCATTGTCACCCGGTACCCAAAGTATGAAAATCTTAGAAAATAACATTCTTAAAAACAATTTTAATAATCATCAAAACACCAACCTATGGTAAATTTTAATACATTTTCGCTAAAAGAATGGTTTATTTTTCATTAAACTATTGTAATAGAAAAGTTTTTTAAAACTAGGATCCGTTTGACCAAAATACATTTTTTTAAATAATTTAAGTTATAATTTCTAATATAATTAATTGTTAAATACAAAAAGTTAGAGTGAAGATAAAACCACTTACAAGGTGTACATAATAACTCCACACGCCCATCTAAAAATAAACAAAATTTTCATTAGTTCAAATATCTTTGCTTTTTTAAAATGTTCGAACCTACATATCCACTTCGAATGAATATCCTGGCGACCCTTCGATCATATTACATCTCAACGTTTCGGGGGCCAAATAGCCCGGGGTACCGCATAAATCTAGAAGAAAAAAAAAATATAGATGTTTTACTCCTTTTCTCTCTATGGAACAGCCATCGAAGCACATCAAATAATTTGGTTATAAAAACACTAGATATTTTTTCCAAAATAAAAAGATTGCTTTTATCGAGAATTGAACCAGGGTCGCGAAATCCAAAGTTAAGCGCTTAACGACCTGAGCCATGATGGCTTATGTTAATTATGTAATCAAATATGTGACATTAGCATTTTCTACAACGGCTTTTTTAAGACACCATCATCGAGCGCTTCACCGCTGGTGCGTCTACTGCAAAGTGTTTCCATATTCTATAAGACAAGAATAAACAAAAAATTGCACAAATAAGTACAAAAAAAGTGACACGATAATGGCTACAAAGTGTTTTTACCCGATATATTGCTGGTTCTCGGATTTTGTGAAGGAAATTGTTGGAGAAGCATGAGAGTATGTCAAGAAAGAGTATTTAATCGTCAAAAGCCGAATCGTAAAACATTTATACGAATCGTGAGACGTCTTTGTGAATATGGAAGATTCAAGTTATGAGAAATTACAAAGATACAAAAAAAAAATTATCACCAATGCTGCGAGATTTTTGTTTTTTACATTTAAAACTTACTGATAGAGACCCAAACAATCTCAAAACAGAATTTGCCATAACTTAGTGCGAGTTTTTTATATGGCGGATGATGATAAACTGGACATACTTTTTTCTTTCGAATCACATTACTTTACATGGAGGCCATAACTCAGCGAGTTTTTTATATAGCGGACGGAAGTAAACTGGGAATACTTTTTTACGTCGTTAACAACAAAGTGTATTCAGATATTGTTAACAATCTATTATAGAGTGTGTCCTAAAAAGTTTTATACACATGAGAAAGAGTTTTATTTATAAAAAAATAGTCTTGATTGATAAAATGTGCCACACCACTTGGGAATCCATAATCAAACATTAAATTTTGTAAAAAATAGGTGATATCCAGGGAAAATAAAGATAAAAAAATAAAATATTTTTAATTTCCATATAGAGCCAAATATTAATTAAAATGTGGATAGGAGGTATTTCTCAAAATCTGTGTAGGTATAAGAAAAATTGTACTTTGGCGTGGCGCATGGTAGCAACTGGAAAAGCGTGATAATCACGCTTAAATCGCAGCGTCTTGGAACCCTAGCCGTAATGTGCAATAACGACTGGCTATTTTTAGGGTAGGATATTGCCTCTATGTGTTCCCCTCTGGCTACGGCCTTGCACCGAGGTGATTCCATAAGAATTCTCCTTTTTTCCAAATTGGTGACTGTAAGAAAAATGATGGAGATGCTCTGTAATATGATATGCTGTACATACTTAAGACTATTTATGCGATATTTCGTCGGAACCCATTATGATGGTTGATGTTACCAATATGTGTTTAGTATAAAAAAACCGAAGGCATTCAATATTCAGTATTCAGTTATTCAGTTTTGATTATTGATTGGTATATGAACCAAAACAAAACGTTCTGTTAAATATTATCATTCGATTTTTAGTGTTTAATATAATTCTATTGTTTTATAAAATAAGTAGTTTATTTATGATATTCTTACAGGACTGAACACTAAAAATGTAAAATGAAGTCCCTTAAAGTAGCCAGAAAAATAATAAAAATAAAACATTTCGGGTTACAGCACCAAGAAAAAATACACAATTTATTATCTCAAAGTCAAAGAAAGACATGTCACTAAACCATGCAGGGGTCACTTAAAGGATTTGCATAGACAAAAATATTTATATGAAAATTTAAATATTCCATTTAAAAGTGTATAACCTAACAGATTCTCTTATTAGATACGGGCGGGCGGACAAACAGGCTATTAAACCGAAAAAATAGCGGTCCTGCCAAGTTATGGCTAAACAACAAAAACAAATATTTTCAGATTATCAATTTTTCCATCGTTGTTTTGTTTATTAAACTTTCCTGAAAGTATTAGCCTGGTCGTTAACTAGCAATAAAAAAAAATCGTAAACAAACATTACAAACAACAATGAAATAATGTAAACAAATAAATTATTGTCCTTTGAAAAAATATATCTATTTGGAATGTTTAGCTTGTTCATATTGTGTTATAGGTAAAGATTATTTCTGTAACGAGTATAAGTCATTGAATGCTGGTTTTAAATAACTATGAGTTAATTAAAAATACATAATGATATACTGATAATAAAATCGTTAGTAGGTGTTCGTAATTTTCAATAGCTTTAAAGTAGGTTTTTGTGCCAAAAGTTCATAAATATAAAATGACGTATTAGACCAAGAACACACCGCGCGACGCATTACAACTTTTCATAAAACATATTTTCTTCTTATTAGTTTAATAGGACAGAATTGTTAAATATTATTATATCTCAGACCAGACGCGATATGGTTTCAAAAGCTAAAAATACCGCTACAATATATATGCAATGACCGGCAAAAATTATGAAAAATTCGCTATGACGTCATCGACCATTTTTTAAATTGCATCCCACCCTTTTTTGCAGTTTCGAATAGGTTATAATAATATTATGATGTCGGCAATATGCACATGTATTTCTTTTGGACTGATAGTTTCGGGTATTTAAATTACGAGGTTATTTTTTTTAATATTTGGAAAACTTCTCACCTTGCATTAATTCGCCATCTGCCAAGACTTTAGCGAAACCAAAATCCGTTATTTTCACATTCAGATTATCGTCCAGCAATATGTTTTCCGGTTTCAAATCCCTATGGACGATTTTCATGGAATGGACGTGTTCAACGCCTTCCAATATCTGCTTCATGATGTAGCGGGTTTTCTTTTCTGATAGGGCCACGACAGAGGTTAAGTAGTCGAAGAGCTCGCCATGTTTGCAGAGCTCAAACACCAAGAAGATGAACGTTGAGGATTCGAAGACGTCTTGAAGTTCAACTGGAAGGGAAAAATAAAAGATATTGCACGTGTTCCCGAAATTTCGAGATATCATTATATTTGTATACAGTCTGTCTACTTAAGTTGGAATCATATGGACAACTGTTTTATTATTAATATTAATGAAGGTCTCCATGGTCTCAGTTATTTGAGAACACAAATTTTTTAGTTTAGATATTTTATGGGCACTTTAAATAAAAAATAAAACAAAAGAATATCTGTTTCCGTTTTCGAGATAATGACTATAAATTTGTGTTTTCTTATAAACACCATAATTATTGGATTTGTATTGCATTAAATAACATTTTACATTCCCTTGTATGTATAACAAATGGTATCTTTCAAGTGAATATCGAAATAAACAAATCTAAAAATTTGTTAATTAATTTGATGCAAGTAAACATTTATCTTAAAACTGTTAAATTATAGTTAGATATTCCAAACAAAAGAACTGTCTGTGGGAAGGGTTGCGATATCTAAGGGGTTGCGACGTACGGTTGATTCTATGTATATTATGTGAAATTATGAATAATGGATTAAATTTAAATATTTTATGTACAAAAGAATGAAAATATTAAAAAAATCATTTTTTTATAAATTGGCAGACTTGACTGTTATTTCGAATAAAAATAGCGTCCAAGATGGAAGAATGTGTCGCAACCCCCTAAGATATACCAGCCCTTCCCACTGGTAGCTTTCTTGTTTCCATTGCATGTTATTCGTTTATTTTGAATTCGTTAATTGCTTTTTATTTTCAAATACGCGGTCATTAGATATGGTTCTTAATTTATACCAATGAAGAATTAGAAACCTACTTCGTAGCCCACAGAAATTCTACATCGCCTGCGGAAATAAATTTCATCAGCGGCATTAACCAAACGCAAGACATTTTAGGTATCTGGTATTAAATGGCTGGATTATTGGTTTTGAAAAACCTAGAAATCGTAAATATTTTGTTGAAAATAAGGAGAAAATTGATGTTGTGTTACAATCCACTTTAATGTAATCTATTAAAAAAAGAAAAATAAAGAATTGAAAGCATCAATATTAGTTTTTTATTCATTACAATCACTTAAGATTTTTATTTATCGTCTTTTACAAGTGGTTCATAATGTTTAAGTTTGGCAACCATAAATAATTTTTATAAAATCTAAATAAGCCCTCCCGAAACACTAGGTCTAGTGCAACGCTCTATATAGCAGGGAAGTTGGTAACCTTTCCAGAGATTATTCTGCAAGTAGATGGATTGCCAGTAGGCTCAAGTTCGTGTTCCTGGACTGATCGATTATATCATGAACGACAAACAAATTGAGTTGATAATTTAACAGATTTGTTTAAACGAGTTCTGATATTATAATTTCAGCGTACAAAACAGAATTAATGCAAGAAAGTGTAAACTTTTCCGCCAGAGGTAAGTTAGTTATTAATGATACAGACTTTGACATTAATTTAAAAGTTGATGATATTTGAAAAATGTTAACTAGCGAAACTGAAGATGAAGGTGAGTGCAATTTCGAACTTAAAATATAGTATTTCATTTAGACGATCTGGCTATAGACTTGGAAGACAAAAATATTGAATAAGTCGTAATTAATTAATAAGTTATAACAATCATTTTCAAATTCAAGTCGTGATCAATTTTTTTTTTCATTTTGTCGGCCGCCATATTGGATCCACCTTTTTGTATTTCTAATTTATAAAGTCATACTCAAAATCAGCAACCTCAATACACAGACGTCCATCCCATGTAAATAAATCTGATATTTTGGCAAAAAAATAGGTGAAACGTCCAACAGTACAATGCGACGGGACCGAGACTGCCTAAAGCAGCGTGTCCATTGAGCCGGATCAGCACGGCCCGCGCCGCCGGTAGATTTTGATGTTTGTAATCAAATGGACTAGCGTCCACTCAATTGGATCCGTTTAGCTCGATGTAGCACGCACAGTCCGGCGACTATTCATATTCTCGATAGAACGCTATTCAGGTCTGATCATGCCGAAGCAATGTGCGGCAGATGCGGAAATGCCGACCGCGCTGACTATGCTGTACCGGGCTTCTTAATGCAGTGCGTCCATTGAACCGGTACAGGCCGGCCAGTACGGCCGGCAGATTTTGATATGTTCGTAATCGTAATAAACTATTAAGTATTCGTTACTCATTTAAAGCAATCGTTACTTTGATTACTATGATTCTATAGTACCAGAATACCTAAGGAACTAGTAACTACTTTAGAACGAATATGTTTATTGCATTCGTGTATATTATTATTGCATATTATTATTTTTAAATATATTATTACAATAAATACATATACCTTTTTTTGATTTCGTTTCCATTTCAATCTTTAAAAGGGTTATACGCTTTAAAAATGATGCGCCGTTTCGACTTTATATACAAAACACTTTTAAATTTATCCAACATCAATATTGTTATTTATTAATGTTTCTAGGTTAACTATCAATAAATTATACACAGTACAGGCAAACTCTCATCTCGGAATTTAAACTTAACTTTAAATAAACTTGCGCAGGGATGTTATCCATCGTTCAAAAGTAATCGTAGTAATCAAAGTAACGGTTTACATTTTGTATCGGTACTCGTTACTTCGAATCGTTCCGACTAAAGAGTACTTGTGTAATGAATAGTTACTATTTACTGAGGACCAACCTCTCACTTTGATAGTATAATTTGTTTTGACCGCCCATCCAATACTGGACGTTAATAAATACCAACCATACAAGCCTAGGATAGTGCAAGGTTAATCGGCAAATAATTTTCCTCGAAGAGTTAAGATTTTGTGAATGATACAAAAATATGCGAGAAAATCCCAATTTTTTCCATGAAAATATTATGGGTCGAATCTCGATTTACCAGTTGCGGAGTTTTCAACAGGCAAATATTCTTCACTGGTCTATAGAAAACGCAGCTATATAGTTTTTATCACGCTGTTCAAGTCTCCATGGCCAAAAAAATTCATCGGCAGGATTTTGAGATATTGTCCGTTGAAGGTGTTTACTCTGCCCACTCGTCAATATTGTTTTTTCCTTTGGAATAGAATTTAAAACTGTATTTATGATTATTAAGGAGTGTATATGGACTATTGCATATATCTTTTATAGACATATATGTTTTTTATACAGTGACCGGCAAAAATATGGAACAAATTTATTATTTCGAAAACTTTTGAGAAAAATCCTGAAAGACGTCTATTTTAATTTTTAAATGCAAATTTCTTGACATACTTGAGAAAAAAATTATGTCGACTTTGTTAGCGTGCATGCAAAAACGGTTTCGTGATTCCACATCACCACGCTTCAATCAGGCGCGATGGAGTTCTGAAATTGTTCTTCGCCAATAGTTCTCCACTGATCTCGAATTTTTAAGATTTTTTTCAAAAGTTGGCTATTTTTGGAAATTATGAATATGAATTTGTTCCATACTTTTGCCGGCCATGTATAAACAAAATATCTCGATATTTTTTTATTTTATAGGTAATTTCTTGAGAGGAAAACCGCTAAAAAATGTACACCAGTACTAGTACACATTGTGCTCCAAATAGTAATAGTACGCAAATAGAATTCAAAGTACGCAAATGGTAGTGTAATATGTAGTACAGAAATAAAGTTAGATTAAAAAAATAGTCACAGCTATTAAAATTAAGTTGATGACCTAAAAAAGGTCGTTGCTCAATTTTTCTCCAGGTCACCAACGGCTACCAAGTGGGGATTGGGGATACTACGCAACCCTACACACTTACTATTAGATAGTGCAAAATAATATGCATATAATACACAAATAGTTCATATAGTACACAAATAGTAAACAAAGTACACAAAATATAGAAATAGTACACAAAATACACAAATAGTACACGAAATATACAAATAGTACACATAGCACAAATTATTTGTACACATAGTACAGCAGCGGTTTACCCTTCGTAATTTCCTTTACTTAAATTTCCGCATTATGAATATAAATACATTAAACTTCTATTTAAAAGTTATTTTTAAATATATAAAACGCGAAATACATAAAACGTCAATATCCATGAGTAATATTTTTGTTATTATTGAAATTAGTTGAAACAAAGTTCAAATCGAATATTGTGGAATAGGTTACTCAACTTCAGTGACGCAAGGAGAACATGTTAGCTATAATCCTATAATAAGAGAGGATAATCAACACAAACAAATTTTATATCAAGATCATAAACAATCGAACGAGTTGATGGAAGAAGGTTGCCGGTAATTTTTTTAATACCCACATACCTACGCGTGTTTGTACATTTTTATTTACATGGAAAATTGTTTATTATTTTGAATTTTATTATCTCAATTTGTCATCATCATTTCTGGAAACGATTTTGTAAGCGGTATTTAATTTGATAAAATAATTAACTTTTCTTAATAGGTGTGTTACAATTATTAATTCGTACTGGCTAGCCGACCGCCGGCGGTAGTTGAATTTAATTAAACGAAAACTGTCTTCCCGCGACATGGTCTTCTCACATATAAGAAAGCCGCCGAAAATCTAAACTGATTTGTTTATGAAGGCGGCAGGCTCTCAGAGTATTGATAAGGCCGCCGGACGACGGTCTAATGTATTTGAAACATTAAATGCCACCGGAAAAAACTCGCGTAACGGTGACAACACTAATCATTTTCAATTGCTGTGGCGGAAGGTGTTTGTGTGAATGCGTCTTGTTTGTTTTCATTTACGCCGTGACTAGCAGTAGTATTTTATAAACCTTAGAAGCAAATTTCACATACATGAACAAATAATAATAATAATGCGGTGACAACAAGAAGACGAAGTAACGACTTATCGTAGGGTGGCGACTTCGCCGCCACCATAAAATTTCAATCCATACCTGGCTACGTCGCCCGGAATAAACACCAACGGCCTGGACACAGCTCATCTACTCTGTCAAAAGGAGACCGATGTACAAATAAAACGCGTACGACATTGATCATTTGCCACAAAAATGTAGACGATTTTACAAGTATTTTTTTCTTACCACCGGCATTCAACGTTTTAAATACAGTAGACCGTCGTCCGGCGGCATTTTTTAATTCACTGATAGCAGGCCGCCCTGATCAACAAATCAGTTTAGATTTGTGGCAGCTTTTCTGTATGAAGAAGACCATGCCGCCGGAGGACGGTTTTCTTTTCAACAAATGCAAGCACCGCCGGCAGTCGGTTAGCCAATATGTTTCGTATAAATTTAAAGTGATTTAATGAAACAGCATTGTGGCCTAAAAGCGATATATCAGCGAGCGAAATTCCTTTTTGTATAATGTAAAAATAATATTTATCTAATGCACTTGTTATTGAATGAAACAGTGAGACCGTTAGAAATGAGGTTAAATGTTTTGTGCGTTAATTTTATTTGATACCCATTTAATACGCAGATCATGAATTATATCATATCGCTATCTTTTTGTATGTGTCATTCCAACAAAAATTACTTCTTCAGACTAGATTTTTTTTTTATTTTCTGCGACCTTAAATTAATTTACATAAATCCATTTTTATTAATAATACGTGGAGTAGATGATTAAAATCCTATAATAATCTAAAACAAAAATCTAGGCCAATCTAGCCAAAAAATAAAAAAGAAAAATGAAATAAGTGATAAAACACCAATTTAAAAGTAAAAATACTGTAAACATGAATTAAACATTAATGAAGTCATCATATCTATTTTTTAAATATGTTCACAATTGGAGGGCATAATACAAATAGGGTCTCAATAAGAAAGGGATACAGAACAACTGAAGATTCTCTGATTAAAAATAAGACGATTAAACGAAACATACTTAGATAAAATATTATTGGTTTTCGAAATTCAGGTTTATAAAATTATTAATGGTTATAATTTCTCCGTATAATTTTACTAAATTCGGTTGATATAATAAGATACCTATAAGCAAAACAATCAGTAAAATCAATCTCTTCTAAATTTTACTCCACTGTCCAAAAACTTATTTGAACAATACTTTCATATTTTTTTAAAGTTTTTAAATAAATCATGTACTATTCTTGGAAACTCATAAAGTGATTGGTTTTTGAGATATTCACACTCAAAAGTGGACATTCTTCATTTTAAAAAAATTTGTAATTTTGAATTGTTTTTATAAAATTATACTAAACAAACGTTTTTGGTATCATAAAATTCACCTATCAGCAAAAAAAGCAGTTAAATAAACTGCCAGGCATACGGAATGGGTGAGTAACACCTTCATCCTGTCTAAATATTACACCACTCTCCAAAAACTTATTTACACTATAGTTTTGAATTTTTTGATGGTTGTTAAATAAATCATGTACTCTTGTTGGGAATTTATAAAAAAATCACAATTAAAAAATAAATTAAAACTAGAATGACAATAATAATAATGCTTAACATTCTGTATTATACTCTTCACAGTTTAACACATCCCCTTTAACGCTCATTTTAAAATCAGTTTTTTAAGCTATTGCATAGCTTTTATCGCGGGCTTTGAGCGCAGCGACCGAATCAAGAAAAAAAAACGAAACCGTAACGGAAAAAAACCTAACGTTTTTGGTGTAATATTGGTTATACCATTGAACTAGTTAAAAAAAACGTATGCAGGTTTCCAACAAACCTTGAAGCAAGGGAAATTTGGATTCAAAACTGAAGCTGTTAAAACACTAGAATTTGTTCAAAACATTTTAGAAATGATTAATTTGTAATGATTAATGATTGATGCAATAACTTCTGAGATAGATACTGGATGTAAACATTCAAGTTGTTACACTGACACTTCTGAAATATTTAAGAGATAAAAGTCTATCAGAAGCAGCTAAGGTATCTAGTATTAAAATAACAGTAATTCAATTTGGTGACATAATTAGTAATATATTTTTGTATATCAGCATGGTAAACAAGCTTGATGATAATGTCTATGTTTGTACATATTTATTGTCTGTTTTCTTTTTCAAATATAATAAAATTAATTATTATGTACCTAGCTGTATAAACAGTGTGATCATTTGAAACTCATTTTTTTATAAATATCTATTACATTCAAATAAAAAATAGCATATTTTTTTTAAATAAATTTTTATTTTGCATTTAATTTTTCTTTAAATCCTTCTTTTACAAAATATTTAAAAAAAATCTCTTGGATTCTGATGCAAAAACTACTTTATATGCCATTGGCGAACCAAACTGTCAAATGTTTCTATATATTGGCTTCAAACAAAATGGCACCCATTATCTATTTCTTTATCTTTATCAAAGATTACCACCAATAAGTTCTTCATTCTGCATTCAGTTTAGACCTGCATAACCCTCTATCATCTAAAAGCTAATTATGTAGGACTTTCAACTGATTCAAAATATAAAAGGCGTTTTGTTTAAAAAACAGTTATGACCATTTAAAATATTTGATATTTATTAGTTTACTGAAAACACTCTGTATGTTGTAGATATTTATGTGAAAGGTTACATGTTTAATGAGACATTTTAGAAAATTTAAAATGAATATTTAGGAATTAGATAATTAAAAAAAAAAAAAAAAATAACATCTGCCAATACCCTACTCCTACATTTCCAACTTCTAAAAACAAAGGCCTATAAAACCAAATATTTAAAAGAATACGGGTGTTCATCTACAAAAATAACTGTGATAAGGGTTGAAAAAAAAAACTGATTATATAATTACTGTTTTGGTTATTTTTTGGTATATTTTGGAACATTCTAAATTAAAATTTTGTTTAATCTGATATGCAGATTCAAAAATATTATTATTAAATATTTGAATTGCATATTTATAGAATAAAATATGCTATAGACACACAGTATATTAGGTAAGTGCTATTGTTAACCTATAAACATAATTTAAATGGGAATATAAGGAAGATACATTTTATTGTAAAATTATTTTAGTAAAATGGAAGACTCCACAAAACATAAATCAGATGAAGATATAATAAACATAAAAATATGAGCAGAAGGTAATAAAACAGGAAAGTCAAAAGTTTTAGTTAGAGATTTTGACATAGATATTAGCCTAGACCTTTAATTTTAATGATCAGATATTTGATTTTATGTGGATTTTAGTGTATTTTTTTGTAGTGGCCTTCTGTGTAAAACTTTGATGGTTTTTCCCATAAAAGGCCACTACATTTTTAAGTTCATTAATGTTAATGATCAGATATTTGATGTTTTATGAGGAGTTTAGTGTATTGTTTGTATAGTGGCCTCTGTGTAACAATTTGATGGTTTTTCCCATAAAAAGCCACATTTTTAAGGTAACTTTTTAACATGCCTACCCTAACTTGATAACAGTTATGTGATTATGGAGAACCCTGTATACCTAGTCGATTGTATTTTATAAGTGTAGCTTCTTTGGCGCGAAATCTTCTAGTTTACCTACTAATTGACCCATCCTGTACAATAGGTAGCAAAATGATAAGAGTATCATACATCAGATTGTATTTTACACATTATAATTAAAAAAAAATTAAATTAGCTCCATTGTTCTTAGGTCTTGTTAGACCCAATGTGCACCCACCAGAATCAAGGCTTATCAAAGAAATTTTTTGATAAAAACGAAAATAAAAATTTTCCACTTCACTATATTGAATCTAATTTGTGGACACACAAATTATTCTTCTTATTTAACAAATAGCCTAATATAATTATAAAAAATGGATTAAGCACATTCACAAGAATATTACATTCTATTCAGAGATTTTCATATGTGAAATATTTGAGTATATTATTTTCTTAGTAGTTAGTTTTGTGTAAGTAGTTCTAACTAAAACTTTTCCCACAAGAAAATATCAAAATTAATTTATCAACATTTAAGATCAAACAATTAAACTTTTATCTAATTTTTTTCAATTTGACCTGTGTGTAAAAAAGGCATTGCCTCCGACATAGCATTATATTTAAATTATTAAAATAATATAAAACAAAGTCATCATTTACCACTTTTTTTTTGCCAAGTTGGTTGGTAATATATATTATTCAATTAAGTAAATTTAATTTCATAGTTTTATTAAAAAATCTTCTATTTGTGCACAATTTTTTCCAAAATAATTAAATAAATGAAATTAATAATATAGCAAGAAGCCTTAGGTATACCTATCCTATTTAACACTCGATTTAACATTAAAATAAAATTAAACCAAAAATTTCAATTTTCTAGAAATAATTATTTTATATTAATAAAATAAAATGCACTTTATCAGTCTTGAAGTAATCTTATTTTTTATAGATCAGTGATTAAAGGACAATATAAAACTATTTAATAGGCTTTTATTTTTTAAGGATCTTTTGAATTTTATTTAAAAACATACAAGAGACTTACTGATATAAGGGTGTCCAGCCACATGCCTTAAAATATTCACTTCCTGTTTTGTTGCCTCCAAAGTTGACATATCATGCAAACCATCGGTTGTGCTTAAATCAATAATTTTAGCAGCATATTCTTTACCCGTTTCCTTTTCTATACATCTTCTAACTGTAGAAGATATACCCCTGAAATTAAAAAAAATAGTCTTTATAAATTAGGTAAGCATTTTAACATTAACACTTATAGGTACCATGACTATTTTCAAGTTATCAAGATATTTTATACTTTATAGTTCAGTAAGGACAAGTTTTCTACTAAAGTAACTTGGGTAAATGCTAAATGTTTAGAGTTTCGAGCATTTTTTAAAATTTGTTCCTCTTTTAAAGACAGGCTTGTTTAAGAAGATAAATTGATAATCGTTAACCTACCTTCCCAAAATTTCTTTGGGTTCATATTTAGCGTAAAATTCCTTAGCAGCGTCTTTGTCAGGTAACTTATCGTATTCCTCCTCTTTAGCCATCGTGGTAAACGCTAACTATTTAAAAGATAACAATTATGTAGTTTATAACACACTAAAAATAACTACCATGCTATGACTACTTTACCCTTCCTCTGTCCTGAAGGTTGAATACTTGTTAAACAATAAGATTTAATTTAAAGTTATTGATAGAAATCACATGGTAGTATGTCGCGCCACGATAAATAGTCACTTTGTGTTTAATAAAAGTTTAAAAAATTCTTTAAAAACCTATTTACTGACCCACTTTTCTTGTCATCTGTCACATTTGACAGGGCACGTGTCACGTTGACAATTTTGACACATTCTTCAAGATGTCTACATCGGCCTTTTACTTTTAAAATAATTCAAATCTAAACTAAACCTGCTAAAATACTGGCTAAAATTAACTTGTAAATTCAAACACCTTCTAATTTTATTTCGAACTTATTCATTGATCTTGATCGTCTTATCAAAGAATGGTCTTATCTTATCACAACACAGAGTTTATAAATACTTTAGGCAATAAGTAATGCATTTTAGCGTATAACTGGTTGCATTATACAAATAACCACAGTTCAAGGGTGTAGTCAAAAATTTAAAGTAACGGGTTTTAAACTTTATTTAAACAAATTGAATACAATAATTTTAATCCTATCTATCAGACTTTTGTTCAATTATTATTAACAAGTTTATCCAACAATTAATGTTGACTCGTCAAGAAAAGTATGTTCTGGTATTTCTAAATTTGTTGGTGCTGGTCCTTTCCGTATACGCCCAGAGGCATCGAAATGAGACCCATGACATGGACAGTAGTATCCTCCAGGCCCATAGTCACCTGCATCTGTAACAGGGACGCATCCCAGGTGAGTGCAAACACCTAAAATATTTAGTATATTTATTTGATTGCTATTTATGTTAAAAATTACTAAAAATTAGACAAAGTAGAGAAATGACAATGTATGTACTCGTATGTCCTCTTAAAAATACACGTAATTACCAATAACAACCAGGTACTTTTTATTGGGACATCTCTTAGAATCCTCCTCTGGATCTCGTAGGGAAGAAAGGGGCACCTTTTCAGAAGATTCTATTTGTTCTGGAGAACGATGTCTTACAAATAAAGGTTTTCCTCTCCATTTAATCGTTACTGACTTTCCTTCAGGTATTTCATTAAGTTTGACTTCTATTTTTGCCAAAGCGAGAACGTCTGCAGATGGAGCCATAAACAAGACATACCTTTTAAACAGAAAAAGTAAAAATGCACACATATATAGCACTTCTGAAGAACTATTTACGATGCAGATTTTTTGTATTTAATTACCTATGAAGTTCGGCTTTCATACCGTACATCCCTAAGATACCCGCCGCCAGCATTACAAAACTGACAACACCTCTTCTGGAATCTTCAGATATATCAGTTTTAACATCAGGATAGCGAACGGAACCTTTTCTGTAAACACCAAAATCTGGAACTCTAATATCAGTATGGGCTACTCTTATAAAAATAAACAAGGGACTGGGGCAATTCTTTAAATGAAACCTAAAATTCTTATAATTATTGTAAGAAAAATGCTTCACAATAAGTTTTGTAAATGACATTTTGAATGTTGTCAAAGTGACTTTTGAATCCATGATACTATAAAAAAAATGTATGAACTACACGTATGTGGAGGAAGGCGTGGCTTAAACAAATTTGACGTATCAGCAGATAGAAAAAGAACGTGCGAAAATAAATTATAATCAGCTCATGGCCAATCAGATAACCATATTCCACACCACAATACGTCATGCGCGAACTTGACGAGATTTCGTCGGCTAAGTATCATACTTCTGTAATTTTTTGTATCATGACTTGAACCAGTTTTGGAGATCAAGTCGGTTGTTATTAATTTCTTATTACAGAGTGATTAAGTAAGACTGGCCTTACACAGGGACTTAGTATAAACTCCACGAAAACAACACTAGTAACCTTTTCAAGGAAAAGCAAACTCAATCTCAAAACCTTCAAATTATACGGGATATATAGAGAATGGAAAAAAGAAATAAATATCTAGGCCTTAAGATGGACAACAAACTTCTCTGGAACATACATAAGAAGAAAGTAGTAAATAAGGCAATACAAGTCTTAATTGTATGCAGAAACATTGCGGGAAAAAGATGGGGATGTAACCCGAACACACTGCGATGGATGTATACAGCAATAGTGAGTCCAATAATCCCTTACGGGGCTATAGCCTGGAGTAACAGAACTAGTTTAGCTACTTCGACAGCTAATATCTCAAAAGTATAAAGACTAGCCTGTGTCTGCATCACCGGTGCCATGAAAACCTGCCCTACGTCTATAATTGAGGCGATCTTAAAACCCCTCTACATTTAATGATAGAGAACGTGGCAAATATAATGATCAGGAATAGGAATAGGAAGCACACAAGCAAGCCACGTATTCGGTGGCCTTACTTTTTAAGCTCGATTTTGTCGCTTTAAACCGCGTAATGCCGCGCGGACTTAATCGAAAATTATATCAACCGAAAGTGAAATTTCTCCTGTGTCCAGTGATATAGTTACTTTTCAGAAACATATTTTATGGTGTGAAATAAGTGCATCTGATTATTGGAGCATTCAGTTTGTTTGGTGTTTTTTGTACACTTTTTATGCTCCTACTTATCGGTGAAGTAAAAACTCTCATCAGTAACTGCTGAAGATTTTATTTCAAATACATTTCTTTTACCAGTGGCGTATCGTCTCCATTTGCCAATGATTTTTGTAACTAATGGATCCAATCAATTTTAAATGTTGTAAGAATAAGGTATTTAACAATCTGTATTGTATCGTTTGCTTTGATGTTTTTCATCCTTCTTGTATTGAAAGAAAAAAACACTTTAAAGAATTAGGCGGTTGTAAAATTTACTGTTCCCAAAACTGCGAAAATAAAGATAATTATAAAAAAGAGGAAACAGATAAGTTATATGAAAAGATTGACTCATTAAAAAAGGAAAATTCCGAAAAAAATATATTACTACAGAAAAATGAATATGATAAAAATGAAGAAATTGAACAAATGCAGGCAGTAATTAATGAAATAAGTAAAACCTTGGAAGAAAAAAATAATCACATTAAACGATTAAATAAAAGAACTCGTGATTTTGAAAATGAAGCTCTGGAATTAGAAAGAGAAGACGTTGAAAAACTAAAGGAACAAATAAATGTAATAAATGATTTGAACAAACAAATCTCAGATTTTCATGAGATGCAGAAATTACATAAAAGTGAACTTCAGAATAAAAATGATAAAATTGTGTCTTTGGAGGATGAGATAAAGGATTTGGATAGGATAAGCAGGCAAATGTTGGAAAGTATTAAACTTTTAGAAGGTGAAAATGCTAGATACAATTGGGAATTGAAAAATCTTACACATGATATTAACAAGTTCTCTAATACAACCCACAAACGTGTTGAATCAACAAAAAATATTAATGAATTAGCCCATGAAGTAACCAAACCAATGAATGACATAACAGTGACGCGCCGAGGGGATAAAGACAATAAAAATAAAATTTTAATTTTGTGTGATGAGGGGGGTAGAAATTTGGGTAGATTATTAAATTTGCAACTTAAGGATAAATATAGTATAGAAACTATTATTAAACCTGGCGCCTGCCTTAAAGATGTGATTGAATACATAGATCGACTAACAAAAACATTTACTTTAAATGATTTTGTTATTATTCAAGCTGGTTTTAATGATTTTCTGTATCATAATTACCCTTCTTTCAAACTGTTAAATTTTAAATTAAAACAATGTCTTAATACCAATTTAATTCTGACTACAGTTCCTTCTAAATTGCCGAAATATGAATTTTTCATTAATAAGTTTAACGATAAACTAATAAATTATATTATAAGACTTGATAAATGTGTTGAAAAAAGCAAGGTATCAATAGTAGATGTGAATAATAAGGATGGGTATAGTATTAGTAAAAAAATATTAGCACTTAGATTATCAAATTTAATTAACAATGACAAAAAAAATGGTACTTTGATCCACATAACATGTAATAATGTAATTTGTGATGTTACAAATACTGAAACTTCTAACAAGAATTTAAATGACAATGTTATAGATATAACAAATGACTTAAATGTAGGACTCAATAGCGATGTAAATTTTGTCAATTTAGCCGACGAAATGTCAATAACATAGATACTAAAAGTGTTTATTTATCACATAAGGATCCTGTAAAAAGTATTTGTTATGATATATTTTTGTGTAATATTGAAGGATTGAAACAACATAAACTTGATAACCTTATATCGGAAATCAATCATTTCTCTATAAATTTTGTCTGCTTAACAGAAACATGGGTATCTAAACAGGATATAAAAACATTTCATTTTCCAGGTTATAACCTAGCTAGTTGTTTTAGTCGTTCATTGTATCAACGAGGTGGTGTCTGCATATGGTCCAAAGAACATCTCATAATTGAATCGATTTCCTTTGAAGAATATTGCATAGAGAAGGAAATAGAAATATGTGGTATAAGGTGGATATTCAATGGCGATACATTTATAATTCTCTCATGTTATAGGTCACCTAGCGGACATCCTACAACATTTTTATCCAATCTTAACTTAATTCTAAATAAAATTTATCAGCCCAAGTATTTCATAGTTCTCTCTGGGGATTTTAATCATACCTCTATGAACTCAAATCAAAGCTTTGCCTTTGAACAGTTAGTCACATCATATGGGCTCATCCCAAAAAATTTTACTCCTACTCGAACTACCAAAACATGTAGTAATGTACTTGATCAGATTTACACAAATTACAAAGATACTGTAGGAATCGTAACTTTAAATACAGACTCAGATCATGACAATTTCCTGTTAAAATTCAATAAGCTAAAACTAAAAACCAATCCTAGCTCATATCAAAGTCGATTAATGGGAGAGACTAACATTAACGACCTAATAACATACCTTTCCAAAGAAAACTGGAATGGGATATATCAAGAAAATACTACCAACTCAAAATTCAATGTGTTTCACAATACTTTAACATACTATTTTAACGCTAGTTGCCCTTTAAGACAAATAAATGCTTCCAGATTACCACCTCGCTGTTGGGTAAATAAGAACATAAAAGAGTCCTCTAATAAATTAAAAGATCTATTTCAATTGAAGAAAAAATTCCCCGAGTTGCATGAATGTTATCATCATGCTAAAATAAATCATAGAAAGCTTGTTCAAAACACGAAATCCGAATATTATAATAATAAAATTAAGGATTCGGCAAATAAAAATATAGCAACATGGAAAGTCATAAATGAACTACAAGGTAAGACAAAGACAACAAAGAGTATTTCAATTCACAACGATGGCAAAATTATTGAAAACCCAACAACTATAGCTGATATGTTCAATCAGTTTTTTACTTCGATTCCATATGAAACAATTAACAGAATCTCAACTCCAAAAACAAATCATAAATATAATAACAATAAGTCACCCACAAAGAGCTTTTTTACTTCTTATGTCTCTGAATCAGATGTAAACACAGTCATAAAACAAAAAATCAAAAACAAACCATCCAGCGGTTTTGACGATATCTCTGGAAACTTGATAAAGAAAATCGCAGAATATATTTTAACACCACTAACTCATATAATTAATTATTCCCTGGAAGAAGGTATTTTTCCCGAAAGATTAAAAACATCTATAGTAACGCCTATATTAAAAAGAGGTAACCCGCACGATATGTCTAATTATCGACCTATCTCAATGACTTCTACTCTTTCAAAAATATTCGAATACATAATGCTGGAGCAACTAATGAAATACCTTAACTTAAATCAGATTATATCTGAATCTCAACACGGATTCCGTCCTAAATACTCTACAAATACAGCCATTATCTCCTTATACGAAAAAGTGCTTCAATCTATTGAGTGTAGTGGGGGTTCGGCTGGGATTTTCTGTGATCTTAGCAGAGCCTTTGACTGTGTTCAGCATGATGTTTTATTAAATAAACTTCACTCATCTGGAATTAGAGGCAATCAAAATAAATGGTTTGAAACATATCTTACAAATAGACCCCAAATGGTTAAAAGTAACAACTCAGGAAAACAGTGTTTCTCTCAAGAAATAATAAATAATATAGGAGTGCCCCAAGGGTCAGTGTTAGCTCCCATACTTTTCACAATTTATGTAAATGAACTTCCAGAATTACTTTACCATGCATTCACAATTCTCTATGCAGATGATTCGACTTTCTTGTTTTCTGATCCCATTGAAGAACAATTGAAAAATAAAATCGATAGGTCAATTAAAATATTCTCGGAATGGGCTAGTAATCTCTCATTATTATTTAATATTACAAAAACTAACTACATTTATTTCCATACATACCAAAATTCTAATATACCTTGTCTAGATATGTCTGTAAACAACACACACATAAATACAGTTGATTCCACAAAATTTCTAGGAATAACATTCGATGAAAATCTATCGTTTAAAACTCACTGTCAAAATTTAGCGACAACCTTAAACTCACAATGTTTTCAACTTCGTAACCTTAAATGCATTTTAAAACCTCACCATCTTCGTCAAATTTACTTCGCAAATGTACATTCTAGGTTGA